CGCGGGAAAGGCTAGGGTAAGTTGGATCACACAAGGGGGAAGTCAAGGGTAAGTCCGCTCGTGCGGCCGGCCGGGCCTCCGTACTTCTATACTTTAATATTTCTAAAGTTGTAATTCTACTCTTGAAACTGCTTACATGATGAGGAAACCGACGCGTAAATAGCTAGTGTTCTTATAATACTGGCGGAAGTGGTAGAAGCGCTTGAGGCCTATCCCAGTTAAACGATAAGACCCGACGTTTGGATAGATAGCTAAGTAATAAAGACTTATTCTGTGGGACGGTCGTGTTGAAATATCCTAGATCATAGGGTCTGGCCGCTATCGCTGTTATAAGCGTTGTTCTTTTGTATATACTGTAATGTTTGCTCACTATTCCTCCTAAACAGATCGGGCGCTAGCTGGACCGAGGGTGTTCAAAGTGTCAGCGCATGGCGAGACGTGATGCCAGTGTCTGGCTGTTTAAAATACAGACGATCAAGCTACGTAGACGTGTGGTGTTGCTGCAGATGTCAAGCGCTGCAAAAGAGATAGACATGCAGAAGGTCCTCAGCATGTCGGGTGCCCGTGCCCGCCTCAAGCTCATCGATGAAGGCGATAATGTAAGTCCTGGAACCGTTATCGCGCTGTCCTGTAACTTCACCGCCTCAATCAGTCTCTAAAAACAAGGTCATGGCCAGTATCTAGACAGCGCGCCCCGAGGTTGAAACACTGTGAGCAAATAATAAAGCCTCCATCCATACAAATCGTGCAATGTTGGTATGGATCGCCATTCGAAATGCCCAAGGTGCATATATCGCACCATCCCTGTACTGCCTTATTGGTCTTTGTTGTGAGGACAGGGACTTCAACAATCTCTGCAAAATTGGCTGCCTCATCTCCTTGCTTAGAGAGAAGTCGTCCAATTTTAAAGCTCCCGCTTGCCTTGGCCCACGACAACGGTGTTCGTCCAAAAATATCCCGAGCATTTACACGAACAGGCGCAGTCAACAAGGACTCAACAATCTCCACGTGGCTATGGGCTGCCGCAACTGCCAAAGGGGTTAGACCGTGGCGATCTTCTGGGTCAGGATCCACTTTATAATGCCTCAGAAGCTCTTCGACTATTAAGGCGTTTCCTTCCTGTGATGCTAGGAATAATGGTGTTCGACCGAATGCGTCTCTTAGGTTTGGATCCACAGAGTCTTCTGCAACTTTCAAGCCGATATCATCTTTACAACAGTTCCTTGCTTCGGATGCTAAGAGTGTACTGCCGTGTTGATCAGCGTGATGTACACAAATTGGCTTGGCGATGAGGAGCTGTTTGAGTAGGTTCAGATGTCCTTGGTGCGCCGCAGCTCCAATAGCACTGCCAAGGTGTCCTCCCTGGGAGTTCACGTCAGCGCCGCCGTTAAGAAGTATCTGGACCACCTCCTCGTGGCCCCGGAATGAAGCAGCCTGGAGGGCATTGCCGTAGTATCCTCCCTGGGAGTTTACATTAGCACCCTCCTTAAGCAGTATCTGTACCACCTCTTTATTACCCCAGAATGAAGCAGCCTGGAGGGCATTGCCATACTCTCCTCCCTGAGCGTCTACATTAGCACCCTTCTTAAGCAGCATCTGGACTACCTCCTTGTAACCCTGGCATGAAGCAGCCTGGAGCGCGGTGCCAAAGAATCCTCCCTGGGCGTTCACATCGGCGCCCTTCTCAAGCAGCACCTGGCAGGAATAAACAAGGCCTCCATAGGATGCATAGTATAAAGAAGAAGGACATCTTTCAGTTTCTTCAAAATCTTGGTTCCATGGCTGATCAAGGCGGTATAGCTGATAGCAACATTCATACGCGGCAGCACATTCGAAAAATTCAGCTATAAGCTTTTGAGTCTCTTTGTCATCCATCTTGACCATTATAGCCATACTTGTCCAGTATTGTGCTGCATAGGAAGCAAAGGGGAAGTTCTGTCTGATCTGTGCTTTCAAAAGACTATGGTCAATCCCTAGCAGGTATGATAGGCTAACCTGGACAACAGCTGCTCTAGCAGCAGTGTTTTGAAAGTCCTTGGCTATCTCTTTCGGGAGTCGATCGGAGATAAGATACTCTTTAACAGAGAAATGAGCAAGTTGGAGTTGGACCACCTCCTTCTTTTCTTCGTTCGCTTCGTGACCAGCCTCTCTTCTGGTAATGATTACCAAGCTGGAGCAACACTTCGAGATCTCTGTTGGATCAGGCATCCTGTTTTCTGGGTCAAACCGCCTCGGCTCTATCTCCACCGCAAGAGCATCAACAGCCTCGTCGACTGTTAGTGGCCGCTCGGAGTAGGTCAGGAATTGCAGCATCCGTATTGTATGCGATTGAAAATCTTCAGGTATACGTTTTAGGATCCGTGCGTAAGTCTCGTCCAACGTCTTGGGCAGCGATGCAAGAGCCCTTCTCACAGCTGGATAATCAAGACAGGTTTCCAAGTCATCCAGCTGGCATGAAACCCAGCGAAACCTGTAGGATCTTAGCAGCTAGTAAGAGCAACATTATCAGTAAAACTTACATTCCGTGAGCCCCCTTTATCAGAGCTTCTTCAATTTCAACCTGCACCTTCTGCCTTGACTGCCATCTTTTGAGTCCCCCGTTACCTCTAATCCTTGCATAAATGTAATCCTGGATATCCCTCTCTACTAGGTCACTCTGTAGTGAGATCATGTGATCACTGCTAGCCCATTCTTCGATACCTTGTTTAATGTCGTGCTCTGGGCGGCTTGTGACAAGTAAGTGTAAGCTGTCTTGGCACTCGTGAAGTTCTTTGACCCACGAGAGCAGGCCGACATCGGCGAACTCTTCCCGCCTCTGACACTCATCGAGCGCATCAAGGACAATCCAAACCTCGCCGGCTTGCCGTATCATGTTCTGAAGGGTTTTGCGCAGCACGTCATCGCTCGGCTGCCGCTTGCCATTGTTGCAGGAGGCATACAGCGAGTCCAGGTATCCTCGAGGGCCTGGCTTCTTATCGTAAATCTGGCAAATAAGCGTGCGCACTGCGCCTTCGGAGGTCTGCTTCTCTATGTCGTTGAAATCGAAGTAGTGATATAGCAGGGACGAAGAAGAGGGCTGGCTCCGGCTCAAGTTATCGATAACAGTCGAGCTCAGGACCGTCTTGCCGCAGCCCGGGATACCGTAGAGCCATAAAAAGGAGCGCTGTTTGTTTTTCCAGGCTGAGTACTTGCCATGTTCAATTAGCCACTGGCCTGAGCCCTGATGTCGTTGCTTGAGAGCCTTATTGAAATTGATCGAGGGGTCGGGCGGCGAGAGCCAGGTCCTGACTCGCATGGCATGGTTGTCTTCCCGAAGCGCTTCAACCCCTGTGTTCACATTATTTGCCAGGGAGTACACATCTTCAATTTGTTGACTAACTACTTAAGAATCAGCAACTAGTATGGAGGAGGAGATGATAGTACATTTGTATGGTATAGCAGGAGGGCTTGCGACTACTGACCATCCGCGAGAACCTCGCCCAGCTTCCTCTCAGCTTCAATTTTGTTTGGCGCAATTATTCCAAGCAAATCCTTTGCATAAGCAGCAGCCGCCATAGCTGCATAGCCCTGCCAGGATGCATTCTTATGCGTATCCGCGTAGTCGCACACTCCCCGAATGACCAGGCAGGGGAAATGACTCATCAGCCCTGCGGCCTCCATCTCAAAGCACAATATGTCCTTCTCCGCGGACAATCTATCGCGGACCAACGCATCTTTCATTAGCTGGTTCGCAGAAGCAATGAGCCCGTAGTGGATTGCCGGGTTGTCCTGATCGTCCGATCGATCGGTACGTAAGACCAAACACGAATCCGCATCCCCGCAAACGGCCGTACAGCTATCTTCGTCGCTCCCTTTGTGTGTATAGGACGATTGGTATAGTCGGTCAGTGCTGGTACCGGGCCGTTGGTACTTAAGCCGCAGCCTCTTCTTCTTGTCGAGAACGCTATCGATAGCTTGCTCAAGGTCGTGGCCCTCGCTTTCGTATCGAGCCTCAAGCACGGCGATTGCCGTTAGCACAAACTGTGGTGACTGGTTTAGATATCCAGTGAGGGAAAAGCTCCTGTCTTGTACCGTCTTTCCGTAGTCGTACTGGAGCACGCCTCCGCTCCCGTAGCCAGGTGAGCTGACCACGATGTCGCCTAGGCGGATGTCGTGCCTGCTACTTGGTGCGCCGCCACCGATGCCCACCATAAGGCCTAATCGCACGCTGGGAAAGCTGCGCACCAGGTCTCGCGCGACAGTGGCGGCGGTGACGAGTCCGTATTGCCAGTGTGGCAGGGCAGCTATGACGATGTTGTGGTTGCCGATGCTGCCCAAGGTGTATGTGTTATTGTCGTTCACAGGTATATTGGCCGGCGCGTCGTGCTTTTCGTCAAGAAATGCCTGGGCGGCAACAAGCTCGGCCCCAACGGCACAGATCCAGCCGATCGTATAGTTGTCAGGGTTTGACATTGTTGTTGATGAGATTCAATCGGAGTATTGGTTACAGATGTTCAAGCCAGCTTTGCAATTAAAGCTTATTCAGGGGAAGGCAAGCGGAACGTAAAAATAACAGTGAGTGAGATTTTTGAGTCGGATGCGTGCGCAATATCTCCTTGCTTTGTTGTGAAACTCCAGCAAGGCTCTATCTGCTTGTTCCTCTCCTTCTAGCATGGTATGCAGCTTCGGCGGCCTCCCTGCTCTCTGTCACACCTATTCAAAAAGCCTCACGATCTGCCTCTCCTCGGCAGACCGGCGCTACATCGTGCAGGATGGCTGACGACCGCATATATCAGTTGCACCTTTGCGGTGAGGTAAGCACTAGTCAGGTGCAGATGTGGTGTTACCAATTCCTTACCTTTCCAGCTTGATTTCAGCAAGCCTTGCAAGCCACATGATTAGCGAGCCAGTGGTTGCTTGCCCGTGAGGGTCCTACCATAGCAGTACCCCATTACCTTGAAGTCTCAGGCGGACGAGACAGGTGAGATAACACGGTCCTGGACCAATGTTGAGAGGGACTACAGTACCACCTGGGGTAAAGCCCAGCTTTCTCTGGAAGACGTCAGGCTCTGTGATTTAGAAACCAATTTGAAATTAAGCAGGTATTAAATGGTTACTAACAAGTTGGGCAAACCTGAGGCCGACCGGCTGCAGCTAATCGGGTGGCAATCTGCAAGAGTATCCTTTGTGGCACATGAAATAGCCATGATCATAGGTCGCAATTCAAGACATACATTAAGTGCAGATGCATGAGGAGAGTTGGTGACTTTGGGTGATGTGATTAGGTGGAGACTCGGAAATCCTTGCATCTTTTTAGTGTTAATTGCAGGCACGAAATGAATCCAGTGACGCGGTGGTACACTAATGATGAAAAACTTCGAACACGGGACCCCGGTGTAGGGGTGGTGGGATACAAGCAGAGTGATTAGAGCTGCGCAGTGCTCGAGCAGTGTGTGAGCAGCGTACAAGCTGTATTATTCACGAGGTAGAATACATCATAGCCTCACGGTTCGGAACCAGTCACAAGGTAGTCGACGACGGCTCGCACTGTCCTGGTTGCGTAACTGGTACCCCGACCTCGCATATAACAATTCTCCATGTACATGTATCTACTACCCTGGGAAAGCGTACGTAGGGCGCAAATGCAAATAATGCGATTTTTCATGTAATTTTTGTATCTGTTGAGGGAAGAATCTAGGCTGCGACACAGGGCGCCTGCAGCGACCAAATTAAGTACAAGCGGGTGGTCCGTGCGCTCTCTATCTAATCTCTAGACCCTCCATCTGCTGCAGCACCTTCGCTCTCAATACCGACCCAACCGATTCGAAGATGACCCATGGAGAGGATAATCAGACAATTTTTAGAGAATTTGTTGCCCTGAAAGATCATGGCGAAACAGGCCTTTGTATATCGAAAGGCCTGGTCGGAATATCGCTGTGACGCCCTGGCCCCGGCGCGGCGCAGAGCTTGAAGGCGGCCCTTTGCGTGCCGAGGCTGCGCTGGGTGTGGCAGGACTTATGGGTCTGTTTGTGTGTATCGTGGGTCTTGCATTCTAAAAGTACGGATTGGCTACAGACTGGCCATTTAAATAGCCATTTGGCTGCTATCGATAAGTCCTATCGATAGCACCCTCCTTCGCTCCCACACTGGGTCGTCCTCGACGTCGAACTGCAGCTCGAACTGGTAACACTGGTCCGGCCCCCGGAAGCAAATTGTATCGAGTGGCGCAGAGTACTATTGTGAGCTGATAAGCTTTCCCATACTGACTCTGTTCATCACCGTTACCGGCATTGTTCTCTTGTGGCAGTGGCTGGACAGTGAGCTCAAAATATTGTGCGATTCGCGCCATTGCTAGTGGTACTTCGAAGGTGCAGCATTGCTGTGCAACGGTCCATTTCGAATCAAAGATCTTGTGCATCAATATGGAGGAGAATCTAGCGAGAAAGCTACCATACCTGACCCAATCGTTACCGGGCGGATGATTAAGCCACCTTGAGGTCTCAGGCGTCCACTCTTTGGACCTGGAACCAGTCCAACAGAGCCAGAACAGGTGTTTGATGGAAATGAGCTCTGGCGTCAATTTCAAGGACCTTGAGAATACTGGCGGCCATATCTCGCGACACTGGCCTTGACGCTTGGGCTCCAGCTTGCGTGATAGCTTGTTCGTCTTTGGGCAACACGCCGATGCATAAGTCCGAACGCATTAATAAGGGCTCGAACCAGAAGCGGTCATGATCTATGATCCCCAGAGTCCTCATCCCAGATTTTCTCTACCTATACAGCCTTCAAGCACGACCCTGAAAAATTTACAGTCAGTCGCATATTTCAATTTGGTATTGATAATGAGTTTTACGTGATGGACCTTCTATAGAGAGAGGGCTCTGGTCCCTATAACAATTTGCATACACTTTATCAAGGAAAACCATGTCTCATTGAAATTGTAGGACGGCACAGAAGTAGAACGTTTGAGTTCTTATAGCATCATATTGCAGATGACTCCGTCGGGGCTCTCATGAGGGACAATTCTTTACTGCATGAACACATGTGCTGTCTAGTTGATGGAACCTGAACCGAAGGTAGCATGCCACGCCAGTCCCACAAATCTACCTAGGTGCTCAGTAGGTGCGGTCCATCACAGCCTCCGCGGTAAGGCCCTTGAGATTCGAGGGGTCCGTCTCTAGAGTCCAAAGATACCACTCGAATAGCTCCGTAATATTGTCGAAAATCCGTTCATCAGCCTGCCAACGCCATGCAAACTTCTAATTCCAGGTGCCATCTGACTCTTGGGTATGAATACACCTGAAATTCACCTCCAAAACCATACCTGGATCCCATATAATAGAAACCCTTTCATCTGTGTTGTATGGATATTCGAGGTCCTCAGGTCTTGTTATACGGGCCGGGATTTTTTAAGCATCTTGCATTCCATCATCCTGCCAGAAAGACATGGCATGCTTAGTCATATCATCAGGCAACATAGGCCCATTGATCCCAAGGACGTGCCGCACTAGGATGCGGAATTCCTCCGGGGCGGAGATAATTTGCTTGACCTCCTCGGGTGCCTTCGCCTTTAAAGCGGCATCGAGGGCATTGAAGTACGCCGTCGCCCGTGCGGCGCGGTCCTTCAGGTCCAGGTGGCCGCCCTTGGTGCCGTCGAGGCAGTGCCTAGCAGCCAGCTCGTCGAAGCGGTCCAGAAGCTCGACTGGCTTCGACAGCCCTAGCCCTTTCAGGTCCACGTCGACCAGCTCGCCCAGCGCGGCTAGCTGTTACTCCTCCCACTCCTCGTCGCTAATCTCCTCCCTGATCAGCTCGTCCGTGAATTCGGCTTTCGTTATGGCGTCGATGTAGACCTCGAGCAGGCGCTTGTTTCGCTCGGCCGAGACTTTGCGGTATTTGGCTAGCGCTGCCTCAATCTCGGCTGCGGTGGACTTCATGGTGAAGAGAGGGGTGCCGTCCGTGTAGGGCCAATTCTGTCTGGCATGTTTTGTGCTTGAGGATAAGTGGGTACTTTGGTGTACCTCGTCAAAGCGGGCGGCAGATATTGCATGCAGAAGGTTGAGTATGAAGCGGAAGAAGAGAATTGCGGCCAGATTGAGATAGCTTTGCCGCTAAACCAATGGTGGTGGAGGTCCAGCGGAATCAGGCTGAGTTACAGAAAGCATTATCGCTGCATGAGATCTGGAGGCTTATCCATACTTGGCTTTTTTAGCCCGGCATCATCGCATACCAGTCAATAACGTCCCGTCAACCATGTCGACCCCGTCCCCGCCCCCGACACCACCACCACGGCAGACATCGGGTCTACTATATCCTTCCGTTTACATACGCCGACTGTGCCTTCTAGGACACGGGCTGGGGCTGGCAGTTCAAGATCCTGAACATCTTCGGCTGAGCCACGGACGACGGCGGCAAGGGCCTGCACGACAATGACAATAGCTGCGGCGCTCTAACCGGGTCAAGTCATTTGCTCAGCTTCCCATGTTTGCCCATCCCACGTGTCTTTGACAAGCGCATCGAGTTGCTACCCATCGCACTTGGGTAAGACGCAATGGCATATCAAAACCTTTGACTAACGCTTCTCGCTCTCGCAGTGGGACTGGGAAGACGCAGTGCCGCCCGCGGGCGCCAAGGTGTGGTTCAACCTCCCCTTCTTCATGAAGTCGGGCTGCGTCGAGCGTGCCATCGTGTCGGCCGGGGGGTTCAAGATCACATGCGACGCTCTGGGCTTTGGAAGGGTCAGGCGAGAGGGCCTAGGAGACGATGCCGAAGTCGAAGCCCAAACCCAAACCCAAGTTGTGGACCCGAACCCGACGACAACCGCCAGGGAGCTGGTCGAGGCCCAGCCCGCTGCCCAGAATGGACATGATACCATACGCCTACAACGGGACCACGGCGCCGCCAGAGCATGATAGCTACGTGCCCATGATCTGGTTCGACCTGTCTGCCAGTGCCAGCATTGCCAAGGCTGTCCCCTCGATTTTTGCGACTGTCAGTGTCGTTACCGACGTGGCCCCTGCGATCACCTCGCCTGCGAGGGGGTAAGCATTCAAGTCGTCGAAAAGGAATTCTTGGGAGACAAGGATAAGATGACCCGAAAAGCCTATGCTGAGAAAGGCTGGCCCGCGAGCGTGTACGGTTAGTAGTCTTCATCAATGATGAGTAAATGATCTGAATTAAAAGATCAATTGCATTTTGACTAGACGCGAAAGAGCGAACTGTGTCGACGAATGGAGGCGTGCCACCTAGGTACTTTGAAAGTGACCACCGTCCTCCTCACCCCAGTCACAATTCTTCTAGGCCGGAGTTTTTTGACCAATCGCGAAAATGATGCGGTAGGTGCCGCCCTCCTTAAAGAACTCATCCGCGGCGCGTTCTGGTAGTCTGTCCATTACAGTATTGGGTACGTCAATGTTGTTGTCTACGGAACAATCATTACAGATCAGCCGCTGTGTACACATGGGGCAACATCAAGGAAGCAGTACTACTCACACTTGCACGCACCGGCAACACCGGTGATAGCATTCAGCATCACCTGGGCACTCCGCGCACCCCACTCGGCGTCTTTGCAGTGGGGGCCCATGCTAATGTCGACGTGCTCCTCCTTGACGTTCTCAAAGCCCTCGTCCTTTAGCCAGCCAGCCATCTCGTTGGCAAAGGTTGCTCCGGATCCGGCAGCTGTCATCCAGGCCCGGAGGCAGACCCAGGCATCTTGCATCGCGGGGCCGCCGCGCACGGGGCCGTCGCGGACGTCCATCTCGCCAAGCTGGATCCAGCCGCCGGGCTTGACGAGCTGGCACAGGTAGCTGACAATCTGGCGCGGTGTGGCTCTGTAGGGCATGATATTTAACACATGACTGTGGAGGGCCGTTCTCCATGACCGAGGCTGGACTCTTCGGTGGCCCAGCTTGGGCGTGTGCTGTGGAAGGTGACTCACTTCTTGGCCCCGCCGGGAATGGCGAACCGCTGGTGAACAAGATCGCATGAGGCGTGCAGCTCAGTTGGCCACGGGTCGCCGATGTCGTGGACGGCGAAGGTTGTGTGAGCCGGAGATATTGGCGGAAAGAAACTCTCCATGATGTCGTAACCCAACAGAGCGTAGGGCTCGGTCAGCAGTGGCTGGATCTCGCGCAGGAACAGGCCGTCGGCCGTGGCCGAGTCCAGGATCCGGAGTCCCTGCTGCTTCAGGTCGATTGGAGCCAAGATGCGTTTACCGTCCATCATGTGTACGATGACAGAGTCTTGCTCAGTCAGACGACCGACCTCCTTCTCTACCTCCGGAAGGAGATATTGATGCTTTTCCGACATGGCTGTAAAACGCTTCGATGTGCTGCGAAAAGAGGAATGTCATGCGTGTACATGGAAAAGTCGCTTGCATAAGTCAAGTGATCAATTTGAAGTCGCGAGGAGTCGAAGAATGGGAGATATAATTATAGACTAAGAATGTTGACCGCCGTTAATGAATGCAAGGAGCGTGTAGGAGCGACTGTTGGTAGCCTGCTCAATCGATGATTGGTCGCCGGAGCACCAACATGATAGTTACATGGCGCAAAACCGACGGTTGTTGACAAGGTTCACAAACGAGGTGCATCCTCTGTGGCGGATGTATACAAAGGTACCTGCAAACTGTGCCGCCGGCCATCGACACCGATTGGTCTGTTCAAGAATAGTACGTGCACCGATCCGTGCAAAGTGCCCGAAATGTCCCCGAAGTAAACGACAGGCCTACGGGCGACTCACTGCGTGGCGTCTCAAATTTGATAATCTTCCCGAAGTTTGACATGTTACTTAGCATGCCTCCTGCACAATGAGGCTGAGAGCCTCCAACAATTGGCAGAAATCCTAGCATGCAAGTAAGTGACAGGCACTCTCTAGATGTAGACAATGAAGAGGCACCGATCATAGAAATTCAACCACAATAAGTCTGCATATATCTTTCTCTAAGAATGTGATGAGTTCGAAAGAATACCTCAGGATTTTGACATCATTGTAATTGGGGGCGGCCCAGCAGGCCTGGGTGCTGCGTCCACAATCCCCTGACAGGACCACAAAATGGTCCTCTTCGGCTCGGGAGAGTACCGCAACGTCTGTCGTATTCCCCCCTTGAAAAACTTCTACATTGGCTTCTACTATCGACAGAGAGGGCCGACGATGCCGAAGACGAATGTCACATGCACTTTCACATGCCATAAAATCTCCGGCAAGCAAAAGGCTTTCGATGCCCTGGGGTTGGGCGTCGCCGTCCTGGCGTGGGTTCAGCGAGTGCCACAGGCGCTCACAACATGGCGGCTCGGAGATCTGGGTATCCCAAACCAAGAGAGCCTCTATAATAGTGCTCCAGTGTGTGCAAACCGAGAGAACCAATTGACGGAATTCTGATATTTCTTGTCTTGCGCAAGGAAATTGCTGGCGGGATGTGTAAGTCAAGGATTATGTAACTTGTCTTGAGTTTTGCCGTTGGCTGTGTCGGACATTCCAGCGAACAGAACTAGAAACTTTATGAATTGAATTGATTTCAGTTATGTGTGATTCTTCGAGGACGAATGACAAGCTATGCAGGTCAGAGCAGGGCAAAAGTAGGTAATTAATACACAGTACCTAGATAGCACCCGACCAATTCACCTCTTTCACCCCAACCACGAGCAGATACTCTCAGGCCACTCTACTTGGAAGCCAAAAGGATATAAGCCTCGAATCTGATTCCCCCAAATTGCTCTACCTCTTCCTTCACGGACTGACGAACAGCCTCAACCCACCTGGCCTCCTCTTCCTCCGTGTACCCCTCGCGCGCCTTGGCCATCATGGGACCCGACATGAGCGCAGTAAGCCCAGCAATATTCTCGTCGTCCTCGATGACCAGGACCTTATCGGCCACCGTTATGTTGTCCTTGGCGAAACCGCTCTCCTCGACCACTTTCTGCAGCACACCCTCTTGGAAGAACTGGGGGTTTGGTGTAGGCATGAGTGGCAAGTCCGGGCGGATCTTCTTCTGCGCGGCATGGACGATGAATACGGGCGCGAAGCGGCGCCAGCAAGTGACGACGGCGAGACCGCCCGGGCGAAGGGTGCGGTATGTCTCGCGGACGGCGTCCGCGGGGCGGACAAAGGTAAAGATGCTGAAGTTGTTGATTGAGTGGGTGAAGTAGTTGTCAGGCACTGACGCCAGGTCCTGCGAGTCGAGCTCCTTGCAATCGACGTGGGGCAGCGGAGAGGCGACGAGGGACTCGCGCGCGGCTGACACCATCATCGCGACATTGTCTGAGACCAGAATCTCCTTTGGCAGCTGGTCCTTGGGCAGGCTGGCAACGATCGCCGCGGCGCCTATGCCTGGCCCCGCGGCGGTGTCGTGCACGACTGAGTCCGGCCCAACGGGGTGAGCGGACGTCTGGACATGTGCAGCAATGGCGTCGGCAAGAATGTTGAGCGTCGAGTGACCCGTCTGGCGAACATAAATGCTGGCGAATTTGGAGAAGTAGTCAGGTAGTGGGAGATGCGGGTGTGGTGCAGCCATCTTGAATCTTGGGAACGAGGCTCGGTTGACTCAGCCGTCAGTTGATTCGGGGTCGACGGGGGAGAGAAAGTCAGATTGAAGTCTGATGAGGTTGAAAGCTCGCAGAGATGGTCGTAATACAAGTTGAGGGGAAAGACATGTTGTTGCTTTTAGGAGGGATGTTTACTTGTTGGCCAAGCTGACGGCTAACTCGCGATGGATCTCTAGTCTAGTCAATCTAATTGGTCCGCATGAAGTTCCAAGGTAGACTGGCCAACCGTTCGTCTGACACATGTGTGTGTGCTGCAAACAGGCAGCAACTTAAAAGTCTGCTGCAACTCGCTCTGTACACCGCCGGCCGAAATGTTTCCGGTGTTAGTGTCATTTATTGAGCCCTAAGTGAAGGATTTACTTAAAATTTACGGTCACCAGCTCTTCTTGAAAAGTAGACAGAACTAATTACTCAATTGAACAAGTACTGCATACAAGAAATTCCAGAGATCACAGAGAGTTCTTGTAATAAGGCTTTGACTCTCTACCACTCTGCTCATGACGGCACTAAACTAATTGATCAAGCTCCTTTAGCGCTTCCTCCATCTTGAGCCACATTGTATTTGACAAGAAAGTGCAAATAGTCCTATTTCCATTTCTGTCGATTGCGCCCTGAATGAAATTTGGACCTGGGGGCGGACCTGGAAGTTGGACAAGCGTCTCAATATAATCAGGTGTACCAGCCTGCGCTAGTTTATCCTCGTCCGCCATATCTCCATTTTTATCAACGCCACACGCCGATTTGACTGCTCCAGAAAAGTCCATCTTCCTGCAATTGTGGTTCTTCACTCGACTGTTGGCAGTAAAAACCATGCCCTTGGGATCGCCGTAAAGCGGTGTCATTCCTGAGTCCAGGCGTGCCTTGATCGTCGCACGTATCTGGCCAATTGTGGTCTGCTCGGAGAGCGTCGAACGAAGACCTACTGCAATCTTACCTAGTGGGGCATCTGCTAAAAATTTTGCTTCCGGTGTTAATGTCCAAGCCATCTGGTACATGTTTTGAACATACGCAGCCTCGGGCTCCAACAGGCCGGCTTTGGCCAAGGCACGGCGCAGATCGTACACTCGCATCAAGTTGACAGGGCGAGAGGCTGGCAGGAAACCTGCCACGGTTTTCGCAATCCAGCCAGCTATCATATCGTCTTCAGTTGCGAACGAGTCGGAGGGCAAGCTGTCCCTCGCCTGCTTCAAGATCGCGTCCGCAGCCCTAGACGTAAGACATATGATGCGCCAGCGCGACTCGGGCGAGGACATGTCCCAAAGCGGATCTTGCACTTTTGCATCCTTGTCGTCAGGTAGAAAGTCTCCCATATCTATCACACGGTCCTGCAAGACAAACTTTTCGGTGCCATTTTGTTCGATTTCCTGGCGGATGAGGTCGAGAGGGTCGCTCCATGCACCAGCCAGTGGGGCAACATCGGCTTGCCTGCCATTCACCACATTGGTCCAGGCTTTCATGAAGGCATTTGCACCTCCACCGTCCATGAGCACGTGGCTGTAGTTCAATGCAACGACCGTTGCATTGCTAAATGATATGACGTGAAGTCCCAGAATCGGGAGATCGCTCTTTGGGTCCGCGAGATCCGACATACTTTGCGGCCATTCAGGAGGGATGAGAACAGGCCAAATTTCCGTCTGGTTTCAATAAGCGATCTGTCCCAGTTCTGTGACGGGACTGGAGAAAATACGGACCAAAGATGACAGGGACGCCTGCACAGAAGAATGGTCATTCCGCGGCCGTGCGATTTGAGAGACTAGGGGATGGGCTTCGATAGGCATGGCTAATTCTGTATGTTTGAAGCGTATGGATGGGTGTTCGTGCGTGGCCTTAGAAGGTATGTGTATCGTTAGTTTCCCGGCGGCCTGCTCTTAATTAGTACGTTTTGCAGCCAGCCCAAGACTATTCTCAACCTACGTCAAGTCTCCAACGACCTCGCAGCTTTTTCCAGTTCCCTATTTCGAGGAGGCTTTTCAAGGACGTGCGAAGGACCTCGGGATCCATGATGTCCGGGAAGCGGAGGACCTGGCATACTGGCATCACACGGTTGAGTGCCGTATCATCAAAGGCGTACACTGGCGTTATCTTGTCTTCGTCCATTACAACGGTTGAGTTTGTGTGTGAATCCATTCTCGTTATGTTGAACCCTGAATGGTTGGGATTTGTGCTATTGATTCTGTTCTCTTTGCAGATGTGAGCGAGCTGTTGTCCCAGCCTGGAGATAAGGGCAGAGAAAAATCAGGGGTATGGCTTCAACCCGGGCTTTTCAGTAGATCAGGAGTGCTACTGGAGCTTTTGCTACAACTCAGAGCTTCATGTCAGTTGATAAAACTCTGTTGGCAAGGGATATCAAGGGGACTGTAGGTGGGTCCAGGATGCAAGTTGAGATTATGCGCAAGCTAGCCTGACCCTCTTCGCATGCCAGCTGATCTGTCATATTTACACATGATGTGCTGGGGAGAAACCCCAAGTCGCTCCTGTCTCGATCAAATCGCATTGTCTCGAGTGAGGTTCTTGGGACTTGTCACCGACGGCTGGGTCAGAGTCACAGTGTGCAACACAACTACTCCAGTGGATCAGGGATTGACTCTCTGTTGCTGAAAGAAGTTCATAGCTTTCAATACTCTAGCCAACATGTAATTCCAGGTGCCTTGTTAATGCGGTCTTCACAATGGGTTGATACTGTAATCTATCGAGATATTAGTTCTGGCCTCCTTTAAATCCTGGTTCCTACCTACATTAAGCCTCACCGGTCGGGGCTTCCAGAGAGCGCGCCACCTCTAGCAGCTGAAGGCAACTGTATCATAGTCGTGATTAGAAATTATCTGGATGGTTGATTGTGTACACGAGTGGGAAATGGTCCGGTTTTTGCGGCGCAGCAAATGCGTGGCGAGGAGGTTGGATCCATGCCACTGGGGTACCAGTTGAGCGGTCGCCACTACGGGCTGAGCGGTCGTCAGGGGGTTAACCAATTTAGGACTAGCATTTTGTGCACGGACCCTGACGACCGCTCAACCCGCAAAAGTGCATACTGAGTTTAAACTCAAGCTGGCAATTGAATTAAGAAAGGGCCGGATGGGGCGAAAGGACGAGCGCGAAGCGAGAGGCCGGTAGGCCGGGCCTAAGCACCACTTGAGGCCCAACCCGGTATCCTTTATGGTCCTCTAAATGAGCAAGATGCAAGTGTGAACTTGTTGCGAACCCAGTGTGAACTTGGTGTGAACTTAATGTAAACTCGGTGTATATTTTTGCGGGTTGAGCGGTTGTTAGGCTTGGCTTGATTTGGCTAGGGTTAGGGCTTCCTTGGCAGGGTTAGGGTTAATGCACGGGCCCTGACGACCGCTCAGCCCGTAGTGGCGACCGATCAAGTGTATGCCCCATGCCACTCCCGAGAACGCCGAAGACTCAGGGGTTGCACGGTTTATATTTACCTGCCTGGGGAAAGGTCCGTGATGCTGAGAATCTTAGCTGCATATTGAGTGTGACTGATGATCCGGAAGATGCAGATAAGCGGGCCGGTCCGCCAAGACAATCGTTGTCGACCCACTCTATGGAACAGACCCCAGGAAGGCGGATATAATCCCCGCTCAGGCAAAGGCGAACCCTTCGAATTGGCGTGTTGTGCCGTCTCCTCTCGGGACATCAAGACACTCAGAGTCCGGGCTCTTTCTCCTAGAATTTGATTTGGATGGGGCAAAGTGGAGTCGAGGTAACGGTTTTCCCAGCTCGTGGCAGTCTTGGGGAGCTGCTCATGGGCAATGTCGATCGCCCTCTCGTGTTACTTCAACAGTTCCTCATTGGTGGATAACAATGAGAACCATCATAAGTGACAGATCTTTTTCGAGAAACGCGTCTGGAAAGCAGCTAACTTGGCGGAATCAGGAGGTGCATCGGCATAATGTGACTCTGCAGCTGGCTGTCATACGAACCTGAAGACTGCCCTCAAAAGCAGGATCTACCTACTGCTGACCACTTGGTCAGCGGTACATGCACTGGTGCCAATTTTATGCCAACCTCAACAGCGCTGATGCTGATGCCGCCGCTGTGATATCGCCCAAAACCATGTCTACCAAGCCGATGTATGCGGCTGAGCCGCCAGATGGAGAAATACGGGTGACAGTGAACCCGCCTTTCAAGGGCCAAGGAATAGTGCCAGTCGCCATCGTGACTACCATCGCAGCATTACTCATTTTGTCTTTGAGAATGTTCACGAGGATTTATGTGATACGACGAGGCTTGGGATGGGATGATTGTGAGTGACACCGTGGCATTCGAAGTTTTGAAATCTCTGTGCTGACGTTTTCCGAGATCTTGTCACGATCTCAATGGCTGGATCCATCTCCTTCATGTGTCTCTCTATCCACAGTATGTTCATCCGATACTATGGAAGTGTATTGCTCTGCTGACTTTAGTTCAATCGAGTTGTCAAACTCGGCGCAGGCCTACATGTATGGGATGTGCTTTACGATAACTTCATCGCATACCTGGCAGTAAGCTTGTTGCCCCAAGATTACATCAAGGAACAGAATTGATACAATTGCTAGGCGAATTTGGGCATAACCATATCATATTCCAGTTGTGTCTCCTTTGCTAAACTGTCTATCCTGGCTTTGTATCTTCGACTGTCCCCTGAACGCATCTTTCGCCGAGCAGTCTACACGCTGCTGATAATCACTTCTCTTTATACGACCGCCTACATACTCATGAGCATTTTCCTGTGCCGGCCTGTCTCAGCACAATGGGACCTTTCTATAACAGGAAAATGTGTTGATAAATTTTCCTTGATGATGACGCTTAGCATCGCCAACATTCTCATCGATATGACAATTCTACTTCTTCCTGTCGGAGTTGTCGTACCATTACAGATGCCCAAAATGCAGAAGGCATCGCTGCTTGTACTCTTCGCAACGGGCGGCTTGTGAGTAGTTTTGGATAATCATACCGGGTCATGTGAATTCCTGAGGCTGACAGAAAGATTTGCGTCATCGCAGTGTCTGTGGCATCGCCATATATCGCACCTACATTCTGCCGGGGCTTCTACGAAGCTCCGACTGGACCTGGAACTGTGCTGGCCAGAACATCTGGGGAACAGTGGAATGTAACCTTGGCATCGTCTGCGCTTGTGTCCCCGCCTTGAAGCCCTTCTTCGTACGATACCTTCCCACGATATTTTTGTCTCAAGCCTCCAGCCTTGAGCCCAGCCAGACGATGCAAGCCTACTCCACGACGGTTAGCAAGAATCGTAAACGGAGAGGCGAGGCCGATTCGGGCCAAGCGTATGAGCTGAGCAGTCGCGATGAGGCAGAAGATAACAGCGATCAGGCCAAGCTGTGGTCGAGATCGAGGACAACGATAAGTCCTGTACCATTGACTCGTACTGGCGAGATGGATGAGCAGGGTACGCCCTGGTGTCCGCAGACTGCATCGACAGAGTGTGCGGCTGTGAAGTCGGATAATTCACTGCCCAAAACGGGTGACGGTACAATTAATGTCAAGCGAGACACAAGTGTATCATATGACTCATGAATCTAGCTGTGAAGGGTCGCTGCCACACCGCTGGCTGCAGCAGTAGGACAGTGTGTGGCCGATTAGATTAGATTGTATTCAACAGATTCAATAACCAAAATGGTTAAAAATCTGTAGTCCTTCGGACTCTCTTGATTGACTGTGGACGAAGCTGTGATCCTGAGTCGGGTCCTGTTTGGGGCGGCGTGGAGCAGTTGACAACGATCATCGAGGCGCCAACTATCACAATTGTCACAAATTGTTGTTTCACAGATGAGTTCATGCCCAAAGAGGACCTGGCCTGGCAGTCAACCTCTTCTGCACCCTCTGATCCTGGCGTTTGTTTCTTTTGTCATCCTGACGATTAGTACCCAAAGGAAAAAACGGCTATCGTCTGTTAAACAGAAGCCTTTCATTTCAGCCAAGTTTCGTTCCTTGTTGTGGGACCGCATCTTTCGCAGTTGCGCATGTAAAACACTCCGACCATCCAGCATGCTTTTCGAGGCCTTGTTGGACTGTGAGACACGTACTGTAGACGCCACGAGTAACATGGGGAAAACGAGACCCTCTTGGACTGTCTTCCGTCCCTTTAGCGCTCAAAAACACCTCTTTATTTTATTCTACCTTGAAATCACCAGATTGACTGCACCATCCCTATTCGGTACATCGACATGACTTCTAAAGGAGACTCTGGAGAATCGCTAGGTTTATTGCTTGAAGACAGCCAGTTCAGCTCCTGCACTCAATCACTAGACCCTCAAGGTTCCTCCCAGAGCCGAACGGCGTGACGCAGAGACAGGTCTGCATTGGAAAACTGTCACATCGACTCATATAGCAATGCCCAGAAGCATGTGACAGGGACAACATCGTCTGTCACAGCAAGAATGCGAGCTTCAGATGCATACAAGCTAAAGTGCCGGTCAATCGACAGGTCGACGGTCTTGCTATAAATAACCCCCCAGACGGTCAAGAGCTCAAAGATCCTGAAACTGAAATAGCGATTCAATCTGAAAGCAAAGAATAACCCTAAAATTACCATCTGACACCAAACTGCTATCGAGTACAGAGCTCAACAACATAGTCCCAACATGAAGCTAACAAACACACTCCTCATCCCACTCATCATTGCCTTCGAAACCCAGGCCCAGAACCATTCCACTCTGTCGGGAAACCACAGCATTGACATGCTCAATTTCACAGAAGCAGACACACTTGCCAGATCACTGACATGGTACCATTTAGATGATGGCCAAGAAACGTGCGGCAACACGGACGCCAAGACGGAGGGGAAAGACGACATTCTGAAGGAGGACTGCCAACAGCTCGTGGATTTCTTGAAGAGTAGACCTGGGTACTGGAAGGTCAACGGCTACAACAAGATGGGAATGGTGGCCGATCTTGGCAATCGCGGCACATGTGAATTCACCGTCGCTCGTGAAGACGGGTTGAATACGTATTTTGAGTAAAGTCTAAGCCATTTAACCCATTCCCACCCCGCCTTTGGTTCCCCCAGAAAATTTCCATCGTGTGTCTAAAAGGTAATAGACTAACTGATATTGGATACAGGATCGGCAGCCTTGACGTCGTGGATTTTGTGGAGGCGGCCATGCGGAAGAGCAATGACGCGACCCGAATGCCAAGGGTCACCGGCTCCGTAAGTTGTGCTGGCGATTTCAACCCTATGGTCGAGTGGAGAGTAGATTTTCCATTGTCTGGCGCTTTTCCTTCGGTGCGTATGAACGCAATGGGATGGACGGTGGTGGGCCTGTCGATGTTTGCCTTCACATTAATGTAGAGGGAGGGGTAGGATGTTACGTAGTCTCGTGCCAGCCCTGTAAAGCCTTGAATCACTCGGAACAAGATCAAAGCGCCCTGCGTCACCGTAGTTTAAGCTGTTAGCGATCGGCATCAAGAGGAATTATAAGACTACATAGATCTCAATGCATTTTGCGCCAAATTACTACAGTGTTCGTTACAATGTGAAATTGACTATTGCCAATGAGTTTTGTCTGTTCCAAAGCTGGGGATTCTAGCTCCTGACCAAGAAAGGCTTTATGAAATTCGAACTTGATTGCTTGATAAAATGTCGTAATTTTCAAAACTTACAGCTAGGAGCGTCTAATTTTATGCTAAACTTACAGGACGCGGACGCGGACGCGGACTACCGCCCGCATCCTCCTCCTCTGTGGTGTAATGGCTGCCGCGATCCCGCCTTTCCCGAGGCAGCGCAGCGCCGACAGCCCAGCTCCAGAAATAATTGCCGTATGCAACTTCGTGCCCACCGTCACCAAGAATCCAAGCATTGCCCAAGAACGTCGTGCACACGACACACAGCCACATGAAGGGGATCAGAGAGACGAAGGCGTACATGATACCCTCCTTGGCGTGCTGGTTATTGGGGCCGCTCTTGTTGTTGAACACCGTCGACATCATTGTCAGCGCCACTGTGCCCCCCAGGGGCACGGCGAGCGAGACAAGGCAGGTGATCTGGGCCGTCATATTGGGGAAGAAGGCGAGCCCGTGCAAGGCGCTTGGGCTCATCCGCATTCCGACGCCGTGCCCCGTCAACGCCATCATGCCCAGGATCGTGCTCGTTTCTCCTACGTGAGTGGCCCAAGCCAGCACGGTGATGCCGACGGCTGAGGTGATTGAGCCGAGGAACAGCGGTGGAAGTGTCTCCCGGGGCCATGTGTTGGTGGCATACTGGGCCATATATGCCCCCACTGTGGCATGTCTTGTCAGCTTTCGATGGGGTCTTGTCTGCATTAGGAAGCGAGAAAGTTCTTTAGTTAGAAATGACTTACCGGCTAATCCAGGCAGATAGTAGAGCAGATACTTGCCCGCCTCGCTCGGAGTGGAGCCGAGGAGAGCAAAGTACAGATCCATAAAGTACATGACTGAAAACATTGCCATTCCCATGGTAAAATTGATGAAGAATATTAGCCTGACATTCTTCTGCTGGAGTAACTCCCATGGTATCATCGCCTTCTGGAGCGGAAGAAGGCGAGACATCAAGTGAGGCGGAGATATCAGATACTCGTACGCAAGCCATGTCGCCGTCAGGCCAGCGCCAATGATGAGAGGAACCAGCACCTGGACTGAGTCCCAGGGGTAAGCACCTCCGGCCCAGGTAAACGCGAGAATGAGCAAGGTGAGACCGCTCAGGAACAGGAGCTGGCCCCCAAAGTCAACGGTCGAGAACCGAACCCGGAGCCGTCGGGCCCGCGTTGACATTTGTACCTGTGTGACTCCTGGGATGGGCTGCGGACCGACTAGGTCTTTCCCAAGGACGACGACTATTAGTACGATTCCAACAACTGCAATTGGCAGGTTGATAGCGAAGCACCACCGCCAGTTGACTTGCGTCAGATGGCCGCCGACTACGGGGCCAATGCCAAAGAATCCGGCAGAGACGACGGCAGAGAGAGTCCAATTCCACGCGAAGTCTTCGAGTGAAACACGGTCCGCCATGATCACATGTCCGGTGACATTGACGCCGGCTGCGCCAACACCCTGTAGAGCTCTTCCGAAGAGCAGGACACCAAATTGTGAAGTGGGGGCGCCGGTACAGATGGCGCTGCCGATGGCCATGATCAATATAGTCGAGTGTATCGTGACATGGCGACCAAAGACGTCAGCAATTTGGGCCCAGAAGGGGAGGAACGCGGCCGACGTCATGTTGAAGACGGAAATGATCCAGTTCAGTTGCTTAATTTGCTCTGTTGTCGGTGTAGGAAGTAATTAGCCCATCTATGTGCATCTAACTTCTCGACCACAGTGAGCTTCGCGCGGACGTACCGAAATCTTGTGCGATGAAGGGCAGAGCGGATGCAATGATAGTGGTGTCGAGAGATTGGAGCGCAAAAGGCAAGGCGAGGCCGAACAATACTCTATACTTGTGTTTCCGTCGCTTCACGCTCTCCGGGGAACGCACTTCGATGCCTTCTTTCACTCCATCAGTATGGGGTGTTGTATATCGAGTCGTCGTTTGCGCGTCACAAATGTCATCGTTGTCGACTGGTGAAGTGTTGACACCAGAGACATTCGCAGCAGTCCGTCCCGGCTCGTGCCTGGTATCATGCATCAGCTCGTACGCAGCGCCAGCCTCGTTCCTATCTTCAATGTTTGTGTGCCGGGAACTGGCTTCTTGTGAGCCTTTGTACAAGCTGATGACATATCCGACCAAGAAGGACATAGCAATCTTCGCTCTCGAGATACAAGGGAAGGAAGGACAGGTTAGACAGGAGCCGGTATGGGAGGTGAAGCAAATAATGTTGACTTTGTGAAGTGTGGGTGTCATATACAGTTGCTAAAAGAAAAGAGAGCGACCATCTTGAAGCGGACAGGACAAGATGATCATTTGTATCCCGGATGCCTCGAAATTATCTTGTGCCTGCGAAGGGCCTATGTCGCCGAGTCTCCGGGTATTGCTTCGGGTCTGGCTTCGCCATGCTGCGCCACCAGCACTGGCTGATTTATGCCTGCATCTGGGCAGCTGTGCCATGATTAGCTTTCTCTGTTTGGATGGTTGAGAGGTAGTATGGATCATAGCACTGAATTTGTCGCACCTCTGTGCATGGCCGGCTCCCCTGCGCAGGGACTCGGAGCTGCCCTTCACCGAGTCTGGTCATGGACAGTAGCGTCTTCCCAGCGATTTTGAAAGGGGTTCGCTGCCAAGCCCCGAGGTCCGAAGTGGTCCAAGTGTTGGCTCTCTGCTTTCTCGGGCCGAGCGCAGGCTTGCTTTAACCGTCTGAACATGACACGGCAATGGTAAGTGTCGCCTGTGATCTGTGGCACGCTGCAATCGGGAATGACTGTCCTTACAAGTTCTCCTGATAGTCCGGAGCCTGTCATTCACCCAACACACTGCGAGTCCCGCAGGCAACGTTGAAGTCGGACCTCGGTGGACCGCGGCGTCTGGCCATGCGCCGCTCGAAGCTCAACAAGTCGTGCGACCAATGTCGTCAACGGAAAGTCCGCTGCCTCTGTATGTATAGCCTTCTCGTCCTGGCTTCTGTGGGTCAAAAATGCAGCGAAGGGATCTGTTGCATGGCATGCTGATTGGAGAAATAGTGCCATCCAGCCCTTCCGGTTCCCCAGGACCGGGTATTTGTACCCATTGTATCGTAAGGATTCGCTTGTCTCCAAAGTACAACTGAGTGCGCCTCTCACCTGCTAGTGAAGAAACGCAAGGAGCCCTGCAGCTTTAGCATCACTCAGCGTAGATTTCGTCCCAAGGAACCGGGTGGGTACTGCCTCGACTTTGCACACGACCTCGTGGTGACAGCTTCTTTACATCTAGACTTTGCGACTCCACGTTCATTAGGTCCAAGTCCTGCCGGCGTTATAGGTCAAGAGCAGTTGTCTCAAGGCTTGTTGATCGATCGCCTACTGCAAAACCCATCCAGCAGTGAAGCAGTGCTCTATGACGAGTTCTCAGTTCTAAAGGTCAATCACTATTTCCTCAGATTAAGCAAGCCCTTGCTGATTTTGATTGGATCTGCAGGCACATGAGCGACGTGGTATGTGTAGTACCTAGAGTCCTTGCCCTCTTCATGTCCTCGAATAGTCTGTCTGACATCAACAAAAAGCGACCAGCTCCGGACTGGCCTTTTTCTCGGACCGCAAAGTCGACAGCCTGACCCGAAGAATCGGCAACTCCAAGCTGCGCGACCTTGTCGTGGGCATTGATACCGCTTTACGATCACGTCTGCTCACACGGACCGACACGGAGATTTCCCAGTGTCTCCTGGTACCTGGTTTACGTTCCGTCCAGGTATCAGCAGACGAGGCGGCTGTTTACATCAAGGGTATCCGCGATGCATGATAGACAGTAGAGATCACTCGAAGATCGACTAACACATAATAGCATATTTCCGCCATATTCACGCCTCCTTCCCATTCCTGAACAAAGATGCATTCGAGCAAAAGGTCCGCAGTGATTGCCTGCCCTCGATGTTGGATGAGTCTCCCCAATTCTCAGCTCTGTACCACGCAGTCCTAGCTCTCGGATGTCAATGCCATGGAGGAGGCTCTTTTGAACCAGGGAAAGGCAAAGCATGGGATCTGTTCTTAGTGGCAATGAGCTTTGTTGCAGATACAAAGCATCTGGGCGACTCTCTGACCTCCCTTCAGGTTCGGCGATGTCCATATCCTCCCAGAATCTGTCCCTGAGCATGGGACTGACTTGTGCTCTTCCCTCCCTTAGGCTCTCACAGCGATGGTGAGTTTGATAGACCCGAAATACCAGGATCAGCCCAGTCCACCGAGTTAATACATCATAACAGTCGATTTTTACTTTAACCGCGTGTTATCTCCAGGTCAACCACACAATTCTTGCTGAGGCGACATGTATGGCGCTCCGCCTACGTTATCACACATCCGCAATCGAAGAGAACCAAGAAGAATGCTGCCGAACATTCTGGGTCATATACCACTTGGAGAAGCAGGAAAGCTTCCAAGCCAGGCGAGCCTCGGTCCGGCCTCACTCCTCGTTTGTTCGAATCATTAAATAGCAAGCTGACACGCCGTGGTAGGTCATCGCTGACTATGATATCGGATGCCCGGTTCCCCTGGCAGCAGCGTCTACCGTGGGCGAGTACGACTGGTTCCTATCGTCCATCCGCTTTGCTCGGATCCTCTCCACCACCTACGAGGCCCTCTTCTCCGTCAGCGCATCCACACGCCCAGCAACATCGCACTTCGCTGCCATTGATAATGTCCGGACTTCTCTGGAAAAGTGGCGGCTCTTGATGCCTGTCGAATTCCGGCCTCAGGAACCTCTACGCCATACACACCTCGTTGATCCAAAAACGAAGCATATCGCGTTGTCGACGCATTATTATTATCATCATCTTGTCATAGCTCTAGAGCGCCTAAGCCTCCGACTCGGCGGCGACCACGGGACCCATCAGGAAGAGTGCCACCACAGACTAGTACAAGCTGCCAAAGCAGTCATCGAGCTCACACGCTTCATAGATGTCGAGCCATACACGCCAATCTTGTAAGTAATAGCACCGGTTGCCCAATAGCAAGCAGGCGCGACGTTGCTTATATCCCACAGCATCCTCGGCATCATGCCCTTATCCGCACTCTTCATCCTCTTCGACTTCATCGTCCAGAATCCATACCATGCCGATACCCGGGCCAACCTCACCCTCCTGGATATCGTGTCGGGCCACTTCAGCCAACTTGAGCACGTGTCCGCCGGAGCCCTGCCCGGGAACCACCTGAGCGAATTCGCGCACATTGCCAGACGATATGTGCAAGAGCTTCCTGCACCGCCGTCAACTATGGCTGGTGCTTCGCAGCAGACTGGTAACATGGGACAGACGACAACTTCGCCTGCAATCACGACACCGGATGCCTCTTTGGGAGCTGGTGCGGCGAAAGACATGGTGAGTGCAGCTGCGTGATATTTCTGGCCAGTCGGTTCCGTTCTTTGGCTCATGCTTTACGTTTGAGCAGGCTGCCAATAACTATGAGACATCTGTTGGAGAAATTCGCATGGAAGTCCTGGACAACAGCAACGACTTTGATGCCTCGGCCTATTTCGATAACTTTGCAGGGGCTTCTGACTTCCTCTCTGATGTGGATGTAAGGGCACTACTCAGCGCATCATTCCTGGCTTGATTCAAATCATATTACAACGGCATGAGCCATACACGTCCGTTGTGGAAACAGGTAAATACGACCGACCATGTGGGCTTTGAGCATCTACCTTGGGATACACACTATTACTGTGCCCGGCAAGAATGGAACCGGACAGCAGGACATGTAGGAGAAGCATCGACAACCATGGTAGCGACATTAGCGGACGACATCCCATGTTACAGTCTCTTAGAACCACACAGTATCCAATACTTAGAGGAAAAAAGCAAACACAGAAATTGTCTGTTCTCTCAACACACCAGTCTGTCCATATAAAGGTGTTGAACGGTTGATACTTACGATGGCCTTGATTGCATCAAATTCCATTTCCAATGGTGCCGCATCGAAGATCGTCCGAACATTGAATGAATCCTTAAGATGACAAAGTTACCAAAAAGGCGCATGTGAATACTGTTAAGCGAACAATTAGATCGGTGAGTCACGGAGACTTTGATTTAAAGGCATGTTTTGGAAGTTCTCAATCCCGTAATCAATTACTGCCTTCCCTTGCCTCCATTTTTGCAGCTGTGTCAGTCAATCCTTTCTCGCAACAGCACTGAAGATGGCCTCGAGCAGTAAGATCGAGGGTTACAAGCCCAAGAAACCCCTTCGACGAACTATTCCCTGTATTCATTGCGGCAAACAGTATAAATCTCGTACGAAGCTGATGAAGCACGTCTTTTCTGATGTTTGCCGCCAATCAAACAAGCCAAATAACCGCCAGTCTACGAATCGAGAGAACACCCAGCTCACGAAGCAGAATGAGCCCTCGCTTGATACCTCTTCGTCGAGAACACTGAGCGTGGCAACCTCCTCATCGCAACAAACTACCCAGCGTCAACGCTACACTCCAGCCCAGCAGCATTCCCACCGGTCCAGTCAATCACAGCAGCCTCAAATCGGTCAACGAGCCAGCCAGCCGCGGCAATACCTTCAAGCCCCGCCGCAGTCGCAGACAACAGTCCGGGGACCCCAGACAGCGCGACGCCGATTAGCACAGCCGCAGCGAAACACCCAGCCAGTCTATACTCGGCAAGTCTATGTTCAGCCAACTCAAATTCAGCCTACCTACGTTCAGCCGACCTACGTTCAGCCGACCTACGTTCAACCGACCCATATTCGACGACCGCACGCCCAGCCGCAGTCACGAGCCCAGCCAATCTACAATCGCCAGTACGATTCTTCTAGCGATGATGACAACTATTCCTCGAGCAGCGACCCCAGAGCCCAACCAGCCCAGGAGCCCACTTCGTCTACGGACGAGTGGTCCGATCGTCCGCCCTCCCCGCCGAGCAGCCAGTATGGTGAGAGCGACGACGAAGGGAGAAGGAGGACAACGAGCAGGAAGAGAGTGGAGACCATGAGGGCGAGGACCAAGCGAGCGAGGAGATGGCGAATGCCGAGGCGGCGAGTGAGGAGGATGACTACGATGAAGCTGGCAGTGATTGCGGCTACGGCAGCCACTACAGCGGCTATTCGGATGAATACGGAAACGATTTTGACTCTGGCGAGCAGTATGACGACTACGACTACATGAGCGATGGTGGCTATGGAAGTGATGGTGGATATAGCGATGGAGGATATAGCGATGGTGGCTACAGCAGCGACAATTGATGGCTGCCAGCTAGTGTCAACAAGTCCATCATTCGGAAAGCTCGATTGACTTGAAGGGATTGGGCCACGGCTGAGCCAACTTCTGGTAAACTATACCTCTACACCACGCTTCTTGTAAGCGCACTTAGTTTTGGGCCAAGATCATGGAAGCTTCATTAATCAGCGCACCGAAATCTCTGTGAAGCCTCTTTTCCTCGATCTTTGTGATTCTGCGACGTTTCATCATGTTCATCTCGAAATCACAAACACAACAGCCAGACACCAAACAGCAGCCCCCAGCTCACATTTCTAACCGAAGTGGTAAGTCGTACGGGAGCCCGTAGCTCAAGAGTCGCCAATGTTATTAACTCGGCCCCATGTGGACCGCAGTGGGCAGAAAGGACGACAGTCTGACTAGCAGCAGGAGTTCCTTTAGGAAAGCGGGCTCCTCTTTTTACTTTAATCCACATGAGCTGATAAGTACGCGAGAGGTATTAGATAAAATCTCAATTATGCGCTTTGGTCCGGTCTATTGCTAAATCCTGTTCCCTAATTTTAGACTCTGCCGATTGTAATTGTATTTGAGCAGCCAAGCACATAACCAAGATAACGGACCATGACGAGCAGCCTGGTGTACATGAGTCTCGATCCATGTTGCGACTCGCGTGAGGAGATGGCAGCTCGTTTGGATGCTTGGCCTCCGGGTCTCCAGGTCTCCAGATCAAGTTATTTCTCAACGGGTCATGAACCACGCTGATGAATGGGGATATATATCAGGTGAGGGCTTCGCCCATCAAACTTGCGTATTTGCACACAAGACAACTCTTTCCATCTAAGTTATCAACATGAAGTTTCTTAACTCTGTTGTTCTGGGCGCCTTTGCCGGCTTCTCTTCCGCTGCCCTCGTTGCACACTGCAACACTGGCAACCCTCTCGGAGAGGAATCTGTAGGTTCTTGCCTTGCCCCCCTTATGATGACTGCACATGTGAGCATTATTCGAGGGAAATTGTCATCACTAACCCAGGAATCTAGAACAACTGCGATAATACCCTCGCTGAGTGTGACAGCAAATGCTTTGGATCGGTTAGTCCACCCTGCTACCAAAGACGTCTCAAAGTGCCTGCCGACGTTCAACATTGGCACAGGGTTTGTTAACACTGTAATCTTCATAGTGCGTTGGTGCTGCATACGCTGAGAGCATGTCCTGGAACCCTGAGTATGTACCTTCCCTGCGTTTGTGTCTATTAACATGGTGTTAATCACCCAACTTACATAATTAGCACCAATGATTGCGACTGCTGGTGCAAGGACTAAACCAACGGGACCGTGACGGTTTGGTTCGAGTGAGTCGTGAAGAGCTCGTGAGGCTGAATGGGTGACCAGACTCGTTATTTTTGCAAGCCTTTTTCAAAGACTGACTCCGTTACATAGGACTGTAATTCTGTTTGTATTTTCTGTGACTTGCCCCCAAGGCCATGGCAAGATAGATCAGTCAGCCTCAGGCGGCGTCTCACTCGGAATAGCCTTCCTTGACAGGGGACCATAAACCATAGCCAATTAAACTATTTAAATTACTCTCATATGGTCTTTTATTCAGTCCCGACGTCAGGCAATAGACATCGAAACATACAATACGAACCGCGTTCTCTGAGACTCATTACATTCACATCGAAATCGAAGAAAAAGCCTGAAGCAAAACAAACAGAATGAACCGAGCAAGTATCAGGTGCAGTAGCGGCGGCTACGGCTACACGTGCGACAAGTGTGGCTATGACCGTAGAAACTGCTGTTGCAACTAATCAGATAGTGTCAAGTACGTAGGTAGGGAATTGAAAGATAAGTCGGGAAAAACGGTAGACAAAGATGTGTGAATACTACTTGAGAATGTGACATGATTCGCTTTGGTTTGAAACAGGTAACTAGTGAATGCTCTGTGGCTTTCTTCAAGATAACTTTGACACTAATATACTATGTTTTTGATTTACTCGTCTTACTCTCATTCGAGTTTCGTGTTTGTATGAAGGCTCTGTTTGCTTAGAGCCATGTATTTGTGCTTCATCATCCGAACCAAACTTTCGTGACACAGTGTATGGTGTTTGCTCTCCAAACGATGGAAATGCGCCAGGGAATCACCAGTTTCATCTCACTCCTACAACAGGCTGGGACGAACATAGCAGGGAGTGTCATTTACCTATCACCGAATACGGAGGTGGCAACAATTAGACCCATCGAGCGGGCCTCACTCACCTTGAAAATCAAACAACCTCCGTAGCCACCTTCATCACCGCATCCTGTCCGTAAGGGACATCAGCGCCGATCAGGCAGCCCTCTTGGACCTCTCGCCTGAATCCCAGTCCTCGATGGCATCCCAGTAGACGGTGCGCTTGGCAAGAGGCGCGTTCTCCACCACCAGGACCTCCGACTCGGTGTCGAAGCAGCCGTGGGTGACCCCAGCCGCGCTGTCGCAGAAGGGCCACAGCGTCCTGTCCTCCATGTGGCAGAAGACGCGCTCGAGGTGGTTTGCGTAGCTGGGCCCGACCGAGTGGGGGCTCTCGCAGAGCTCCCTGGCGCCGCTGCCGCCGCGGTGGTTCTTGTCGTTGACCAGGGTGCGCGCGTGCCGCTCTTGCAGTGGTGGTGTGGCAAAGGCTGCCTCGGGGTCGTCTTCGGCATTTCTCTTCCAGGGATGACATGGTAGATATATTCGGTCATTCAGAATTTCTGGAAGTGATGGTGCCCATTTGCACCTGTCCCCGTCGGCCGGATTAATGAACTTGTCCCATTCGTCGTAATACCAGTCTGTTAAGCAATCCACGGGTATGTCCTGTTCGAACTCATCCTCCCAGATAAGCCGAGGGTTATGTTGGGCGACGTCTTCATGAGGATGCTGTAATATCCACGCGACGTGGGTCAGTAGGCTGCATCCGGCACAGAGTATCATGAAGCGCTTACCATGAGGGGGAGAACCGGATTGCCGCGGCGTACTCGTTTTCGCAAAGAGTTGTAGAACCAAAGTTGCCTTGCCGGGTTTAAGACAAAGTCGTCCAAGCTAAAGTCGTCGAGCCTGTCTCCGTAATTCGGAACTTTATATGACGGAAGGTGGAATTTGACTCCAAGTGGGACACGGTACTGATCCACCTCATTCTTCCGCATCCCTTCATTGAGGCGGTCTCCTTCTGGGATGCCGTCTTCTGGTATGACTGAAGAGGCCCATGTATACCCAGGGGCCTTCGGATAATTCCCCCAACTTTCACTTACAGGTCTTGCAACGTACTCTTCCTTTAGATCTTGCGTGTGCTTCAAGGTTCCGCGATGGTCTAGCCAAAAACATTCCCGCTGTCTCGCATCGCTGTCGTAAACGTGACTGAAATACCACGACACTACTATGAGTTAGTCACCTGCCTCTGAACCCGAAGCTATGAATTCGGGAAGATCGCAATAGAATACGAATTGGCAGCCACAGCGGGAGAGGGCTTATACATACTGTTCGCTGCACGGCCCCAGGTTCCGTCACTGTTGATATGGATGTTAGCGCATCCGGATAAATCGGACTCTCGGAGCTCAGAGGTGATTTACAAGGCCCAATTAGTCCCGTCCGGCCACTGGACGTGAACAGATGCCACACAGATGGCGTCAAAACTCCGCTTGATCATGGTAACATATGCTGCCTGGTTGCCCCTCAGACCCTCTTGGCCTGGTGCTGAAGGAATTGCTACAGTCTGAAATCCGCCGTTCAGGATCTCAGGCATTCCTTCTGGCCGTTCTTGTGAAGCCTCAAACTCCCCTTTGCCTTTGTGTTTGGTATACAACTTGAGATTCTGCTTGTTAAAGCCTAACAGTTGGCCATGTGCGTTCCATAAGCAGACCTGGGGGAAGTCGCCTTGGGCTCCCTAATGGTAAAGTTCAATGTTAGCGAACCAGTGTGGCCTCCATTCTGTCTATTCGCACATCGGGAAAGTAAAAGGCAATGTTTCTCAAGTATTGGTTTTCCGCAATACACAAATTGTACCTTTAAGCCTGAGCCGTCAAGCCCAACCGCGACTGCGACTGCCCACGGTGCTTTCTCCTTCTTCTCCTCGGCTTTCTTGACCTCTTTATTGATGGCGTTAATAATCTTGGTGATGTAGGTTTCCGTAAAAGATATAATCCCTAAGAGACCGCCTATAGAACCAATCCATCCCATGAGTGCAGGAACAGCTGGAACGACCATATCTTTTGCCTCGGGTTCAGGAACTGGCTGAGGGACCAGCAGTGGATCGGGGGCGGGAGATGGGTCGGGGTTCGGTGCTGCCTGGACAGCGAGAGGCGCCACAAGGCACAACGCCTGGAACAAAGTCCAGGGTCTGGGTAGACGCATTGTGATGGTACGGCGAGGTCAGTGTGAATGGTTGGATTTGAGTTGGGATGAGAGTTAACAGGATCTGATCAGTGATAGGAAGGAGGGTCAGAGTGGACAACTTGCGGGAAAGCATGAAAGCAGGGGAGTATCTTTCCCTTTTAATGAGACCAGCAGATTTAACATCTGTTATCTATTTCCATAGATCGAGTACTAGTGTAGAGCACGTAATGCTCGTGTGATGCGGCAAGGACACTTTTAGATGGGGCAGTATTGAGACTAATCACGATGTAGCCCTAACTGCTCATACCAGAGACCAGATCTGATGACCATGAAGTTCTATTTAATATTGAATTCACACCGACTTACATCCTGTTTACTTAGTACTTGGCTAGTTCTCAGTTAGATTCTTCATTGTTCCACAAGCAAGTCATGTGCCAAACGTTCTTAGTGTGACGACTATGGCGAGATCACCGCACTATAGCAGTTTAGTATGGGCATCCTATTGATAGGCTTGTCATATGGCCAACTACTATTATATAGCCAGACTGCGTACTAATATCTCGTAGCTCTCAATCCAAGACCCGCGGTGCACACAATTTGACCCTCAAGCTTCGCAAAACGCACAAAGCCCCCAAGAAACTTCCATGTGCAGCTCGATCACGCGGCTGGAGTGAATGGACTTTCAAGCAAATGAGTGTCATAAGCTTTTTCGGTTCAATGCGCATATGATAGCTCCATCATAATTACTAGCCGTAGGCTCGAGCACCTTGTCATCCAGTGCTCAATGAGAAACACTTTAGGTTCGAAAGTATGTCTTGCGCGATAAGTGTCCTAAATCGTTAGATATTTGGATCCTGGAGCAGTGATTCGCTTCTAGCAGTGAGTAGTCTGCGATCGGAGGTGGATTTCATGAACAAATACATACAAACCACTTAGCACTAAACACTAAAAGGCAAAGAGAGGACCTTGAACATGATGCGATGTGTCAAGTATTGGCACCAGACGGTACTCTGCAATATAGAATGAAGACTGAGTTGAGATGTGGATATGTCTCAGCTTCAAGTCGAAATAGTTTTCGACATGGCCTGATAAGATTCAATGATTAGATAAGATAAGATGCAGTGGCTTGTCTCTTGAGGCCGAGGAACATCAATGAAAAGGAAGAGCCTCCACAGATATAGTCCATCACTTTCTCTCTTTGTGTCCCTTCTCTCAAATTCTCAGAATGTCATACCTGGACAAAATTGCTGAGGTCAGTCAGACATAGATGGTCCAAGATGAATAGTAGCATCTGCTGATGCCGTGTGGATAGGAAAGAGACAGAGGCGAGGCCTGATAGTGTTCGGCTGGGCATGCTTAGAATCTGAGGTACGTACTGGTCCCAACAGATGCCAAGTGGGAGCAGCTGCAAGCTGTGAGGCTGCCAGCTGGTGTGGGTACGTACCGATCAAGGGGTCACCCCTCTGCCCCACTATTGGCGGCCAGTTAGAACCCCAACCCTGGGCCCACAGGCCCCAGCCCCCGGTCCTTGACCCACCCCTCACCATTGCCGATTAACCGCCAAACCCCAAATGTGATCGATCCTCTTTTAAGCGAGTGAAATCATCGTCAATCATTGCCGACGAGACCCAATAGACTGTGATGATCCACCTGTCATGATCGCCTTGGCCTGATCTGCTGCGGGGGTCGACATACTATACAGTATAGTATACTGCTGTTCAATGTATGGACAACACAACACAACGCAACATGACACGACAAGGCCTTGAGACGGCCGGCTCGCCTGAGCTTTTTGGGGCCATGCCGTTTTGGGGGTTGCTGCAGGGCGAGGCGAGGGCGAGGACCCCCAGAAACCCCCCCTTGGTGTGACAGATGCTGTTTGAGCCTCATCCAAACCTCGTCTCAGAACACACCCCTTCCTGGAGACGGCGTTTCTGCTGCCCTGCTACTGATCTGCTATGCCCCCCCCAATTCTGCGTCTCGCTCTCGTTCGTTTTCGAAATGGCGCCAATTAAACATCAATTACTTGCTTAATTGCTTTCTTACTCTCTCTTCCTCTTTTCTGCCATCGCGAAAAAGGGTGTCATCCATCGACAAATTCATCGACGACCATTTCGACGACCACCTCGACGGTGCTTCCTTTCTCTTATTTTCTTTCTTCAAAGGCACACCCTGGACGGTGAACAGGCAACTGGACTTGCCTGACGACGCTCATTCCCACCACTCTTAATCATCAACCGCCATGGCATCACACAAGTACGAGAACGTGCAGCTCACAGGGGAGCATGACCACCACAGCGACCACGACGACTCGAGGTCCAGCACAGAGGTTGAGTCGCTGATCGGCGAGGAGAAGTCATGGCGCGCACACCAGCACGAGAGGAAGTCCAAGAGGTCACAACTATCAAGCATCCTGCGGTCATCGCGGTGGATGCTGGACACGACACTGCTGCTCATCATCGTCGCCCTGCTGGTGCGCAACGAGATGAGGGAGCCCGTCCAGGACCAGTGGCAGCTGCTGGGAGACATGACCGGCGTCGGCCCACGGTTCCCTCAGAAGCTCGCCCGGTTTGAGTACGACACGTCCTACGCGCCCATGAACACGTCCGAGTTCTTCACCAATGAGACCCTGAACAAGTGGAACAACCTGATGCCAAGTACGTATACATTCGTGTTACATTTGTCACCACGTCAAGTATGCTAACAGATAATCAACAGAGGGCATGGGCTTCCAGTGGGTCAACGACACGCACAAGTACCACGACCTGCCCAAGCCCATTGACTGGTACGAGGGCATGACGGTGTTCACGACCTCGGTCACGCACCAGATCCACTGCCTGTTCGCCATGGCCCAGACCTACTCGGGCCTGTCCTCGGGCCACCCCATCCCAGACGACCACCACTGGCACATGATCCACTGCATCGCCTACATGCGGCAGGCCATCACCTGCGCCGCCGATACCGCACTCGAGGGCCACGCCACCACTTTCCCCGATGACAACTCTGGCTCCGACGGCTGGGATGCCACTCACGTCTGCAAGGACTACGACCAGGTCTTGAGTTACCTTGAGGGAGTGAGGGCGTATGATGACCAGCTGATCTATTAGTGGATGCATGGTGTCTGTTCTTATTCATTAATTGGCATCCAGTCGGGAAACCACAGAAAACACGCCACTTGCCCGCCGGCGTTGATGGTTGGCAGTATATAAATTAATGACATATATGATCATATCAACTTGATCTATTTACTTTTAAATGCCTATTAAGCTGATTTTCATGCGGTCGTGAATGGATCTCACTGATACAGAGCCTCTTTTTCTGGGCAAAGGAAGCAGAGTATCGACGTCCAAGGGGGCCGCTCACTGCAGTCACCAAGCGCTTGAATGTAACCACGTTTTAGAGTATGAGGAGACGGCATTGTATTTCCACCTACCTGAAGGCTGAGAGGTGCCGTTTTCAACAACGGTGAGTTACTGTTGAGCAAGGATTGCGCCTGTATGCTGAGCTGGCTGAAAATATAAGTCTCGCTCGGGACGGAAATACAACAGCTGCGAGAATGAATCCACATATTAACTTACTCTTTCATCGCATTACTACTTAGGTACACCTGTTCCACAAACCAGTGGAATCATCGACTACTCTCATATATCGCCTTGTGTCACTGCTGTAGGTCTGCCTGATGCCGGAACCTCTCTCTAAGTCTGCCTCTTTCGGGTAAACAGCAAACAGTCAATCTACCCAGATTGAATTTAATGCATATGTGTTACCAACACTGCAGTGAAGTGAATTGCCACAGTGATTGTGATATGCATATATTCTATGTGTGCAAGGAACTTGGCTGAATAATGCACCGTTCCTGTTGACCTTCCGAGAACAAGCCTCGTGGGATAAAAAGTGTAACACACGGAACGGGCCGCCGCAGCCAGTAGATTGCAGTGATATATTTAGTAATGGTTACACAGTGAAATATTTACTCCAATGATCAACACCTGCTGTCACAATGTACCAGTGACGCAAAACGACCAAAGCTCCATCGACTATTCAAAGAACTTGAAGCTATAACCCGTATCGATTGCATCTCCAGGACTATTCTGTCGGCTGTAGGTGGTTTGACTCCACCAGACATAGGTACCAGTGAACCAAGCGCGAGCATCCCAGCTATACGGGGTGCCCTTCTCGACACCGTGGAACATGAAAGGGATGTGCCCGGTTCCACCAGGGCTCTCATTGACATCGCCATCTGGCAGCGCAAACGTGTGATGGCCAGGCCCATCAATGTACAGCGTCGCGTCCCAGCCGTCCATCATCCTGTCCTGATGCGAGCCGAACAGGCAGCCGTTGGACTTGTACCAGTCCCACACATACGTCGGGTCGCCGCCCTTGCGCAGCCGCAGGTCCGCGAGGCAGTACTTATTGTTCCAGCTGCCGTTGGCCGAGTAGACGATGTGCAGCTGGCCGTTCGGATCCACAACAGCCTCGGGGCCCTCGTTGATCAGGGGGCTGTCGCCCTGCTCCCAAGATTCGCGCGGCTGGGAGATGATGAACCGCTGCCCGGTGGGCTCCGTAGGGCTGTTCATGCGGCAGATGTACAGGTTCTGCTCGCCGTTGTTGCTCTCGCTGTCCCAGCCGGACCAGACGAACCAGCCCCGGCCCTCGAACACGAAGAACGTGCCGTCGATGGCCCACTGGTCGTCCGGCAGGGCGAGTTTCGACTCAGACGAGTAAGTACCCAAGGGCGAGTCGGCGCTGATGACGTACATGCGGTGAGCGGCGTCCACGCCGGCTGAGAAGTGGATGAAGGTCCGCCCCGAGTCCGTCGTCAGCTCCGGGGCCCAGATGGCCCCCCTGCCGGCGTCATCAGACCAGACTTTCTCCCGCTGGACGTCTGATGCGCCGAGGCCTTCAAGGGATGATGCCGCGCGGACGTAGATGCCGCCGTCGGCAGACTCGGCCGAGTAATATGTGTCTCCGACGTGGATTGCTGTGGGATCGGCGCCGTTTCTGACCTTTACCGCCAGCGTGGAGTCGGCGAGGCAGAGAAGCACGGCGGCTACTGCGAGCAGCAATGCGGTGGGCTGCCGCCAATATGACTTTACAAATGTGTTCAACATTTTCAAATATTGCTGTCTCTGGATATATCGAACATACTGTCTCCCCAAAACTTCTCTCGTCGAACGGAGTCCCCTTCGTGGATTTTATCCTTTCAACACCAGACCTGAGATCGGCATCAGCAGCTGCGAGAACGCCACACCCTATCATTCTTCTGGAGAGGATTATCCTGTAGCCTGCTGCGGCCCCATAAAAGCCACGATAGATGACTGAGCTGACATCTTGGCGCAGCGAATCCTCCATTCAACATGGTGCTTTAATGCAAGTAGACCGCAGGCGGGCCGCCTGTGATGACCTCACCACCATTCGTTGTTGCTAATGACGCTGTGCCCCCCTTTGGTGGCCTCAGAGAGCGCAATGGAGACGTCTTGATTGGTGAGTACTGCTTATACGACGGCCGCAGGTAAGATGGCCTGGGCAAATTGGCTGAATGTGGAGCTGGTGCCGACTTCCGTCAGCCCTAGTAAAGGGGTGAGAGATCGGAATAGTGAGAACAAGGCGACTAACACAATTAGGTAAGGGTATTGAGCCCGGAAACATTGAATCTCAAGTTCACTTTACAGATATCCAGACTCATGGCAATAAGGTTTGGGAAACGTGACAGTTTCGGGAAGAACTAGTTCCATGAACTCACAATTGCATATTGCGCTTAACTTACATATTGGAAGTAGGACAGAAGCAAACCCATACCACCTAGAGACTTAAGTCAACTAAGTACATTGATCTTGGCTAATGGGATCATGACATTGCGATCTTCGTAGCTGAAAGTTTGAAAGGGAGAAAATACAAGCCTCGGACTCTCGAAAGCTCCTCGCTCTCGCCGCTCATACTCTTTGCAAGATGAAACTCAAGTGAGCAACTCTAAGGCCGATCATCAATTAGGAAGCGGCGTTGAGAAAGAGGATCCTCCGTTAATTTCGGGCCAAGCACGAAGACATGTCAAACAGAGTCAGTACCGGAGGTAATTATCGTGAGACTCCCTTGGCTGCAGAACGCACCTCGTAGAAGATGACGAGAGACTGAAAATATGCCCGGAATGGAGACAAGATCTTCATGCAGCCTTGCTCTCATTTCTCGCGAACCCGCGTTTGTGCTACGCCCATACGCTGTGACCAGGCATCCAGCGACTCCGTGTTTGTGCTTCGCCGCTATGCCGTGCCCTGCTTCTCCCTTCGACTCGGCAGTGAACATGTAATGAAGAGAATAGAGACAGTACTGAAATTGAATATCTATATAAACCCTAAGAGGTCGCAGTCTTCTCCATTTTGAATCCAGACATCCTCACACATCTCCATCAACACAAGACACTCAATTTTACAGACTCTAATACGCTTTCCACACACTACAACCAAAACATCTTCCAAAATGCAGTTCTTCACCATCCCCGTCCTCGCTCTGTTTGCCGCTGGCACCCTCGCCATGCCCAACAACTTGGAGTCCTCCCACTCCCTTGAGGCCCGCGTCGATTGCGGACAGATCCTCCCTGCCTGCAACGGCGGCAGCGTCGTCGGGCAGACCAACTGCCGCTGCAGTGGCCAGGCGGAGACCTGTGATCTCTGGTCCTGCCCCGGTTCATCCCCGAACGTCGTAAGTTCCCCATTTCTCTTCCCGCAATATCTCACAACGCCAATGAATGGTTTCCGTTCTCACCACAACAACCCCTCATCTGTCCCTTTTCCTTGGACACAATTGGCTAATGGAGGATCACCTGTGTACAGATGGTTTGTGGCCAGCGCGGAACTGGTTGCGTGTGGATCTAGGGGATGGGCGCATGTATCCTATTAAGAGCTGGTGGCTTTGAGATCCAGTTTTGCTGAAGGGGGGACTGAACGTGGGAAAAGTGTGCATCCAGATGAGAGACAAGTCAAGTTCTGGATAGCGCAAGATTTGAGGTTTCACTTCAAGACACTCGTTTTTTTTTCCACTTTTTGAAGAACTACATTAGTTTCATAGTTGATTTAGGGATAAAAGGGCACTGTGCGCTTATAAGCCGCTGACAGCAGCAATCCACTGTTACAGCAGAAAAGGGGGTATTTGGCTGATGAGAGTAGCGTTAGCAATAAGCACACAAATCGTCCATGCATGGGTTGCCCACGTGCAAACAAAACACCTTGAAGACAACCTCAAGTCACATTCTACGTAGCATTTTATGTAGTGGTCTGGAATGAGAACCGTGGACACACTTGACCAATCCTAAGCCATAGAAACCCCAAAGCAAGAATTATCATAAAGAAGCTTCTGATAAGGTGATCATTTTTTTTTAAACTTCCTCTAGCATGAATTTACATATGTATGGACCCAAAAAAGCAGTTCTTTCGTTGTACAATTATCTACAGATGAGGTATTAGTCGAGTGCACAGAGAAGCTCACTTGCTCTGTCCTGGCATATTTCGTTATCATGTCATATGGTGGTCGTCACGTCATGGCCTCGTTTGCTTGTCATCCTCAAATCCAGCCGGTCTCTCAGGTGAACGGACACGCGACTTCTGCCTTTCCCTCCATTCCTGCACTTTCTGGTCCGCCGTCCTTTTCTGAAGCCTCCCACGGTCCGACCCAGGCCGCTTCGAAGACTCCCTACGCTTTGAGGATTCCCTTCGGGCGGCCCTGACATCCCTCCGTGACTGAGACCCAAATTCAATCTCCGCTCTCCCCGGGTCAGTGGGCTCCGAGAGCGCTGCACTGTCCTGCAGGACCCGTTGCGCCCACTCCAGCTCTGATTTCGAGGTCTTGACGGCGGTGGGGAACGTCGACGCGCGCGCGGGCTTGGTGATCTCGTCATCGCTGTCCTGCGCCTCGGACGGTGGGTGGTTGTGGGTGGTCTTCTTGGTATCGGCTTCGTCTTCGACCTCGTCCATGGTGACTCGGCGCTGCACCGCAGGCATCTGTAGCCCGGAGCAGGGGTCTGTGTCATCGTCTTGCTCGGATGTGGTGAGGTCTGCGGGCCTGATCGTCTGCGCGGCCTCGCCAGCGGGCCGCTCTCCGGCTCTGCGCTCCGTCTTCACATTGAGCACCTTGGACAGCAATCCTATGTCGGCCCTCTTCGCGTTTCTCTGGAACTTCAGCGTGGCTAGCTGTTCTTCCAACCTTTCGATCTCGGCGGTTGAATCATTACCCCAAGCCAGGCGTGGCTCGTTGTCTACTTGCTCTTGATGATCGACTCTAGTTCTCGATTGCGCTTCTGCAGGAGCTTCCGCTTGTCGCACTGATCCCGGTGATTTCCTGTCCTTATGCGTCTTCAAAATATGACCCTTGATGGTAGAGTGTTCGGAGGAGCCATAGTAGTCGTCTTCGATCACAGAGAACGGGCTCAGATCCTCTCGTCCCTCGTAATCTTCGGTTTCGTCATCGCTCATAATTTCCTGGCCCATTCCCATGTCTCGAGGCCCCTTCCCGCGTGGTGCACCTGTCCATTGAGGCGTCCAGTCCAGCAGAAGCTGGTTGATGATCTGGTCATCCGCATTGCGTTTAGGGTCATACGGCACATTGTCGAACTGAGAAGGATAGAACGGCCGTCGATCGGCCAAATCAAGATCCGAAACGGATCGGTGCAGGCCTCCGCGCACGCGAGAAGCCTCGAGTGCCAGTCGAGCTTCCGCTTCAGGAATGCCCAGCCGTGCGATGGCATTTGACCGCAGGTGCAGTTCGGACGGTTTGCGGCGCAAAGTCGGGTGGTTTGCCAGCGAGCGCTGCTGGTAAGGTAATCTTCTGGGTGCACCTCCCTCGGCTGCGTCAGTCGATGCCACATCCAACGAGTTGTCTGCGTCGTTATGTGTGTGTACCCTTTCAAATGAACGGTCCATGAATCTGCGGTCTATGGCCCTCGTCCGCAGGGTCAGTGGTTGTGGAAACCCATCCATCGAGTTGCGACGAGTTCTCTTCTGATCCGTTGAAGTAGCCCTCAAGTCACCTACGTAAATCTCAGTTAGTCACTGACCAGAACAAATCAAGATTATCAGCTGGGCAGACTACCCTCAGCCTTCTTGTAATCTTCACTCAGCTTTAGTAGGTCACGCATTTGCTCCTGGTTAAGGGCCCTGAGAACCACAACGGTGTTACCCTATGAGTAAAATAGTTAGCTAAGTCTCGTAGCAGGTTTTGGCATTCATTTGTGGCAGCTTGCCTCTTCGATAAAGGGATATCCCAAATCGATCAGTGCCCGTTTGGATGCAAGACGCGCCGCGATGCGAGTCCTGCGATTCTTCGGGTGCTCCTTGCCCGCGTCGTCAGGGTCCGAGTATGCAGATGACCAGCTCGACTCTGTGGATTCTTCCGTGGAGCTTTCGTACCTTCGGCGGTCTACTACCTCAGGACGTGGAGGTCGTGGTGGTGACGGTGCCCTGTTGTTGAAACTTGCTCCTGGCGGTGGATAGCCGTCCGGGGGCCCGTGAGGGTTGTACGGAGCATCTGGAGCATCAGGGGGCCGCGGAGGAGGTGGTGAGTGGAAAGCCGGGGGAAGAGGAGGCGGTGGTCCATTTGGAAAGTGAGGAGAAAACTTTGGTGGACCATTGTAGGAATTAAAATTGTTGAACTGTGGCGCAAGTGGAGGCCTGGAAAATGGCTGGGCATTATTGGTCATTGATGAGTATGTCTGGCTGTCATCATCTCCAGGCATTTGCTCCATCTCAAAGAGATGCTGAAGGTCGACATGCGCTCGCGGAGTTCTCGATAGATACACGAAAATGGCCGTGACGGAGGGGACCAGCTGGAAGGGATTTGACTTTGAGCGGATTAAGTCCAGCTGTCGGAGATTCCACTGGTACTCCGGACTGCTCTCGCCATCGACAATAGTCTCATGAAGGCGGGCAATCTGCGTTTGCTGGTCTGGTCGGAGCGATAGTCTCTTCATGTTAACTGATGGGGGCTTACTGTCCAGGATAAGGAGACGTTGAGTAATATCGTCATGGTTGCGGATGTCCTCTATCACCGTGCATCTTGCCCAGCTCTGTGTCTCCGATTGGGACTCTTTGAGGCTTGAGTGCTGCTGTATGATCCAAACTCGATATGTTGTTAGCGCAGTCTGGTAGTCATCACGATCCATCATGTCTTTAGACACGTCTTGTACATCGCGATGGGGACGGTTCCTGGTGAGGCTTGATTGACGGCTGTGTCCTGGACGTATAGAGAACTGTGGTCCAATTTCTCTGCGCACCAAGCGATTCCGATCGCCAAGGGAAAGCCGTCTAGGATACGTTGGTGGTCCACCGGAATAATCGTCACTCTCCCAGACGCTCTGTCCATCATCCCTCCAAGGTCGCTGCGGATACAGATCCTCCACGATTGCCATGACTGCGGGCTCCTTGCTGCCCCCGATCTGGAACGAGGACTTTTGCGAAATACTGAGCTGCACCAACCGCCGAGTCTGGGGTCCGGATCCCCCGTCGTCAAGCACCGCCTGCAGTGCAGCCAAGTTCTCGGGACTCAGAGAAGCAAGCTTTTTGTAGACTGACTTCTGAGATTGGCGGAGGCGCAAGGCACCGTTGACTGTATCACGTAATCCAGGCTCAAGACGGTATGGAATCGCATGAGACTTGCCCTGTTTAATTATGTAGACGCATGTCTGGGCTTCAGGCACGGCAGTTGCACTGCCCTCCGAATTGAAGTCTGTAGTGAATGATTTGGGTCTCGAGGCTCCTTGGTGTGCGCCCATTTGAACGGGGTCTGTAGAGCCTGCTTCTTCGAGCTCGCGTCTGAGTTTGTCCTGCTCTTGTCCAACAGTGGTGGGAACTGTATTTGTCGACTTCTTCAAGTGAGGACGAGGATTGCCTGGGATACGTGTTGTATCTATTTCAGGCTTCATGCTCTCACTATTGCGTCGCCCGCGACTCATCGACCGGCCCAAATTTCCCGCGCCCCTGTCTTCCTCGGGTGCAACTGTCATCCTTAGAGGCTCGTCTTGAGAACTGCGAGCATTGTTTGGGCCTGTGGCTGTTCGTAAGACGGGTGGGGGTGAATGTGGGCGTTGAGTCTGGGTAGAGAATGGTCTGGCTTCATTCATTTGCTCTCCAGAATGGGGATGGAAGTGACTCTTAGGAGGCAAACGCGACCCAATTGCAGGTGGCAGGGAGGACGTTCGTTTTCGTTGAGCCATCGTTGGTACAAACGAAAGGCTCCCTTCGGAAGGACCTTTCTTTGCACGTTGCTTTCCCCCGGATTTCCTGTTACCAAAATTTATCACACTGACTGATGTCTGGTCAGGGTTTCTGTTATGGGAAAACTGTGCCGCGATGGAGTGAATATTTCCCTGAACAGCGATTCCGCGGATGTAATTATACGCGACAGTCTGCTTCCAGTCTTCTTGTCTCCAGCAATGTTAGCTTGTGACCGAAAAGTTGTGGGACATCAGGTCACTCACTGATGTGAACGTTGGTGGATTCCAAGAGACACGACTGAGAACATAAGAGTCAAACTCAATTGGAATTGTTGCAGACGCTTGCTGTATCCTTCCAATTTGGAGAAGTCACCTTTGAAAGTCCAACGAAACCGATTCCGTAGGGAGGAAGCCGCCTCAGCGAGAGAGCTATCAATCTCGAAAACGGGCTGTTTTGAGTTATTTTCTGTATCCCTTTTGAGCGCCAAAAGCCTGTCCAATAGCTCCTTCTCAAATTTGGGGCCGTTCTTATTCGTAATCGTTGCCTCGATCCTCCAGAATATGGCCAGGCACTTGTGTGCTGTGTCTTTCACGCCCAGAATGGCGGTACTGGAGAAGAGTAGTAGGCCTTTTCCCTTTTTGAGATTCTCCTCTTCGATTTGTAGAAATTCGTGGATCCTATCCAGCGCCACTACAGTTGAGTCGATTCCGTCAACGGCAGCTTGCAAGCTCTCCTTGGCGTCACCAATCTGAGAGTAAAACTGATAAATAGCGGCTGACAGCTGAAAGCCAAATCCTGCTATCCCGATGACAGAGCCAGCGGCTCCAAGAGCGCTGACAGGATCCATACAATCGGACTAGCTCGTGAGGGCAGGGTCACCATAGCTGACGCATAGTTTCGAAGCCATTGAGAATTCGCAACGTCCGGTACCGGATAAGATTATTTGCCAGTAGTCACTGAAACATTCGATCAAGACAGGGTTTCGAGGACACTTGGGGTTTTTGAAGACGAAAGAGAGGGCTCGGGAGCTAACACTGCATGCACTGCTTTTTACACATCATATGCATTGGCGGACCGACTGTGATATCTGTCTGAGTGGCTGGGACGTAGCTTAGCGTCTTACTACACTGCGAATGCAGTGGTATGGAGGCCTGCATGCATACCTGCATCCTTTCAACGCTGCGCCATCCAGCTACAGTAGTGTGGGAGTAGCGCTTAGCAGTACATGTGTAACTGCAACGAGGCTCCGTGGGCATTTTGGCAACCCCCACAGGCAGACACGGAAGCAATGGAAGCATGGCATTCTTACAATTTTCTACTATTGTTGAAGTTCATGATATTGTCTATTTATACAGACATTAATTATGGAAGTTTTCGAATAAGCTATTTTTATTGGACCGATGACTTATTGATACATGATTACCTGAATAGAGATGTTAGTTGAAGTGGTTGGCTTACTTGACACGCGACTGTAAGCGGCTTGTGACACGAGGTGTGTTTGTTTAGCCGCCGGCCTGCAGAAAGTAAGTGAGCTAGTGAAATTGGCCGAAGGTGAGACCAAGTAGTCTACCTGTCGTGCTGTCAGGTCAGTGGAGGCAGTGTTGGTGAGTTCAACCCCAAGCTGCAAGCCACAAAAATAAGCCCTGCCAGAGCTGAAGTATATTATCGATAGCCAACCCTAGCTGTAACCAAATTCCTAGTTTCCAGTCTCTCTTGCATCATCGTACGTGGGGGCAGGGGGGCTAACCTCGTGATTATCCAAGTACTTGCAAAGGGCGCCAACATAGTCGCGAGACCGAGCTGCACTTACTTGAGCTGCTTCGGTTCTTTTAGGTCATTGACTTCTCAACCAGGGTTCTGACTGACCCATTTGGGTGACGCTTCACGGCTGGGCTGCTCGACACTGGACAAGGACTTGCGCCTCATCACTGAGAGCCTCCAGATCTCGTGAACCAGCCTCGTATGCTTGACGATCTTGTTGCTCAATGGCGGTTGATATCAATTAGTCCCGAGTCAGTACTTCATTGATAACTATCTTCTATATGGGAATATAACGATCCTTACCCGGTAACTTCGGGCTCAAAAATATACCACAAAATTGGCCATTGAGATTGATATTGGGCGAACTGAGACGTGTCCCATTCAATTGACCTTCCTAAAAAGCAATTCATGATGCTAAATGCTTCTGAGACAGTCTGGAATAAAAAATGACCCCGACTATAATTACGCCAAGCCAGCTGACGCCAGCTGTCACCAGCTGCTGAGCTTGTCTCGGGTCATCGTGGCACAGCTGAGCATGCCGCTACATTCTGGAATCTTCGCCCGGAGGTTCGCCAATCACCGAAGGAGCTTATTAATAAGTGCGAGCTGCACTGAGCTGCTTGAGCTAGCAGTACACAAGACACATCGCTTTACACTTGCTTGAGTGGGTCACAGTCGGGGTCAGTTCTTGGTCTTACAGTCTCTACGTGTAACGCCCATACGAACAAACCATACAACCCATTTGCATTGCCAATACACAACACCCGACTCGACATCTACAAACCGGATAAAGCTGCCCAAGATGAGCGGCCCACAAGACTCGAACAGCCTGACGTCGGCGACGGCCTTCTCACCATCTCTCGAAGCCATCCGGCTGGCGGCGCAGATGTACAATGCCGCTCGCGAGGGGAACAAAAAGGTGCTGGAGGAGGCCATTGAGTCGGGTCTGCCGGCGAATCTGACAAACGAGAAGGGGGACACGCTGGTGAGTGGGCGAGCCCCTACCCCTTGAAGTCCGACCCCTGAAGTGGCCGATTCCCGAGTCAGGGATGCAAGCGTCAGCCCCGCACTCAAGGGTGGTCAGCGGCAAGCATTTTGGCTGGGCATGTTGAATTGGAATGCCTGTAAAGCAGCATTGAGAAACTGACATTCATGACAGCTCATGCTGGCCGCTTACTACGGCCACGCGGACGTGGTCAAGTTCCTCATCCAGAATGGGGCCGACCCAAACAGACTGAACGACAAACGCCAGAGCCCGTTGGCCGGTGCTGTTTTCAAGAAGCTGGATGATGTTGCACAGGTGGGTCTTGTTTGGGCACTTTTCGATCCTACTGAACCATACCTATATCATCACGATTCAGGTCTCGTAGTTCAACTTACATCCGCAGTTCAGAGCTGATATCGTGCGACCAGGTTCTCCTCGACGGCGGTGCCGATCCTGATTATGGAACGCCATCAGCCCTCCAGTGCATCGTTATGTTCAAGCAGGAGGACAAGTGGAGGGCAAAGTTCGAGTCTGCTCCGGGTCGGGGCAAGGCCACTGATCCCGAGACCACCGAGGAGAGGGCCCCCGAGCGGATGAAGTAGAGGCTGGCATCATGGCCAATCGGTGAGGGTATGCGTTTCTTTCAGCATGGCATTTTTGGCATGGGGATTTTCGTTTATACAAAACTAGTCACGATGAAGCGATCAAGACAATTACAGGAGTCATCGGAGTGCATAGGTGCATGATGCGGTTGCTACCCACGCATCTCAGTCTCAGTGAGAAAAACTGGGCTCCTTTAAATTTGAAGAAATTATCCAACTCATTCTGTTCTTTTCAAAAAGACTTTGACTGCTTGAAGCATCTTGCAAAACTCCGTTTGCATGTGGTGAAGACCTGAAGCGGTCTCAAGTAAATATATCAAATAAATCGAACTAAATTTATAAATTTATGATCACTGGCTTACTTCACGGAGTACCAACGATTTCGAAATCTATGTCCAACGGACAAGCTTTGAGTGAAGTATTCTATTGCACGAAGTGCCGAAACATAACGAAGAGAATGTAAGAAATGGAATGTGGAAGATACCAGCGGCATGACCCACCAAAGAGATCTTAGAAAAGCGTTACTAGAACGAAAGCAACAAAGGCAAACTGTACGCCATCGCTACGAAAGAGACCAGGAGCACCCGCAGTGACAACCGACGGCCGCGACGACCCAGCCACGATGATACTGTTAGTCGGCGTCGTTGGGTTCGTGGTGAGACCCGACCTGATGAGCTCAGTTGATCGTGTGGCATGCGGATGGGACTTGGAAAGCACAGGTGCAGCTGACTCGTGTTCAGCATCAGAGGGGCCAACACCAGGCGATGAGATCTCTCCTGCGTGAGCATCAGCAATTGAGGAGGGGGCGAGGCTAGAACCGACGCTTTGGCCGATTGGTAATGCACTGGTGACTGGTATCACTGTCAGAATGGCGGTGGGACTTCCGCTCATTGTGGCTTGGATGGTCGTGGGCACGGAGACTATCGTGAAACTGGTGGAGGTCGAATCTGGCTGTCCATGGTCTCCGTTTGACCTGCCGGTCTGGGTAGTGGGCACAGCATTCTTGGTGTCACTGCTACCTTGAGTCTCATTCTCGGGCATGAACACGGTGTTTGTGACGGGTGAAACGGTCGTGCTCACGGGGATGAGTGTCGTGGCCACGAGTGTGCTTCCCGCTGGACAGTTGTCCACTCCAGGTGTGCACTTTGTCAGGGTGTATGAGGAGGCTGAGTCTGTATGGGGTTAGTGAAAGAAATGCCACAAAGTCGACATGTGGGTGAGCTTACAGATTGTGGAGGCTGACCACTGGGTTGTGGGCTGCTCCTGAGGTGGGCTCGGACGAGGACTCTCAGTCACCGGACAGATGGTGGTAGAAACTGGGATGGTAGAGGTAACGACTGTTGTACTGGATGCTGGACAGCTGGGGACATTCGCAGCACAGGATGTTATAGTGTAGGTCGTTTCCGAGTCTGTGGTTAAGATTAGCTCTAGTGGTTTTGATTTTTCTGAGGCGGGATGACTTACAGATAGTTGAGGTTGTGAGTAATGGGGTGGAAAACTGTACAGGTGCAACACTAGTAATAGTAGATCCTGATACAATGATAGTAGCAGTAGACTGCGTTTGTAGCGAATGTGTTGAGCTGATCTGTGAATGCGACGATTCAGACTCGGTCGATTCAACCAAAGTGATAGAATCTAGTTTCGTGGCAGACGGCTCAGACTGGGTAGTCGCTATAAGTGTCCCGCTGGTAGATCCTGCGGTGAATGAGCTAGAAAGGTTCTGCATGTTTGTCGTCTGCAAACCCATCGTTTGGGAGCGAATTGAAGTAGAAGGACTTGTCGTATTTTGTGATCCCAGAGTGGATGACGAAGATGTCGACTGAGAATGAGATGTCGTCGACTGGGATTCGTTGGGTGACGAACTGGTGTGCTCCGTGGGAGGCGCGGACGAAGATGTCGATTGCGGGGATGACTGGTATATCTCCGAAAATGACGAGTGCACAGACTGAGAAGTATGAGAGACAAGTCGCGTCGAAGTTGTATAGTCAGGGTTGGTGTTTGTCACGGTAACGTTTGTGGAACCAGATGCTGAGCTTTGTGGCCCAATGGAGGAGAACTTTTCATGGTTTGAAAGAGATGACGAAGTCGTTGACACCTGATGGTTTGAGAACGTTGTAGATAAATGCTGACTAGATGACGATGTTGAGGGTGGTATATCTGTGGATGATATCAAGCCCGTGGGGCTCAACGAAGTTAAGGGAATGTAGTCGGGAGGACTCGAAGACGTTATGATAGCTGGGCTCGACAGTGTGGTACTAACGTCGGCGTTCGTCGACGAAGTTGTCGGGACAGCGGTTACGACGCAAGAGCAGGCGGCCGAGACACGGCTGACACGCTCCCCTTCATCATCTCCGCTGCAGTCCTTGAGGTAGTTAGGGATGGCTGAGGCATCAGTAATGGTGCCATCCAGCCACTTGGCACAGTCTGTGATGGCCGTCTTGCGGTTTCGGCTTTCCATCATCTTGTTGTAGTACTCATCGGCTTGACAGCTCGGCGTTTTGGTAGACGTTTTGGTAGAAACAGCCATGACGGCAAAGGCCGCAAAGCTGAGGAAGACAGTGGTGGTTCGCATTGTAATTCACTGTTGCTACTATGTTAAAATTTGAGATGGCGAAGATGCTCATATGACAGCTCAATGTGATTCTGTCGATGGCAAGATCGTGGATTACAAACTCGATCCCCTGTGCCATCTCTTTATATTTGCCCGGGAGTATTATGGGGAGGATGCCTTTGATCAGAAGTCCAAAATGCATTGACAATCACGGGTGAGCGAGAACACTAAGCGTCATCACGACTAAGCTTCGTAGCTGGTCACCTTTGACATAATAGCTGCGGGAACGGCATCCCGACGAATCCCACACGAAGAGAAGAGATTAGAGCCCACTTGAAGACGCAGGCGGGCATCATAGGTGGCTAACTACTACGAATGTGCACCTTACATGAATCTTGGACGGACGCTAGGTCTCCCTATTACTATGAAAAGCTAAAAGACAAGACGACATACGACAACACATATTCCATTCATGGCTACACTACTCCGTATGACCAACCATAGCTCAAGATCTCGGCCGTTTCCCTTGAAGGATAAAAATGCCATCGAGAAACAGGTATGAAAGACTGACAGCGGATCGATGTTATTCGGGGACATCAGGCCTCGGAGGGCCCGCCGGGTGTTACAGTAGATGATGTTCGTTGCCGTCCTTAGGAGCTATTCCCTTCATTGTCACTCAAACGATAGACAAGATCAGTTCCTGTAAGTCTTGAGCGTGCCGAACCTTGATTTCTTCGTGTATTATTTATAGAAGATCTCCATTGTACTGGCGGCTCGCTCATCTAAATAAAGACGCACGTGCCGTCCGAAGTCACCGGTACGTCTACGTATTCTTTCACTTATTCTCCCATTTCTAGCTCCTGCCAAGAGCCGCAAACCAGTAATATGCTGGGCTCTTGTCATTTGTTGTCACCCGAATCTTCTCGAAAGACTTTGTTTGTTTTTTTACGTGGTTCTGCTGCCGAAGGCTAACCCAACATTTCCACAGCCGAGGCAGGTCGAGCATGCATTGGAATCCTGAAAGAAACCCTCAGAGCGGTTGAACCTGGCTATCTAGGTATAGTAAACTTCTCGTCATAGATCATGCATTGAAGTGTTGATTCTCAATAAGTAACCTCTGCCTAGGCAGGCTCATGATTTCAAATCTCTTGGTAAGTACTGCGTAGTGGTGTACAAACAGTCGACACACAATGAGCGAGAAACAGTCATAGTACCTCGGGCTTGATCATTGCATGCTTGCTTCATGTCGGCACGTTTTAATGTGGCTCAGCAGAGCATAGCCGGCTTGCTGTCTGTCGAGGCCTGAGCAGGAACGGTGACGGGAGAAGTGAATAAGAGGGATGGAAGCGGGTAGTTGTGGGCCACTGTGGGCCACATCGATCGACATAGGAAGCTTGCCCCGTGGGAAGTAACAGTAACAACGGAGAGCTCGGAACAGGATATGCTCATGGCCCATCCACCACCTGCACTGGCTGTGGAGACAGCTGCTGATCGATCGGGCGAGTGGCCGACTTCCGTGGCGGGAGACAAGCCATCAGGACGAGAACGGCTTGTCTCCTGTCTCCTGCGTCGGACGGAAGTCGGCCACTCGAAGGCCAAATGACTCCAGGGGTCAAGTTTGTGGGATGGTGTGAAGGTGTCAACCTGTGGAACCAACGTCGGGCAGGGCACAAGAGGCAGCTGGCTACGCTCAGATGCTGGAACTCTGTTCCCAGGTACAGATGAATTTGCTTTGCCGTCGATGTCATGAGGCTGACAGTGCTAAAAAGCATTGTCCAAGAGCGAGCCTTTAATTATTCAGTGCCCCTGGATCCTGAAGGCATTACATCATTCTAAGCCTTCCTTACTTTTGCGCAAGGCAAAGCAACTGGGCTATTTGGATGAACGAATAGCCGCGCTGTACCCAGATTTGGCTCCTCGGCCGACAGATCCGCGTAAATCCGGATTTTAAGGGTATGTATAGTGGGGGAGAGGCATCTTTTGGCTCCAGTAACATCCCCGCATGGGCTGTGTAGTCGCATGACTTACAGACGATCAAATTGATTAACGGTCAAGGCCGGGCTGGATGGGGAATGTGTAACGGGTAAATGGCACTGACTCGTCGGATTTTGATTAATCAAAATCCGAATATAGACATTCGGATATCCCTGAGCGGATACAAGTGACCGAGAGAAAGATGGTTATAAAGGTTCTTGTTTCCAGCCTCGAAAGCTTATATACAACTCATTCTCCAGCAGCCAGCCAATTCAGGTCCTGCAATAAATCACAGTCTCTCTCTAAGTAAAGAGCGTCTCTAGTCTCTCAACTTTGCCCACACAAATATCAAAATGAAGGCTTTCACCGTCCTCGTCAACTTGGCCCTTGCCTCCAGCGCCGTTGCCGTCGCTGTCGACAGCCGTGCAACTCTCCCGGGCTTTGAGGAGCGCGCTTGCGGCACCACTGGCGGTAAGTTCACAAGAAAACCCCTGCTAAATTAGCCAGCTGCATGACCAGACGTTATGCAACCCACAAAGAAGACAGACTTGCTGACAATATGATCTTCCAAACAACAGCGCCTTGCACTAGCGGTGACGACTGCTGCACCTATTGCGACCCTTACTCTGGGTGGACTTGTACCGACCAGACCAGCGCATGCGTTGCTACCGGCAGTAAGTTTGAACCAAACTCATAATGTGTTGATTCAATTCGTTCTTCAGTCGTACTTTTTGCTGATATATCTCCTTTGCAGCGGTCCCTGCCTTGGGCCAGAACGACTGCTGTAGCAAGGCTGTTGATTCGGATGGCAAGTGTACTTAAACAATTTGTAAAAGTCAATTAATCTGTACATATTCTACCATGGCACTTGCAAGCCGTTGAAAAAAAACTCAACTATTTGCTGCTTACCCTTTTGTCTACGCTATTGACGTTAGAATGATGATGACTCTGATGCAACATGCTCCTCTCGCCCGTAATCACATGTCCCTCTAAATTGAGGGGTTCAGCCCAAAAGCTACCCTTGCGACAAATCTGACGGACGACCCATAAGGCATGTCTCATATCGCACAGACAAACCTGCTCCGTCTTTTCCCAAGGACAGTTCGACTGAGACCAACAGCTACCCGGAAGCCTGTAACCGTTAAATATAGGTCCAGAGCCATGACTTCTACAACGCCGCCCACCGTTCTGTACGAGCCCTCATCCGAGGGTATCACCCGGATAACCATCAACCGACCCAAGAACCGCAATGCAGTCAACGCCGGCACGGCCCGGCTTCTCGCGGAGTCATTTCAAATGTTTGACAACGACGACAAGCAAAAGGTATGCGTCTTCACCGGCGCAGGCGGCGAGGCCTTCTGCGCGGGGTACGACCTGCACGAAGTCGCCGCCTCGTCGTCCTCGTCATCAACCTCTAACATTGGCGCTCATGCATCATCCCGTGTGAGGCCGGTGACGACGACAAGCCCGAGAGACCCGCTGAGCGATATCCTTGGCCCCATGGGCCCGTCTCGCATGCTCACCTCCAAGCCCGTCATAGCCGCAATATCCGGCCACGCCGTAGCTGGTGGACTGGAGCTGTCACTCCTGGCAGACATGCGCGTGTGCGACACGACTGCCGTTCTAGGCGTGTTTTGCAGGCGATTTGGAGTGCCGCTCGTCGATGGTGGGACTGTCCGGCTGCCCAAGATTGTCGGTCTTGGTCGGGCGCTGGACATGATCCTGACTGGGCGGCCTGTCGATGCAAAGGAGGCGTTGAGTATGGGGCTGGCAAATCGTGTGGTCGAGAAGGGAAAGGCGGTGGAGGAGGCTACGGCGCTGGCGAGGAGCTTGTTGGCTTTTCCGCAGGAGTGCATGAACTTGGACAGGCAGTCGGCGTACTACAGCACGTTTGAGGCGTCGAGCTTGAAGGAAGCATTGAAGTTTGAGCACGATACTGGCATTGAAGTTGTTGCGAAAGAAAGTGTTCAAGGAGCAACAAGATTCCACAAGGGGCAGGGCAGAGGGGGATCGTTTGAGCTGGCCAAGGGAAAACTATGATTCTTCTCTGAGATATTCAGATGGATCAGCTGTGTCTTTGGAGTAAAAGCAAATTGTCGATGTACGGGTCAGTCACGCGCTGGAAAGCGCTGTCCAGAAACGAATTTAATGATTTCATGTCTGCTGATCGCGTGCCTCTTCCAAATTATCGTTTACACAACAGCAAACATTGAATCGAGAAAGGCTTGTGTACTTGACGGGCAATGAGAATTTGCCGTTAGGTAAATTCCTATTTGGCTTTCCTGGGTGCAGTGCCCGAGAGTCCTATGAGCTGTCATGATTATTTCCCCCAACCACAACTAGGCGCGCTTGTCTTAGTCTAAGAGGCAGGTGAATACCCGTGATGGAATATGTGAAAAAAGTCTCAATGCCTGCACGAGGGCTGATCTTTAGAGAGCATCATGTATTCCAGACCGGCCCAGAGTCAGCCCCTGAACTTCTTGCTAACTTCCTCAAAGCCCATCCCCTTTTGCAGCTCTGCCATCACCTTATCATCCGCCTCAACCATCTTCTGTACTATCGGAATGACCTGCTCGGCCAGCTCCTTCGGGCACACCACCACTCCATTCAGGTCTCCAATGATGTAGTCCCCAGGCCTGATCTCCATATCCTGCTCGTCCGTGGCCAACTTCACCGGCACATCCACACCGACCACCTTGAGCAGCTCCTGTGGCGGCGCAGTGCCCACATCACGACCAAAGATGGGGAAGCCCTGCTCCCGCTGCTCGTGCAGGTCGCGGAACCGCCCGTCTATCACGCTGCCGACGGCCCCGAGCGCTTTGGCCCGTGCGGTCATGAGCCCGCCGTAGACGGCGTTGGGCGTCTTGGGCGGCGCCGAGACAAACAATACCGCGCCCGCCGGAACCGAGTCGATGTAGTGGGTCGGGTGCTTCGGCGCTGGGTCTGATAGCGGCGCGTACTTGACGGTGTACGCCGGGCCGACGATCCGCGTGTCGCCGGCCTGGCGTTCTGGCGACCAGAGTGTGAGGCCTGATAGGAAGCCTCCGTTGCGGTACTTAAGCTTCACCAAGGCGCCTGAGATATCGCAGGTCGGGAACTGTTTGAGCTGCTCGGCGATGGGGTCTGAGGCCATCTTGCCCGTGCAGGAGAAGGCGCGGGCTGGAACGAGAGTAGCAGTGCGGAGGCGTGACGGCAGTGCTGGCTTCAGATTGTTGTTCAGACGTAGGGGCACCGTTCTGAAGAGGATGGACATGCTTGTGTCTGAAACCTTCGATTTGATATCAGTCGCGGCCTCACCTATGTAGCGAATAGTACTGAGGGCCAACGGAGTCAAGCAAGTGGCTCTACCGAACAGAGCCGGTAGTCGCTGTCGGGTCAATCCCGCAGATCCGCCCACATCACGTCGGGGAAACGGCATTGAACCGGGATTGTTTGAAAACATGGTGTCGGAGTACAGCCGCTGATCTGTTAGTTTCATTTGCAATCACATCTGACTGGGGCCGAAGATGTCCTTTATCACCGCTTGATCCTCTCGGCGTCTTCGGAATTGAACGGAATGAACGCAATACATTCGCTAGACAATGGGTTGTACATCACGACTGCGACATTTGTGAAAGCCCATATTAATATTCATGCCCTACTAAAACTTCAATACAGACAAACGGCAAATTGACAGACAAAGTCAAACCAACACGATGTGAATTACAAGGACGGTAGGAAAATCATCAGCTAGCAAACAAACAAAAAAGCCTCTCCCTGTTAAAGTTGACCGTGGTTTAGCGGTCACCAAAATCGTGCCGCAAACGACACCGGATCTTTCACACTGTTTTCAGCCCCCATCTTACTGGCAGACAAAAGAGCCCACCACCCCAGGCACAAAGCTATAAATAAACCTGTCACTGGCAGCAAAGTTTCCCAGAGATCCGCCATTTATATCGAACGCCTCGCAGATCCAGCGCTCGCCAGGCGGGGTAGTCACATCCTGAACCGTAGCGCCGGTGTAGTAGCCCGTCCGCTCGGCGAGGCTGACGGTCTGGCCAAGATAGTAGCCAAACCCGGTGGACCAACCAGTCTCGTTGTTGGAGAACACGGCGGCACCAGCATAGGGCTCAGTCGCGCGAGCTTCGGCGGCCGCGGGCTGGACCTCACGCTTTGTGTCCGGCAGGCCAAAGCCGCAGATGATCAGACCAACTTGTTGAGCTGGGTCGATGGTGGTGGTCCAAGGGGGCAGGGAGATAAAGGGGGTGAAGTTCTTGTCGTGTAGTGTGCAGTGGAACTCTGGGACGCAGAGCTCGAGGCATTCAACCACGGCCAGGTCGAAGGTGAAGGTCGAGTCGACGGGGACGGCGGTCCCATCCATGGAAGCATTGAACTCCTCGGTCACCGCGAGGATCGTGTTGGTGAGCGAGACCCTGATAGGCTCGGACTGGCGTTTGTTTGGGGCAGCAGCGGCCAAGGTGGCCAAAAGAAGGGAGATTGTCGTCTTGAAAAGCATTTTGAAAAACTTTTGTACTTATCTGCCGTGTTCTGAGGGCTTTCTTGCTGTCGACTGTTTGGAAATTGGCTTGATTCTCGTGGGATGGCCACTGTCGAGGTCTGTGGAAATGCCCGTATTTATATTGCTATCATTGCAGCTGAATTATTCACTGTGGCATTCAAGGCTGGGAAAATTGCACGAAAGTATTGCTCGAACCTCTATCTTTCTCTCGTCAACAACGTCTCATCAACAAATCAAATGTGATGTGAAAAACGTGACGCACTCGCCTCTCAGCACCAATCACTTGGCGGACAACAATAATCATAGAAACCACCGAAACAAGTAACAATATTCGTTGTCAGCCTTCCTTGATCTTACATATGTCACACAAAACGTGTTTGTCCCCCTTGATCAAAGAATGTGGCCAATACGTGACTGGCGTCCAGTGTCTCACTCTTTCGCGGCACCGCCGCTTAGCGGGTTCGTGGCTGCGCAAGCCTTGCTGTCAGGGTATTGCCGCCAGTGGGATTTCAAGCCGAGTTCGTTAAAGTGGACAGGAATATTTGGCTGCTTAGCAGTCAGCTCGTACAACATAGGCCATGCTGAGCTCTATTTCTTTCTCCGGCGGTCGCGGATGTTCTCAGCTGCCTTTGGATTACGCCAAGCTCGTGCACCTCATCAACCCCCGCCTCTAGGAATCGTTTGACCGATGAAGCCTCCGGAATTGTGGATTTTCAACAAATACTAATTTGTGATCTGGAAAAGAATGAATAGAACGACGACTTCGAGAGCGGCTTGCTAGGTTCTTTGTTGTTCGAGCATGCAGGTCAGACATCCTGGCCCTGTAAAGCAACAAACAGAAAATCGCTGCGACTTTTACGGAACTGTATCTTACAAGTCTCTTTCGTAGAGCGCGATGGTGTCAATAGGAGGAGCGGCGAGCAACTACGAGAGTCTCAAGTGTCCGAAAGCCTCTGCATCTTGTCAATGAGATGACTGAAGAGGCTAAAAATATTCCCACTGTCCCTAAACAAGCGACGAAAATTCTCGGAAAGGACCCACTGCAATAACATCATTTGGCCCCTTGGACTGTCTGCTCAGGAGTCCCCAACCTGCCAAGTTTAACCTTCCAAGAGGGTCGGTATGTCAGCTTAAAACAATCACGCGGCCTTTTTTTTTTGGGATCGACAATCCGTAATCTTTAGTGGAGCATCCAGCGGGCATGTTCAGGCCAACGTGAAACCCTGGCGGAGAAGCGAGCCACGCGAGAACCGACAATGATAACAGAACGGGACATTCTAGGCGATGACTACGGACGATGCATGAGTTCGATTATCAAGGTCGAGTTTGTGCTCTCAGAGTGAGGATTTTGTTATGTGTTGAGTCTACAGTCAGCTGATTGATGAGGGAGCCCTGAGAATAGAGGGAGGGTAGTGTAGTAGAGTGAAAGGGGGCTGCAGACACCCTTCCACAATGCTCCCACCAGTTTGGAATATTGTACATGAGTTTGACACTGGATTGAATATGTGAAACTGGTCTTCGGTGAAAGAAAGTTATGTAAAGAGCGGCGGCCCTGCGAGATAGGAAAAGGGGTGTCTCCATTCGATACTCTAAGACTGGCCAACCAAGCGTAACCCGTTCTTAGTCTCAACAAGGCGCACCTTCGCTGTGTCAGCGGCAGCTCTCATCTCCTCCAAGCTCACCGCAGCCCCGGAATCTTGTCTCGTCTTCAGGTCAAGACCATTAAACAGCACAGCCAACATCGAGCTCTTCCAGACCCGCGCTCCTTTAGAGTTCGTCCTCAAGACAGTCAGAATAAGAAACACAATCGTAAGCAGCAGTAGCGCAGCCGGGAGTGAAATCCAAACCCAGTTTACAAGAACGCAAGTCTGGTTCTCCCAGACCATCCCAGTCACTGGTCCCACGTTATCGCTGATTCCGTCGCCCTGCCGCCAACGAGCAGTTATCGACCGTGCCAGCCCGTCCATGGCGGCTTGCACCATCTCCAGCGTGGCGTTGCCCCCGTTCCAAAGGTTGACAGACCAGGGGGTTCCCTTTGGTCTTTCGGTCACTTCATCAAAGTACAGGCTTTCGTTGCCTACCAAACTATGTATAGAGCCCGACAGACCCATTGTGGGTGCGTAAGGGATCCAGTACACGCAGTCTTGAGGCCACCACTCCGTCTGGTTCCATGCATCTCCGGATCTGTTGATCAGCTGGTCTAGTGGAAAGGAGGTTCCAATGTTCAGGCCCTTGTAAGAGGGCCAGCCGATAATGGGGAAGTTGTGCTCATCCGATGGCTCACTTCCGCTAGTGCACTCGTGCCATTCACCTCCCCTGATAGTCCTATTGATCAGTAGTAGGGAGTGGGTTCCGAGCGCCACTGGCCAGACCTCCATGCGTTGGGAGTCTAGGACTTGCTCAAGAAGCACCCCGTTCGTAATGTTGGCGCTATAGGTATCCACGCTGGGATAGAACTCGCACTCGAATGCCGATATGCTCTGCGGCCATGCGGTATCATCCCGGGAACTCATGAGAAATGACACCTTGTTTAGAAAACGCGACGGCCAGCCTTGGGGACCTTGGTTCCCTGACTGCATCACATTGTCTTGCGTCGGCCCAAACTCGGCCAAATAGATTCCATAATCGGACAGGCTGGCATTAGGTGTCGTGGAGGTATAAGTAAAATTTTGAAAATCGGTGTATGTTTCACTCCACACACTTTCAGTAAAGGAGATGTCACTGCGTATATCAGCGCATCGACTTTGCAGTGCCAGAGACAGGAAAGCAGCTCCGTCATCTGTCGACGGGAAAGTACAGTTTCCTGTTCTACATTCGAAATTGAGAACTGCAGAAACATTCGCAGGCGGGTCGAGCAGTCCAGTATACACGGCTGACTGCATTTTCGTGTCCGGATCAGGTGCTGCGACGCAAAGAGAGTCAACACATAGATATACTACACTCAGAGAACTTGAGAACAGCCTCTACGCAAACCCAGTGCTGTCTTTGCTTACTCTTCGTGACCACTACCACATGTGGGGAATTCGTTGGCTTCCCCCAGAAGCCAGCAGTGTAATTGTTGGAGTAAGGGACCATCGCGCGTTCGCCCTCAGCAATAATGGGACAGCTGTGATACTGGACAATTTGTTGCGTAAAAGGATCAACGGCCATTGCTACTATTGTAAGCAAAGCACCGATGACGGCTATGTCCTGGCTTTTGAGCATGAAGATCAGGAGTACAGATCCCCATGGACCTGCAAGTGATAATGTCAGCATTCAATGATGAACTTGAAAAGAAACTCGCCAGAGGTTTACCTCGACTGGCCAAATCCCATTGCTCCATCTGCCCAAGTGGCCGTGACCCCAGATACCACAGCCATTTCAGCTGGCTGATGCCTTCAGCGATCGGCATCATCAGACTCGACTTTAGGATGGCAGTGAAAACGGAAATGAGCGCATTTATCGTGATTGCCGATGGCCACTTAGGTAGGGGACGGTTTTCATGAAGGACCAGAGTGATGACGATAGCCGCAAGGGCGAGCGCAGCTACCGTGATGCTCAATGCCTCCCACAACCAGAGCCTTTCTGCCCAGTCATCCCTCGCGTAGGAAGGGCTCCGATCCTGACCGCGATTTACAGCATCTTTTTGCTGTTGCGTTCCGGCGAGTCTGTAGGCAGGAGCAACGTCGTCTTGTCCTTGTGGAACTGTGCTGGGATATTCAATCAAAGACATTGGAGGCGAAGGACACATGTACCTGCCATGTGAGTTGTCGCGGAACTCGCAGTCTTGGACCGCAAGTCGCGCATAATGAGTACGGAGGGGCTGCGCCGCATTAGATTGTAAAGGACTGCTTTCGTTCATAGTATCCATGGGCGTGTTCGCGCCTGAAATTTGTCGAACTTAGTAATCAGCGGGGAAAATTTGAGATAGCTTGCAGAGTCACTTCTCACGAAAGTCAGACAAATAAAATACGTGTGTGTTAGGGTAATGAACTCGCAGTGTCGATCGACGGGTTAGATAAATGTTAATCGTGTTTCTCAAAACGAAGCTCCATAAAATCATTGATCATGCAACTATATGTGTCTGAATTATTTCACCACTTTCAACAGTCACTTGAGCCCTCAAGTTCTAAATGGCAACGACATAATAATGTGTCTCAATTAGTATGCAATGTTCCTGAGTATTGCTGCAGGCTATGCATGCGGCCGTTACGCTGTTGAGGATCGCTTCAGCAGGCAACGGATATTAATCTGCAAGGCAAAATGACTGGTCGAATGGGGGCCGACGCAGTGACACTGCGAGTGTGTCTCATTGTTGCACAACTGCATTCAGCCCCCGCTTCGCCAGTTCTCTGACTTGTGCCTCCTTGCATAAAGAAGAAATGTTGCCGGCTCGATTGTATTTGGGGGCCAGCTGAAATCTCAGGCCATTTGGAACGCCCCTGGATTGTGGATCTATTTTTACTTGACCTTATGATGTTTGGAATTTCTTCTTGCTCAACTTTAATATCTAAACATCGCCTGTATGGCTGTAATTTTCCTTATCGAATTACAGCCTCCACAGCCGCCATGGGCGCCCCCGGCTAGGGCGAATGCCTATCACCCTCCATCATCGTGGACGGCGGTGGCGGCTTGAAACCTCCATTACGAGATCTGATGCTGCGGCAAGTGAGAATACCAGGCACCGACGTAGCAACAGGCACATCTGCGTCGGATGATGAACTCGGAGATGGACACGAAAATGGAGCTGTGTTGGTCGGTGACACTCCTGCCGTGGCAAGGAAGATGCCACCCGCTCTGGCAACATTTAGTCTGTGGCTGTCTAGGTGACCTTAGAACCAAACCGAGTCCTATTTCTGCTGTTATAAGTCTCTATTCTCGAGCGAACCTAAACTTTCACGCGGATTCCATCTGCAGCTGTCTACTCTCTCTGACCCCTACACAGTGATTGGGTCTCAATAACTGAAAATCATTGTCCCGGAAGGTCCATCGCTTCTATAAAGTAATGACCAAACTCACTGACATCTCGCCAAATCCTGTCTTCTCGCGGCTGCTTACCAAATTTTTCTTTCATCAAGAGTCGGACCGAGGTCTCGATGTTCTGCTCGGTACTTTAGCTCTGGAGTTGCACGCAACATCCGTAATCTGGATAGAACACACCTTATATGAGCCGGGCTCCTGATTGTGCTTTACAAAGGCCTGATCGGTATCCGAGTCTCTCTCCATTCCTAATTTCAAGGCATGTTTTGGTTAGATGCAAGGAAGTCTAAGAGAAACAAGGAGCAAATAAAAATGATGGAAATTTCATTCAGCCAGTGAATACCTACCTTTGTTTCTGTCGAAATGAAATATCGGTGGTGTAATACTAATGCAGTTCATATAGAGCCAGCAATTGTTTGCTAGATCAGTGTCAAAGTTGCTAACAACTCTGTCCACTCCGCCATGATACCTGTCGCAGACCATGGATTAGGAGCCGGACACTTTTACTCGCGTGATATATAAAATTCGGATGTGTCCCAGAACAACTTACAAGACTTTTTGAGCTCCAGCATAACTCACAGCGTACGCATAAGTGCAAAGGGGAAAGTCGCTGGGGTGTATGACACGAGACTGGTCCGGAAAGGCCTTGACAGAGTTGAACCCAGGACTCAGATTCTGGCGCGACGGAACAGTTGGGTCTTGAAACACAATTTTACGCTCGTCATCCTTTGGGAACCTATCCGCCCCCTTTATGTTAGATGCGAGGCTACGGTGCCTTATTGGAAGAGAGGAGTGGGCTCTGCTTGTTCGGATATGAAACCTACCGCTCTCCGACGTTGCCCAACCACAGAACACTGTATTCATCAAATTTAGTATCCCTTGGGTTCGGTCAACTTGGGCTGACATCATAGCAACTCACTCCCAATCTTCCGTTAATGATGACTGGTCTTGCTGAAATTGCTGTACAATCCGAGCCATCTGTTGTCTCACGCGGACGTCCCAATCAACATCGTCCTCGAGGATCAGAGCGGTTGCAATTTTCTCATCAACGATTCTGGCCAACATAGTTTAGCTATATCGAAACATCGACTAAGATATGTTTAAAGGTAGTGTTGGCTTGCCTCTTCATAATGTTCATATGAGCACGCCAGCTCCCAACAAAACCGGGCCCGCCCATATCCGACTTCGGGATCTACTTGGTGGAATGTTGGATCAGTACATGCTATATACTCGGCTATCATCAAGTGCATTCATGGGAACAAGACCAGATCATCTACCTTTGGCACTGTCTTTTCAAGGACATCTTCGCCTCGGACACCTGGAGCGATATCGATTTCTAGACCAGATAGTACTGATATTAATGTCAATGCGTCCTGACGATCCGTTCGTTGAGGTAAGCTTATTGCATATATTTTCTGAAAGCCAAGAGTTGAATTCGTTGCAGGGACACTCTCGCTATTCCCGGTGCGATATCTGATGCCCGGCAGCGACACAACAGGGCTCCAGAAAGTAATTACAAGGAACCACACCGCAAATGCAGCGCACAAGAGTTGAAGGGAGAACCTCAAAGCCATGGCGCGAGGTACGAGCCCTGTAGTTCGCAGTGGAGACCTATCAACTTTGCGCTTAAGCATGTGTAGTCAACACCTTGGCCTGCAGCTGGACTACCCTGATCAACAAGAGCAGCTCGCCTTCTGATTTCTAGGGGCCATAGATATCGGATGAGTAAGTTAGCGCTGCTGCAAAGAAATGACGTCGGGCTGGCCAATAAGTTTGCAGTCCTAAAATCAAATGCAAGTCCCGGCCTAGGATCGGACTCACGCCATGTGGACAATAAGTTCTAGAAGAATAAGCAAAGCACGAAGAAGTCTCAAGACTGTATTGTTAGAGAGTCGATGAGGGAATTTAGGTTTGATGCTTGTTTTTAACCCCGTCTCCATAATTGTTGCTGTATGGCCACCGCATCTCGGTGTTAATTACCGGGCGTCGGGTCTAGATACCCTTGGCTACAAGCACGTACGTACCACAGCTTCAGATCACTCATAATTGAATGACTCGGCGCTCGTTTTATCGGGGGTTCATCAGTTACGCTAGCAGCTGACTCGTTCACGTAGGTGCAACACAAACCAAGTACATTTGTAGTTGTCCTAATATTCAGATGCTAATCAAGAATCTGCGTTAGGAAGCCTGCCGTTCTGCTAGTAACCCACGAGGCGCCAATGGCAGTAAGAAAGACAGATGCTTCTTGCGCCCTCCTCTACCTCACCACTTCCAAAGCTAGATGCAGAATTTCCACCCGTGTTCAAGCCTTGCTCGAATCAAGACAGAGCGCAAGGAGGTCTGTGGATCGGAGATGGCTTCGTGGATACCGCATTCGCAATCCGGACGGGGCTCTTCCGTGTGACACGTACAAGATAACGCGTGGGCGATTCAGGTACCTTGCTCTCAGTGGCTGCGCTGATCTGAAAGAATACAATATGAAAAAACGACATCAAGCTTTGATGAATGTTTCAAAGAGCGATTTTGGCGTGGCAATTCTTGGCCCCCTTACCCACAGCAGTGGACTCACAGGAGGCCACACATGTTGAGGGCTGTCCCCACCATGCCTATCTCGCCGTACCTAGATATTTACTTTTGGGCCATTCTCCTTGTGACGTACCTTTTACATGAAAAAATCACATCTTTTATTATTAAAAAAAAAGTGAAAACATATTCCGATGAGCTTCGCACTCTGATCCGGTTGGAAATAAAATAAAATATAGAATTCATAATTTTCCGTGTGGAAAGGCGGGCCATGACGGGGGCTGGAGCAGAAGGAGGTACGGCGACTGAAGTACACGAATCCACACTCTTAGCATCGCAGTCCTTGCCAATGTTCTCCCTCATATTCCTTGCACTTGCTTTGAAACAGACGCTACTTTAGGAAGTGCTTGTGTGGACCAGCTAAGGGCTCCTTGTTGGTTGAGGATACAAATCCGGCAGAGCACTGTCTGCCGTTTCATCTTTACATGTCAATCATAAGTATACCCAGATGCACAATTACTTTAGGACATCTGCTAGGTCCAATGCGGATTTTCCAGACTGCTAGGGATATAAATACTGCACCGCGGCTATATACCGGTTGAAAGGTTCCTGTTGCTTTATACAGCTGTCTTTTCATTTCCGCCCGGGGTGATCAGATCGGACGACTGGTCTGAATACTACACGAGTATCTCTCCGGGACAAGCAACATGTCGCCTCCGATATGGCCGCCAAGACAGAGGAGAGGCTTGCTGGCAAGCCACAAATCCTCCGGGACTCAGGACTTCCAGATAGTCCAAGTCGAGGAAGACAAGCAGGATGAGATGTACTACCCGGAAGTGGTCAGACGTTTGATCATGCTTCAGCCCATCACCGCCGCCGCTGCTGTCATCTCAGGATACAGGTACTGGAGACTTCAGTTCGCGCAGCTATTAATGTTGCAATCACTCGGTCTGAACATGAACATGCGTCTCTTCTTCGCAGTGATCGATTTCATCGTAAACGGTAAGATTCGTTGGCCCTAAGCATCGAGAACTCATCCCGGAGTGCAGACTTCTGACAGTCAGAATCTATGTAGCGCCGACAACTTTCAAAGCTGTTCTAGACATGATTTCAATCTTGACACCTGTGCCACGACGACCACATCTGCAGCTTCGAGGCAACCTCGTTCCAACGGTGGATATCATAATCACTGTATGTAATGAGCCTGTCGACGTTTGCCTCGACACGGTTCGAGCTGCCATCAACATAGACTATCCTACCGCACGCTTTAGAGTTATTATGACAGACGACGGGGCAAGCAAGGAGCTCCAAAAAGGTGTCACTGAGCTGGCCAGGTCGAAGCCAGAGGCACTGTTATTTTACACCGCTCGTGTGAAAGGAACAGACGATCGTCATAAAGCTGGGAATCTCAATCACGCTTTGAGGTTCGCAAGCTCACTTCCTGGCGGGCCTGCTGAGTTCGTTTCCGGACTGGATGCGGATATGATCCCGATGAGAGACATGCTTCGAGCTCAGATGCCTCATCTGTTGCTCGATCCAAAGATGGGCTTAACATGCCCGGCAGCGGTAAGCACAAACCTTACCCGGCATCGTTCACCGGGGAACCAAAATGATTCTTTATTTTGTCCTATCGTCAACACAAAATCTGACATGAATTATTGGAGACCTTCTACAACGTTCCCGTGAACGATTGGCTGCTACAATCTCAGACCGTGCACAACAAATGGGAGGAGTTCTCGAGAGACAGAATTAATGACGCATGGTGTACTGGCTCGGGGTGGGTCGCGAGACGTTGCGCGATCGATGAACTCGGAGGTGTTCCAATGCAAACAATCGGCGAGGATGCGTTCATGTCCACTGGCATCTCCAACAACGGCTGGAATACTGCCTTCATCCCCCAGTCCTTGCAATTTGGATTGGTGCCCGACACATACGGTAGTCACCTGAAGCAACACAGAAGATGGGTGAGTATCTTGTTACATCCCTGCCTCTCGTAAGTTTCGAGCGACTAATTGTGGATTTGTAGAAACTTGGTGGTCTGATCATTGGCATGGACAAAAGATTTGGTCTTTGGGGCAAGAATGTGAAAGGTTTGAGCTGGAAACAGCGCCTCTGGTGGTTCTATTATCCTTTCAGGGCCCTGACTCTGCCACTCATGACACTTGGTCTGTTTACTGCCCCCATTTTCATGCTCGCCGGAACGCCATGGGTTGTTTACGCAACGGACAACGACCTAAAAGCCCTGGCACAAGCCTCAGCCCTATCATTCATTAGCACCTTCGTTCTCAAGTGCCACATGTCCTTGAAAACTGGTTACAGGGCCCACATGATGGAACAATGCAACGAGATCTGGATCGCGCCATGTAAGTCCCTTTTACACAGAGCAACGATGTGGTGGCTACCTTGACGACTGACGAACTACGGGTCGCAGATCATACCATCACACAGCTTAAGACCTTTGTGCTTCCAAATTGGCTCGGGGGGCAGCTACTGACATTCGTGCCAACCGGATCCATCCCGAACGATTTGCACGAACGAAATGCCAAGAGGCGGGCTTCATTGCAGAGTCGGCTACGCTCAATCATGATAAAAGACGGTGCCATATTCCACCTGCTGTTCGCCGCATTCTGCGCCGCCGCGGTCATCTCAGTCATCGCAAGGGCCCATCACCAATTCCCCGAGCACGGAGCTCAGTTTGGGATCTACCTTTTGACCCATCTCGGCTGGATGCCTATGCCATGGCTCTTCTCATTTTTTGCTTGCCTCACACCAATCTTTTACGCCTTCTTCCCGCCGACTGTTCCGGACAGAAAGGAATTGCTGGTCCAAGATCCTCTGACTGGGGCTCGTTACCCCAAACAGAGCGCCAGAGGTGTTACATGGGTCCCCGAGCTGCTTGGCTTTGAGAAAGTGCACATTATTGTGTTTGTGTATTCCCTCTGGATTTTATACGAAATGTCCCGGTGGTGATTCCTTGCACGCCGTGTAATCATAAACATGGAGGGAACTTGCCTCAATAGGTAGCTGTGTAATGGATGATTAGCACCTGTGTCAGGGCCCTACAGTTAATAATTCATAGGGGGTAGATACCAGGAAATAGCTAGCGGAGTCCCTGGTCAACCTTTAATTTTGAATAACAAATCATGTGGTTGGTGCGCAATTTGAAACAAACTAACCTTCACGATCCATAGACTATGATGATATCACTTGGAGTATTTACGAGGTGAGGCCCCTGGAACAGAGGAATGTTCAGTCCAGGCACCTTGATTCGAATCGATACCAGTCTCTTGAGACCAACATAAATCGGCAGACATTAAGGAGATTAGATAGAGAGCTAAGAAGGCTCGAAACCCCGTCAAATCTGAGCCTCAGCGCCAGTCAACATCAGCCACTTGTTGTTGAACTGAGCAAAACTGCCATAATCTCTGATCTGGAGTGATATGCACAATAATTTCGTAACTGTATCCGAGCTTTATGTGTATGCAAATCTATGTACTTAAGTTCCAATTATATGAAAATTTGTAAGAACCACGATCGAGCTCGACACCATCCAAATATGAACCTAACTAATTCAGCCGTTTTTCATTTTGTTTGAACAAGTCCTGATACAGAGCATTGGGTACGTCATGGACTTTCAGTATTATGTGCGTGCTTCTCTCTGGGAGACGGAGTTGTTTCCATGTCTCGCCTCTATGCAAATCGTTTTGTTACTTGTATAGTACATCGTGCTTGTTGTTTCAGCATCATTGGGTCGGTCTGCTTGGCAGCCCCTGGACCTGTCCTGGTTCTGACTCAGGATCTCAAGGGTCCATTGAGATGAGGTGGTATGATCAAAAAGTGGCTGCTGGACGAACCGGAGTATGTAATGACTCGAACTCCAATCCTGGACCAAAGATCACATTCAGGACAAGCTACCGTTTAATTTTGATGCGACATTCTCTCTGTGGTAGGTCCACAGACGACTCCCATCATGTTTCGAACCAGAGGCATTATCCGTTTTGGCCTCATTGTGATCGCTTTTATCGCGGTCCTGTGGAGCACTCTTCTTTTCGCATCTCTTGGAGGGGGGATCGGCTTACAACAGACGAACCCATGGCCATTGCCCAATTGGTCCCCACGAAACCTGGAAACGACGAGCCCCGGGTCATCCATCATCATACCTAATATCGTGCACTATGTTTGGGCACTTAGAGAACCCGAAGGAGCTCTTGAATTTCAGTTCAAACATTTCATCAGCATCTATTCATCATATCTGTACCTTAGCCCAGATGTGATCTATGTACACACCAACGCTCGCCCTTCGGCCATCTCGACCGCTCAACATCATAGTAGCTTCTGGACACATAAGGTGTTCGAGATTCCTGGCGTTGTGGTCCGTCACATTGAAGTACCGACGCATACAAAGTATGGAGCGGAGCTTGAACATATGGAACACAGGTCGGATTTCGTACGCCCGGGTATCTTGAGAGACTTTGGTGGCATCTATCTCGATTTCGACGTTGTACCCATCCGAGACATGAAGCCACTGCGCGAAAGTGGCTTCAGAAACGTCTTTGGTCACGAGCTTGGCGAGAAGGTCAACAATGGTGTCATGCTGTCTGTCAAGGGAAGCCGTTTCATGGACGTCTTTGATCGAGACCAACATGAGGTTTTCAGCGGGTGGTGGATCGAGCACAGCGTTCTCCAGCTCACGAGAATGGCCAATGCCTTGATGCCCATCCCTAAAGAAGTACTAATCCTTGAGCGTCATGCCTTTATCCCCGACGGCTTTGATGACGTACGACATGGTCGTCTTTTTCGCAGACATGCAGCGCAAGCGGTTGGCATGGATGATATGCATATCACCCTGGAAGACATGAATGATGAGGGGTTCTCTTACTGGAACTGGAGCAAGTCGAGGCCGCGACAGGACTGGGAGCTTGACTATTCAAAGTCATATACAATACACGCCCTATCCCCTCCCCTTCACGTAGCGAATCGGACACCGGATTGCTTGGAGATATCGTGGGACTATGTAATGGAAAGGAAAAGCAACTATGCAGCGCAGATTTACCCAGCTATGTTACATGCCGACGGCAAACTGTCGATCACTGAATGGAAGACTTGAGATGCTTAGAAGTTTGTGGTATTGGGCAAATACATGGGCGCTGTTCGATGGAGAAACTAGATGCGGCTAAGTCACGCTACAGCGACCGGGTGTGCATATCCATCGCTGGCTGGCCTCTTGGCCGGACTGCTTTTTTTTCATTGCGTGATATTAAACGTCCGTCCCATCCACTTTAAGCACCCAGAGCCTGCTGGGACTGCTGCACTCACTCTATCTCGTACACAAACCTTCCGTTCTTTCAGTCGCCCCACATGAAAAAACGCAGTCATCATATTAAACGTTATGGTTCAGGATCGCATTCAGAGGGAGAGGGCACGTCTCATTGAGTCCATTAATCACGCTATACAAGTGGATTGGAACTTCTTGGGGCGTGAGAGACTCAAGGTAAATGCGTACCAAGACCAAGCTGAGCTGAGAGGGGTAATATTATGGACATGGATGGCGGCCTCAGATTCAGTGCAGGCATAGATTAAGGGAGCAGGCGTCGTTCAAGACAAATGTTACCGAGAGCAAAATCAGTATGAAATTTTCAAGGATATGGAAGACAAAGAAGATTGAAATAGCTGATGCAGATCGAGTCTGTGATACAGCAGGGGTAGCAAGTTGAGTCACGCTGAGGCTAGGTGATGACCAGTCGTAGGGGCCTTCTGTTATAAAGCCCTTGGCATGCTGAGGTGTTCGATCAGTGAGACAGCAAGGAGATGGCTTCATGGTATTTTGTAATGAACTATGACTGACCGATACTTGTGGCTTATGGATTGTGTGAGACTTGGCAAGACTAGAAATGGGTCTCGAATACCCTGCAAGAGGCCGGCTCGAGCCCAACGCGAGAACATTTACAGCTTTGCGTTTGCTTAATTATTGATTATTCTATGAATTATCCGGACGTACCTTTAAGAGGAATGACTTCTAGTACGGGAACAAATGGAGGGCAAGACAATCCTTCTCATCAAATCTAGGGCGCTGATTGGGTCATGGTCAAGAATGAAAAGCCTGCCACGGACGACGACTTTGAGTTAATTGACGCAGATGAGAGTCGATGCTGGTGTGGCGGTCAAGGCGCCGAGCGTTGTCGAAGGTCTGGACACACTTGGCCACTCCGCGATGTCGACCAAGGGGTATCCTGTCCAAACAAGTCCCATGAACACGATGGCAGGCAGAAGGAGGAGGCAGATCAGGTAGAAATTGCGCAAACCACTGGCGACCAGTCATCTGTCAAACAAGCTAACACCGATGACTTGAAAGCAACAAGGAATCCAATATCGAAGATGATCAACCAACCTGTGTCAAAATACAGTGACCCAATCACCAAGCTCGCTATCCTGAGTGATCTATTGAATGATATAAACAAACGCAATCATTCTTAGGCGCAACATCTGACTACGCCGCATGATGGAGGAAAAGACAACGCAATAGTTGGCCATGTATACGTCACAAATAGCGAAAAGGAATAAGTGGAGATACTTTGACTGGAATATCATTGCCGCAATAACATGCAAGCTCTTCGTGTAAAGTGAAACCTCCTCTACTTAATGTATCTAAATTCCGGATGGCGATAACCCAGCTGATTTTGCTCATCCTCATTGAGGCCTTCGAGACGGTGGTCTCGCTTTCCAGCTGCCCGGAGTTTGTTTTCGTAAGAGCAGTACAGAATACCAAATACTGACAAGCATACGACGGTGATCTGCCCAGCGAGATTGATTGTGTGGCCAGTACGATACGCCGGTGCGTCCGTTGGGACGTAAGTCCATCTAAAATATCGTCAGTGCCTCTAGAACAAACCAGAATCAAAATGTCAAGGAACAATGCTTGTGAAGGTGACTTACGTAGCTACGATTCCCCCGATAGTACCAACAGTGACAACATAAGCACTTATCACGGCGCGCACAGCTGGTCCTGCCGCATTGTTGATGGCCCAGGCCAAGAACCCCGGCCCGCCAGGGAACGCCCCGACCGTAACGAAATAGACGCCCATATACCGAATATTGGGGTTCGTCTCCCACCGGAGGATGGCGAACCCAATGATGGCCAGCAGCGAGAAGGCGCCCAAGTAAGCTCCCCTCCTGTGGGTCTTATCACTCGCGTAGGCGATAGCAACAGCCACGACGCAGGCACAGACATAGGGCGGGACACTGTACAGCTGGGCCTTTGTGTCGGTCCAATCGAGGTCGCGCAGGATGGTGGGCAGGAAGACGGACAAGCCCTGGACGGTGATGTTGATGAGGAAGAAGCCGAGGCCACAGGTGTAGTTGTGGATGTTCGTGACGGCGCGGTGGACATGGGCGAGCGTGACCTTCTCGTCAGGGTGGGCGCGGTGCTCGCGGACGAGGCGCTCGGCCGCGATCGCCTGCTCGCGCTCCGTGAGGAACTTGCAGGTCGCGGGCGACGCGGGCAGCCAGATGGGCGCTATGAGGCCGACAATCATGGTGATGAGGCCCTCGAAAAAAAAGATGTTGCGCCACGAATGGATGCGCATGCCGCTCGTGCCCCAGTCCGGAATGCGGGAGAGGCCGGTCGCGAGTAGGCCTCCGAAAGCGCCTGCCATGCTTGCTGCCGAAACGTAGATGCCGATGCGGAAGAGGAGCTCCTTGCGCTTGTAGAAAGAGCTGAGGTAGAAGGCGAAGCCGGGCATGGCGCCGCCCTCGAATACGCCGAGGATGGCTCTTGCCACGAGGAGACCTGGATATGTGGTGATGAAGGCGGAGCATAGCGACACGAGGCCGAAGCCGACGACCAGGCACGGCAGGTAGAATCGAGGGCCAACTCGCTTCAGGATGATGTTGCTCGGGACTTCGACGAGAAGGTAGACGATGTAGAAGATGGACAGGGCCCAGTTGAACTGCAACCCCTTGAGCCCGAGGTCTTTCTCCAAGCCCTGAATCCTGGCGTTGCCGATATTGATGCGGTCAAGGAAGCAGAGCAGGTATAAGACAGTCACCCAAGGCACCGTCCGCCAGTCCATCTTGTGCCTCAGGGCGGTTTCCTCCTCTTCCGTCCACTGCAGGCCATTGCCCAGCTCAGAGTTTGACTCGGCTGGGCTCTGGGGGACATCTTTCTCGACTGCGAGTCAGGTCAGTAGAGCTCATCGTGCAGGATCTCTTCAGACACTACCATACTTGCGATTGATTTCTCCATCTTGCGATGCACGAACTTTAACCCCAAACGCTTAGTTATGGGCAGTTCGTGAATAGGAGTCGACCGTTGAGTTCTTCTACCCGCAGCCTTGGAAGTCTTGGATTTGCAAACAAGTGAATGACGGTGTGACCACCGGTGACGCCGCCACAGAGCCGGGGTTGGCAGGAGGCGGTCTTGTTATAGCAGTGATAGGCCACCCGCACGGGGGATCTATCCGGCCATGGCCAGCACAGTCCATAGAGAAAAATCTCTGAATCCTGGTATGGGGACCAAGTCGGTGGATCAAGCCAAGAACACAAATCTGCGGGGTACAGGGCCAGCGAGCTTGGCAATTCTTGACGCGGTACTGTCAGCATTGATATTTGCCGGCGTGCAAGCATTATCGCCGACGTGCTGTGTGATTTGACAGGATCATATCTGTGTTCCGTAAGTGGGTTGCCTTCTTTGTTGCCAAGATTCGACCATGTGTCAGACGAGGTGTTTCTGCACTTTTGTGGCGGTACTGGTCACTCGGTCTGGTGCATTCAAGTGTGCGTCGATCATACTTTTATGTCCTAGTTAGATTATCACTCTGGCTTAGCTGCTTTACAACGCTCTGCTGCGTGTGGCCCACATGCAGTTTCCCGCTGCGCTAATTTCCCACAATCTGGGGAAGAATAAGTAGGGCCGATCGAGCCCACGGCCCAGGCCGGTTTTTCAAGTCCGAGCAAGGAGCAGGAACATTTTCCGAGACGGCATACCATGCGCCTGCACATTTTGTTCACCGTTGTCGCACCTGGGAGGTATCATCTACTCGGCAAAATAACCCCACCAGCACATAATGCAACCTAAATTTCGGGTTATAGGTGGATATATGATGGGCATTTGTTCTACCAGGCGGGCCAAGACTCCGGATTGGAGTATGCGGGACGTGGATGTGAGCTACAGGGACTAATCGAAGGGCGATCGGTTTGTGTCACTCGGGTGGCAATGTCAGAACCTTACTGCATGTATTGCAATATCTTTGCAGCCAGTCAAATGTTTATTTTGACAACCCACTCCCGGAAGTGTCCGAAGCTGGATGTTTTCTCAAGTGATAGAGCATTATTCATCAAGATAGACCACAAATTAACTCGCAATCACATGTGCTACTACATGCTATAGGCCGACAAAAGCTGCCATGCCGCCAAGCGAGACACGTGAAGAAGCTGCGGCGAGAATCAAACTTGAAGGCAGCGTGTGCATGACACAAGCAACGTAAACGTCGCTGGTCCGTCTCTGATATTATATGTAAGTGCTCCATATTATATACACCAAGTTAGAGCGAGACTGGTCACTCTTATACTCAGGTTTTTCACCTGCCAATTCAGACAACATAAAATGTCACGGTAGACTCAGTCTCATGACAAACAAGTCAGAAGGCTTCCGAGCTTATCCAGCACAATCTTCTGGTTGGCCGCGTCCGCCGTCGACTTGTCCCTGCACTCCCCAACGCTGACCGAGACATGGCAACCCGCAGCATCCACGACGCTCTTGTCCGTGGGTAGCGCCGTGCTGCCACACGTGTCGACATCCGGGGCGGAAAAGATAGTACGCGGGTTGATACGGCTCATGACGAACTTGAACGCGCCGGGCGTGGTGCACTCGCCGGTGACCTCAGGGAAGTTGACGTTGAGGAAGATCCCGCTAGGCAGGTAGGGTGCGCCCGCATCGATGATGGCGTTGGTCAGGTTGGCAGCCAGATCGGCGTAGATGAGGCTCCTCTCGGGCACAGGCACCGTGTTCCAGGCCAGGTTGCCGTCCGTCAGGCCCGAGAAGGCTATGGCCGGGATGCCTGCTGTGTTGGCTGCATAGCACGCGGCGCCGACGGTGCCGGAGAATTGGACCTGGAGGTACACGTTGGAGCCGACGTTCGGCCCCGTGACGGCGAGCTCTGGCGCGGCGCCGCCCCAGAGGTTGGGGCCGATGCTGTTGATGCCGTAGCGGATCGATGTTGCCGGGAATGAGTTGACCCAGTTCAGACGGGTGTCAGACGAGTTGGTGCCCGTTGGGGTGTTGGTGTTGGCCGGGCAGCTGTCATATTCGCATGCTGCCGTTCGAGGTGTCGGGTCTGAGTCCAGGGAGCCTGTTGATGGTGTGAGCCAACGATCATACAAGAGAGAGATATTGACTAGTCCTGGTGTCTCTGGACCGTTCACTGTCCACAGTGTGCTTTCTTACCTCTGCCGCTCTGGTTTTCTGCCGGAGCCGAGATCACGGCGTCGTGACCTCCGCTCAGGAGCGAGTCGTGAAACGACCGAAGATACAGCTCCGCCCAGCCATCATCATTGGACTGGATAATGCGGATCCCCTGGCATCCAGTCACCGCAAGTGCTGCCACAGAGGCCCTTGAGAAAAACGAGCGGACACCCATTGTTGGGCGAGTACGGCAAACCACTGTATTGCGTACTGTTGAGACAAGTGAGTGATTCCACGAACGAGCGTTAAAGGAGTGTGGATGTTGGGGCCGCGGTGTCGATCTCTCCCTGGTCACTGACTCGACGACAACAAACGGCGGTACATGACGGGGACGGACAAACGATTATTTATCCACAGCAAAACGCCCCCTCATCAACATGCTGCGCTGCAAAGCTGAACGGGCCGCATGTGAATCTCCGCTTGGCCCAACGAATAAATTGCTTGTCCCGGGCCTACTGACCTCTTAGTACCGTCGAGTTCTGGGCGTTGACACCCGTAGATCTGCGGCCAAGCCAATCACCACCGCTTTCTGCTCCACGCCCGGCGAACCTGCGGCGGACTTGTGCCTGAAAGAGTGCAAGGGGAGGCCACCAAGACTCGGCCAGCTAACGCATGACAGAGGCCACCTGCCGGACTTGGCTAGTGGTTGGAACCCCATTGGATGCACAACTGGGTCCACGACGAACCCCAGAAACATTGCCGAGGTCAGGGGCAGGGGCAAATATCCTCCTGGATTTGCCTCAGTAAACATGAGAACTAAGCGTATGGCTCCCCTCATTGGTCGAACCTGCATTAACGAACCAGTCTATCCAGTCTACATAGGCCTACACAGCGTAGGATCAAGAAATGAGCTGAGAACTTCTCTTTGCGGACCTGTTCGAGACTGTTATGACGATCAAACGAATCAAAATGGAATGCGCTGCCTGTTCGTGTATGTCCATTTAAAGTGTGTACTCATGGGCACTGTCAATGTGTCAGTTCCCGAGATAATTCCCTTTTGAGGAGTAACACCGCCGCCGAGGATTTGACGTTTGTCCGAGTAGGTTATCAAAACTCCGGATCTCACAAGCATCATTGACCCTCTGGAAACATATAATATCCCAAATGCCAGGCTAGTTATTCTCATTTGATTTCATTCTAGGTGCATCGAATTTTCTAGGCATTCCCCGCCAAATTCCTTCCGCCACGGGTATCGATGCCTCCTGACTCTGTGACACATTATGCGTGACGACATATATCCGAACTCGCACTTTTCTCAACAACTATAGACATACTTATGAAGCCAGTCAGCACCTGCGAAAGACAAGAGGAGAAAATCATGGATATCAACAATGAAATGTTGCACCTCAAAGCGAATCACCATTCGATACAGCAAGACCTGGATGCACACTGATTATGTAGCGAGTGACTATTATAAGCAAATACGCACACGCGCACACGCGCACACACACACTGTCGATGGTCAGCCAGACACACAAGACCCACGATACCCACGAGCCGCGACCCGGGGTCGCCCTGTCCATATGTCTGTGCTTGGTGGTGATACAATAATTACAGCCCATGTTTGGTTTCGTTGAACAAGCTCGTGGTTCGACTGGCTGTAATTAGGTTTTCGGTTCGTATCTAGTTATCCTCTTCCTCGTCATCAGCCGCGGTATTGGTGTTGCCACCTGCTCCCGCCCCATTTGTCTTCCCTTTACCAGCAGCAGCAGCAGTTCCCTTCGTACCGGCATTGCCTGTCGCAGCAGTGGCACCGCCGGCGCCTTTGGTATTGGAGTTGGCTGCTGCGGTGTTGCCTGTGCCTGCGTTCGTGCCTGCGTTTGCGCCTGCGCCTTTCGCTGCGGCGCCGCCCTTCTGTGTGGCGTTGCCTGTGGCCGCGGTACTTCCTTTTCCTGTGCCCTTTCCGGTGGCAGCTGTGCTACCTGTAGCGGCACCAGCAGAGTTTCCTGCGGCGGCGGTGCTACCTTTGGCGGCACCACCAGAATTTCCTGTAGCGGCGGTGCTGCCCTTGGCGGCGGCGTTTCCTGTGCTAGCGGCAGCACTTCCTTTGGCTGCAGCATTGCCCGTAGCACTCCCGCTCCCTTTAGCTGTGCCAGTGCCCTTGGTTGCCGCGGTACTGCCAGTCCCTGCGTTGGCATTGGTGCCAGCTCCAGTGCCCTTGGTTGCCGCGGTACTACCAGTCCCTGCGTTGGCGTTGGTAGCAGCCCCAGTCCCTCCGCCTTGGGCCATCAGCGTCTTCAAGCTCTGGGTTCCGGTGGTAGGATCAAACGTCTTGGCCTGTGTGTTGACCCCGGTGTTCTGAAAGGCCGCGTTAGACAGCTGCGTAATGCTCGGCAGGATATTGGCGTTCCTGTGGTTTCTTGTTAGCCCAAGTCCGATGTGATATTTGTGGCGCCACGGATAGGCATTAGCGCCCGATGCGCGTACCTTGAACTTTCAACCCTCGACAGCTGCCTCATGGTGTTTGCCATGGAAGGGTTTCGCATGATCGACTGCAGGCCGTCCAAAACGATAGGGGTATTGTCGACGATCTTCTTGTTCGCCTGCTGCGCGTCCCTACCGGCGGCGTCGTCAAGCACCGCGCGATGTTGGTCCTCGTCTTTCTCGGCGACGAATGCCTTCCGTGCCATCGTGCGGATTTGATTTGTGTCTGTTGTAGTACCCACTATGAAACAGGTGGTATAAGCATACGTCCATCTCGGATTTGAGGCATAGGGATGTATAAAGTGAAACAAGATAGCCTCAGTTACTCACTTCCATTCAGTGACGATGACACGATGGCGACATCGCCAGCAAACGAGCTGGCCGCATTCTGCACATCCTGCTTGTTTGCTCCTCCACCAAATGCCTGAGCAGCCGCCGCGAATGGGTTTGTCGCCGGCGAGCGCTCGTCGATCTGTCTGATGCTCAACTCCTCCCCGGCGAGGGCGACTGGCAAGGCCGTCACCGCGACGCTTTGCAGCGCGACCGAGACGACCACAAGTGATGCCTTCATAACTAAAGAAGGTAGTAAGATTAAAACTTGATAGTAGGGATTACATAAAGAAGGTCGATTAAAATTGTAAGGCTCCTGGCCTTTTTTTGCGAACCCACTTTGAGCGAAAACGGTTACGAAGAGAAGGAAAGAATATGCTCAATCCAACTTCGAATGATTCCGGGGAAGAGGCGGAGTGATTAAGACATCCGAAAGTCCAGTCCTGAGTCGCGTGTTATTCCAGGAGAATATTGAAGCACTGTCGTGACCATTACCGCTTAGTATCGTCCAATTCACCGATGGTACAGCCCTGAAACCCAAATTTGTAGGCTAAAGCACCTGACGACCCCCAAACGCCTCCTCTGAGCTTCGGCCGAATGTTTCAAGATGGGATGTAAACATCGGGCCAGGCCAATGCAACGCTACAATGCCTGTCCCGTCCCATCTCTGAATCCGAGCGTTTGAAAATCCTCCGGATGATCACCCGACAGCATAATGGGCCTGCGCCCATTTTGAGTTAGAGGTGCTGTAGGGCTGGCCGAACTGATACTTCTCCGCCCTTCGGACGGACGCGCCAAGAACCAAGCAAGTTGGCAATAGCTTGTCCCACCAAGGCCGCCCTTTTGACGTTCTTGGAATGCTTGGGTCAACGCATGACGTGCGGCTATCGTCTTTGCATGCTCGCACGGACGCGAGCTCTTCATTCGCATCTCGACTAGGCTAGTCAGATATCGCTTTTGGAACTGGTCACCTGCTTACAAGGTACGTTGCTTAAGGCAGGGGCACTCTGGTATAATCACCGACCCACATCATTTAACGTTGCCACCAATCGCTGAGGAACTCCTCGGCAGCCAGTCAGATACTGTCTATGTATCCTAGTCGTTTCGGTATCGAAAATAACGTTCATTAACCCAGTGCAGGTGTATTGTCAGTGTCACCTCAGGAGTGGTCAGTTACAGACAGGACCATCTTGCGACGACGTTCATCCTGCCAAGATGTTTAAAACCTAATCCTAAGACACGGACGCATATTGGCCGAAAGGCGAGATTTGAGATTGCATTTTCTCGCTCTCAGGAAGACGAGAGCGAGTAGAGTCTATTCGCTGATCTAAGCCATCAGTGAATGAGTATCTGATGACATGATAGAGAAGCACTCAGTTCTCTAGAAATTTGATCCAGACCAATCATAGTGAGATACCATGAAGGCCGAACCTCTGGTGCTAATCAACCAACCCGAACCTGCTGGCCATTCCTTGTCACACTCGTTTCTGGGACTACCATCAGGGTTTGTTGAGTCTCGACCAATCGCGACGTCCCAGGGACGGTCGAAGTACACGTAGCCTCCAAATGCCTCGCCGCACTGCTTGTCCAGCCACCTGCCGACCATTTTGTATGTCTGAACACTGATTGGATAGTAGTATTGCGGGTTGTAGTTGCAGATGTAAATCTGGCTCCTCGGTCCATCTTCTGGTGGTGCCCATAACCATCCAGTGCGATTGGGGACCATGCCAAGATTCACTGTGCTATTCAAGAAGTCTCCCTTGACGAGGTCGTCGATATCCTCCGTACTCATCGGCTGTTGAATGTCGCTACAGTACAACCAGAATTGAGGGAGACCCGTGAAGTTTTCATTTATGCTGAAGGCTGTAGAAAACTGGAATGGATCGAGCGGCTTGATGGTAGGTGGAACCTTAGCATCGGATCGAATCGCCTTTCGGGCCACGGAGATCTTTGCCGCCACAGGGCTGTCGGATAGGACACTCAAGGTGAGTGTGAACAAGTCGCTAAGAAGTCTCATGACGTGAGCGGTGGGCTTTCAAAGTCGTCCAGGTCGGGTACTTGATGTCAAGGCTGGCGGTCATATCGTGAGGTACTAGCCGTGCTTGGTGATTTCGCATGTTAGGGAAAGTCGTTTTCAAAAACTGAGGGAAATCCTCATCAAAGGGCGGTTTATATATTGGATTCCATACTGTGATTCATCAATGATGCTTCTGAACACCCCCACTTGCTATAGCCTTGTGACTGGACGTCTCCGTCGACTACACGTATTTTGAGCTTGCCTGCTCCTAAGGATAGCAGTGACCTTGGAAGGAGACCGCTGGTAGTGCTACCAAAGGTACGAAGCCATTTCACTTGGTCATTGTAGCTGAGTGTTGGATCTCTTTTCTGATCGGCCCTCTTTGAGCCGTCACTTGCTCACTTCCAACAAGTTCAAAAAAGATGTTGGAATCTCATATTGGACTCGGTGAGTGCATCACTTCTCTGGATCCTTTCTGCCCTCTATGATGAATTCGCACAGTATATGGCGTTTGCTGAGATCATCACTATTGTATTGTCTCGTGAGAACATTTTCTTCCAACCTGACATGACATTGCATCTAAAGACACTGATCAATACTTTGTTGACTGCCCTCGCCAGGCTCCGTCACTGTTACATGGCTCCACTCATTAATTAGATGGGCTTACCTGTTCTTCGTTCGATCTATTGTTCTATGGTGGGGTGACTCGTTCGACTGTCCTTTAGTCAGAGGACCACAGACACGGCACTAACGCTAGTCAACAAACGGGAATTCAAGGCTATTTTGTTTGGATGGTTGTTTCTGTGGGGCAGTCGCAGGTACGTGCGTTGGTTGATACGGCTTGGCTTTGTTACCAAGTTTAGCAGCGTGTTGGTCGCACGACTGCTCCAGATATTCCCCAGAGAATCCCAAAATGGAACTTAATGTTGGTTTACTCAGCATCACAACACTTGTCCTGTCAGCCACTACCTTGTGAACAACATGCAATTCGCATGACTGGAAGGGGCATAAGACTGGAGCTCTCGACGTCCACCGGGCATACCAAGACGAAGTAAAAATACATGGCGGGGGCGAGAAATTGTTAAATTTAGATACATCTTAAGGTGAGCATTTAATTACTTGTATTGTTGTCCCCACAAGATCAATTTGGTCAGCGGACTAAGTGCATTAGTTCGGAACCATCATGAGCCAACTGAATTAACAGCATTCTTGTCATGTAGCGCTAATGCAAGGCACAAGACGAGGAACCTATTTTCTTATTTACAGCTCATACCAGAGGTTCGTCAGTGCTCTTTGATTCCCTCAACGAAGTACAAATTAGGTGATAATGGGCTTGTGAGCAGCTGAAATGCGTGTGAACGTCCCAGGGTGCTTGCATGCGATGCGCAGCAAGCCTACATATATACAGACGGACTTCAGGACTGCCTCTGTCTACAGGAGTGATCGTCCCCTCGCTGCACCACTAGAGCTGAAAGTTCCCCGGCGAGCTGGAGTTCGTACATGGCCTTGATTCCCGTACAGTTCCAGCCTGCGGGGGCCGTTCACGGACGAACTCCTCCAGCGAACTGGGAGGCCCTGGCCAGTGATGCGGCCCCGCTGTTCATCAGATCCAGACGTAAGCGCCTGCCCATGACCACCATTCTCTGGTATCTGTGCCTTAGCCAGACTTGCTTCAACATCTGGCTTGCAGTGCCATGGCTTTCTGTTACATGGATAGTCCTCTACAGCCTCCATGACTGCTGGAGCGTACCACTGACGAACTTTGTCGTAGCCCTCCCACACTATGCGAGACGTGACGTACGAGAACAGTTTAATGTGATAGGGTTGCCATGGCTTCTCTCCCACGAATGGCAACGCTCTGAGCAGGTTCAGGGTCTCGATCTCTCCAGCGATCTGTTCAGCTACGTGACGAAGTCTGTCCCTGAGAATTCTGGCACTTCTGGCGCTCTCTTCGTCGTAGAGCTGCACTGCCAAAAGTTGGACCCAAAATAAATGTTGATCCACTTCGTCCATTCTGAGTGTGCCACCGCTGAAATGATGCACCCGATTTCTCAGCTCGATGAGGCACTGAATGGTTCCCTTGACCTCGTGGGATTTTGTGTGTCGGTAGCGAAAGAAATTTGAGGGCTGCGTTAGCCATTCCAAACTCTGTCGTCCTAGGTCTATATCCGACACGTAGTTGATCGGCATCCAATCACATCTATTCGGTCGATTGATTCGCATCCATTTGAAGAGACATCTCTTCGCCAACCTCTCGGCTCTGGACAAGATGTCGAACAGCTCGTCGTGGTCAATCAAAACGTTGTTGGTAGGCTTTTGCAGCCAAGCGTCGTCTCCCAACCGGGTTCGTCGCCTAATGCCTAGCCGCTCGATCATGTCCTCGAATTCCTCTTGTGTCATGATTTGAAATGGCAACTCTGGTTGAGGGCCGTCCTCGTTACCAGCCTTGGATCCTTCACATTTATGAGGGTCGCAAAAGGTGTGGGCCACCACCCCCCAACTATCCATGCTGTAGCTCTCGTCTCTGCTGACCTTGGTGCCGAACCTATTGAGTATGGCTTTTGTGGGTTTGAGATAACCAAGGCTCCTCTCCATGAGTTCACCATTGACATAGACGTATGACTTGCCATGCACGATGACATGTTTCGGTCCTGGTGTGATGTTGCTGGCAGACGAGGGGGACCGCTGGATGATGCCTGTTGTGGACGTGTTTGTTATGTGTGTAGCAGGAGTTTGAAAATGACGGAGACGGGAAGCTCTCGTTGAACGAGTAAAGGACGGGGTCTCTTGCGGATGTGGTGCCTCACTGGTGCAGCATAGGTTGTCAATATACATATGACACTCCCTTATGGGTTGGAAACTGGATCAGAGTCCGGCTTTTTGCTTACTTGCTGTTGTCTTGACCACACCGACGACTCCTGATAGGCATTCTCAAGAGTTTTGAGCCTATTGATGCCTTGTTTTCGAGGTTCAGTTGACTCAATTTTAGTCTCAACTCATCGTTCTCCTTCTCAAGTTGCTCGATTCGTCCTCTCGCAACTGACAGCTGGTGCTCCGGCGTCTGGATAATCTTGGGCGTCATGTGGAAGGAGATCAGGAGACTAGCTGGCTCTGGACACTGTGTTGCTCAGAGGATTGTGGTAATATTGGTGGGTTGAGGAGTTACAAGCCCTGTGATGATGCTAGGAGACCCCATGGTTGAGGTTGTTGATATAAGACAAGTTTTAGCAAGTGGAAAAAGCTAAAGTAAGTCGAGGGACCATTGTATGAATGTCAAAAAACAGAGATGACAATTCACTACACTTTACAAGTATATGTATATTCACGTCAATTTGCAAGCGTCCAACAAGGTTCTCGGTGAAGTAGTCTCTTGGTTGCAACCGCTACGAGGCATTCGATGTTAGGACTTAAGTTAAACAATAATTGGGTTTCTGTGGTTTTACTTCAATTAACTATCTGAATGCTTCTTGGTGAAGTGAAGCCTGGTGAGTGAAGACTACACCACAAGAATTGTAAGGTGAGTCCCAAGGCATGAATTCCATGTTGTAGCAAGTCAAGAGGTCTGAGAGATGTTGTATTGAAGATGGCCCATGTAAGCGCCGGATGGGTGACGGACGGGGTTGTAAAATTAGTCTGCAATTTTAGTCAGACTACAGTGACTACATTTCATGGGGCTATAATATAGTAGTCCATTTTTGGGTCCCATGGGTTCATTTTTTGCAATTACGTAAGCAGATTTTCTGGATTTTTTCTACCAAGGCGCTGAGCTCAACTCCTCTGCTTGTGGTTTTAACTTTTTTGTTAGGCCCCACTTTTTTGTAGTCTGACTACAAAACTACAAACTAATTGTAGTTGATTAATTGTAGTTTTAGTCAGGCTACTTATTGCGATGATTCAGACTAATTTTCAACACTGGTGACGGGGGCATCTGAAGCAGGTTCATTGGCATATGCAATCCAGGGTTAAGCCCTGACGCCGCCGGGGGGACTACCACAGTATTGTATGCTTGGCGACTGTGTGCCTCAGTCTTACGTGCATGTGACCAGGCAGACGGGTTCAAACAGTGGAGCAGTTTTTCAGACAGGATTCTGACCCCTCTCTCATCTCACACTTAACAGCTCTTTGCTGTGATAGAGCGAGGACCCGCAGCGGGCAGCTGTTGCTCTCTTGGAGAATGGACCCGGTCAGCGCTCTTGGGGTCGCCTCAGCAGCTGTTGCCTTTATTGACTTCGCGATTGGGATTGTCCATGAGATCCACGCAGAGTGTGGTACTGGAAAGAGGCTGACCCAGCGTAGCTTCGAAACTGTGATCAATGATCTTCTGAGTTGGAGTCTTACTTTGGATCAGGAGCATGTCACCGAGAACGATTCTGATATACGCGTCAGAGAACATTTTAAAGCATGTACTTTTCACTAAAGTGCATGCAATGATATATGCCGAAATGACTAACTTGTCTTTCTCCAGGCACTTCAACACCTGCTCTCAGAATGCAGTGGCACTGCCAGGAAGCTCATTGAAGCGCTTGAAAAGTTAAAGCCAAAAGAGCCTCAGTCTAAGTGGGACTGTTTCTGCGCGGCTCTGAAGAATCATTGGGGTTCCAAACAGCTGGAAGACCTCCGGCAACACATCGAAAGCTTCAGGTCACAGCTCTCGCTACGAATGCTTGGATACATCAACGCTAAACTCGACACTAGGCATGCGGCGCAGAATCGGCATTTCGACGCTATGGCCGACCAGAACTCCCAGATTGTGGACATGCTGGCGATCCATCAGCGACAGCTGGCAACGGCTGCGGGGCAAGGAATGGTCACTCAGACTGCTGTTTTGGAGGCGCTAGCGATTTTGAAGAGCGGAGAGATGAGGCGGCTGCCTGTGGATGAAGGGATCCAGTCGGACAAGCCTCGGGCTGGGGTTGGGTTCCAATTTGAGCCCGGAGTCTCGACCTATGTACTTTCCATGGGAAACGGGGTCACGTCCTCGACGGGGAAGCATGAAGCTGACATCAACTCTTTGGACAAAGTGAGGCATAACATCATGGGATTGCTCCATTTCCAACAAATTCACTACCGCTTTGAATCAGTTAAGCCGTCTCACCAAAGGACGCTTGACTGGGTTTTTGGCGGGAAAACGGAGCAGGCCGACGAAGAATCGACATTCACTTGGTCCAACTTCGCAACGTGGCTGCGTTCTGGTTCAGGGTGCTACTGGCTGCGTGGTAAAGCAGGCTCCGGCAAGTCGACTCTGATGAAGTACCTTTACCAAGACGAGAGAACGACCTCGTATCTCCTTCATTGGGCTGAGGGAAGGCGACTGGTCATGCCTGGCTTCTTCTTCTGGTATCTGGGCACGACCCTACAAAAGTCACAAGCCGGCCTCATTCGTGCACTTCTATACAGCATCCTCCAACAATGGCCCCCGCTTATCTTGGTACTCATGCCAGAGGTCTGTGTGCCATACGCTCGAGAAGGTATTTTGTCGCAAGAGGAGCCTGCTTTGGAAACTCTTTGCAACTGGTTCCAAAAGTTGCGGGAAATTAGATCGCAGGTCAGTATCTGCATCTTCGTCGATGGCCTAGACGAGTATGTTGGCGATCATTCAGCTATGGCAGAATTGTTCCTGGACATGGCAAATGCTTGTCCATTTGTCAAGTTCGTTGTATCCAGCCGGCCAATCAACAGCTGCGTGGACGCCTTTCAAAACTCCCCATCCTTGCGACTAGAACACCTCAACCGGGCCGACATCAGAACCTACACCGAAGATACGCTCGGCCCAAAAATTAATGTCTACGGCCGCGGAAGGTGCTCAGAGCTCACGGAAGAAATAGTGAACAAATCCATGGGAGTCTTCCTCTGGGTTCACCTTGTGGTTCGCTCCCTCCTCCAGGGTCTCCGTGACGGTGACACAACCTCCGAGCTAGCCACTCGTCTCCGTGACTTACCTTCCGATCTGGAACAGCTGTACATACACATGCTTGACCGCATTCCCACCGTCTACCAGCCACAGGCCTCACGCATCTTCCTACTCATCCTTGCCCGCGACCAGGTCCTCGACAGGCTCCTCGGAGAACGCCGCCAGCGCCTCTCTGTGCTGCAATTTTCGTACGCCATCGACGATGAAGACGTCGAACGCCAACTCGAGGCAGGCCCCACGACTAGCCTCATGCAAGCGCAACGCGTTGCGCACACCGATGCACGGATTCGAAGCCGCTGCTTCGGGCTTGTTGAGGTCGTATACCGGAATCGTAGCGGCGCGCCCATCATGCACCCGGAGGTACCGTCGTTCTTCGACAACCAGGATGCGCGGTTCCACTCGGTTGAGTACATGCACCGTACCGCGTTCGAGTTCCTGACGCAGCGAGAGGTGTACGCCAAGCTGCGCGGGCTACTTGGGGGCCAGGAGTTTGAACCGCTGGGGCGGCTGTTCCGGTCGTGCGTGGCGCTGGCGCGGGCGATTGAGCCGCCGGTGGTGTTGCAAGGGGACGTGGACGATGTGACGGTCTGGGGGCGGCTTGTTGAGGGACTGTTGTATGCTAAGGAGGCGGAGGAGACGGGCCGGCCGCTGGCCATGGCGGATTTAGATTTGCTAGACGCTGCCTATACGTGGCAGTGGGAGAACTCCGAGATATATTACAAGAAGGTCCTAGACACCTGGGTTTCGAGCCGAAGAGCGGGTCACTGGTTCCGTCGAATCCCTGAACGCCATCAGCGTGAGTGTTTTACTTACCATATTAGAACTCCTTTCCTTCTGGTTCAGAACGTGCCCACGAGTCGAGATGTGCCTAATATTGACTTGTCTTGCTAATCGTACCAAGATGACAACACGATCTCCTTCACCGAAACGATCGCTCAGCAGAGGTTCGACGATTCGCTATCGCAAACCCAAAGAGTATACGTCAACTCGCCCTACGAACTCCCATATCGAGACTCCATTGGCCAGGAGATGCTCGCCTTACTAGATGACGAGACGCTCAATTTGTCGCGAGTGGAAATCATGTTCGGCCTACACTCCTGTCTCAGAGACAACTTGCTTCGGCAGCGAAGGGTCGCGGGAAATGCCGGTGATAACAAGGCAACGGCACTGCTTCAATTCTTTGTGCTGGGAATCTCAGGGACCGTAGTCGGTCTGCAAGAGTTCATGTCGACAACTCCAGCACCCATGTGTGAAACACTGCTATCTGCCGGAGCGGATCCAAACGGTGGTTGGGCCGGGCCTGGTGGCGGTACTCTGTGGACGCATCTTCTGTTCTACTATGCAACCCGCATTAAGGATAGTATAGGTATACTCGATATTGCGACGATGAAGGCGTTCATCAGGAATGGGGCTGACCTCGCTGCCTGCGTTGACTTCCAAGGAACGAGGTTTTCGCCAGTTGGCCTCGTGCGGTCTCTTCTGAAGGACTTCCCACAATTCGAGGACGAACTCGGAGTATTACTGGGACTACTCGAGGAGAGCATAGCAGCTTTGGCGCCTATTCAGATTACTGTCTCGGGACCGATCGAGCAGGCTTGTGCTCCACAGCTCGTTAGCATGACACCGGCTGTTTCGTCTATGGCAATTGCTTTGGAGGGTGGAAACCTTGCTTCCGTCTCTTCTGGCAGTCGAAAAAGTCTCAGCTCATTGACGTCTGCGATCTCGACACCACCTAGTGAAGATGGGAGGCATAGGTTGTCAAGGAAGTCGAGATTTTTGCGGAAGATCTTCAACAATGACAGAAAGCCCAATTTACCTAGATAAGATCCGGACTGACAGGATATAAAGATATGAAGTGAATAATTTATCAAGTCCAATCGGGAAGGTTTGATATTACCAAAATTTTGATAGTAATTCAAGTATCGGCTGGATATATATACAACGAGTTAAAAACATTACCGCTATAAGTTCTGGCAGCGCTCAGCAAACTGTTATCAGCGGAGGCCACAGGACCCTTATCGATAGGCTTATCTTATCAGCACACCGCTGAACTGTAAATAGCTTCGAGGGCATGCATGTAGCTGCGCTGCCTCTGCCGTATTTTCCGATAGGCACCTAACAGAAATCATCAAATTTCTACAGCCAAATTGCATCTTCGTGCCGTGAAGACGTAGACCGTCTCACAGAGTGCTCAATCGCAGACCGAGGGCTCAATTTCAGCCAGAGGGCCAAGGGGCTCAATCACAACCAGAGCGCTTAGTTGTAGCGAGAGGGCTCGAGGTATTTCAGACGTATCTCGGGTTTCAAAGGGTTAGGGTGGTACTTCTTCTAGATGTTTTGTTAAGACAAGTATGTACTAGTTGGGCGGAATGAAAGAGCTTGGTGGGCCGTCTTGAAATGCTGGATGGACCACTTACGGCCGATTTTGTACTCTTGAAAAATGCAAGACTTGTAAAACACACAGACAGACCCCTGAGTTCTGCCGCACATGACATCGGATTGTCGCCTGTTCTGCGAAGGATGCCCATCATGGAACAATCATCGCTGCCATCACTTGAACGACCAGGTCACCCACCTTTAACGCGCATCCAGCGCATGCTCGCTGCAGAAATCGTCAACATTTCTCTCACAGATCGACCTCAGGCAGCCCCCAGAGAGATCAGGCCAACATCGGCTCCACCGCGCCAGCCCGAAGGCCAAGGGCCAGGATCTCCGGCCGACCAGGTTCGCCGGCAGAACGAGCGCGCTGCTGAAGTTGCCTTTTACAGTCGGCGGGCAATTTCGATCGTTTCCCGAACGCGAAGTTCGGAATCGGTTGGGACTGATCGAAACAATTTCCAACCCTATACTAACGCCCATGACGCTGTTCACGAGCTCGATCAAGGCGATGCGCGTCGGATTCAATCCTACATAGGAAGACAGGATCCACTTGGGCCCGTCCTCCCAGTTGCCGGTCGAGTTCCTCGACATGAGCACAATGAGCGGATGTGGCTGAGGTTTCGATTTGAGCTGCTGCGTCTCGAATCTGGATTAGCTACGGAGTTCAGCAATCCTGTCAAGTCATGGATACATGAGGTCATTCAGAGCTGGCGGGGCCGGCAATCTCGGAAGGAGAAAGAAAATTGAGGGCACAACTTGAACAAATCCCAATCTCAGCAACCTCATAGTCAGGATGATGAGACATTCATAGCAACTAGCATCGTCATCGAGAATGAAATTGACTTTATGATATACATTTCGAGTCTAAAATCTGCCTACTGGGAGTGGGGGATTTCAAGAGAAAGACCTCTGGCAGAAGAGCTGGCGTGCTGGGATGGCCAAAGGGGTCCGCCCTCTTGACGACATCGCGGGGCTGTCACAGTTCATCACTCTCATTCGCCACGTCTTCGGAGACGCTCCGCGGGCTTTGATTGGTGCTTGCAAGTTCAAGCCCTGCCTACATGTCCCTGACGTGTCGTGACGTGACATGGCCTGATGCCCAGCCGACCCTTGATCAAACTGGCTGGGGAGCCCGCAGCCGGATGGGCGTGGGTGCTGCAACTGCCCTCGCACAACACGTTGGAATACTACACTGACACCATGTATCTAGGTCCCAGTGCGTCCCGTCTCAACCCCATCTAGAGCCACCACCCTGCCCGGTCTGTCTCGCTGTGCGCCCGTCATTTCAGCCCTTCCTTTCGGATATGCTCCGGTGACCAATCAGCACTCATCCAGTCTATCCCACTCTATCAATTCGCGAACAGGCTGTTCTGATTGAACGGCATTGCACAACCTTCAGCCAAGTCTTGACCAACTTGTCCCCAGGGCCGGACTGCAAACGCACCTGCAAGCCGCGTCACCAGCTGGGTCCCCAAATCTGAGAAGCAATTGAGCCGGCAAATGTTGCTCTTTTGAAGCTCCTGAGAGATCCGTCCTCGAACGGCCTTCAAAGGCTGGTTTGAGTAAGGACCTATGATCGTGATGTATGCACGCACTTCTGGGTATCTTGCGTCCGTAAAGCCTCCTAGTCCTTACTTGAGCCTCTGTTATTCGATTCATAGCCAGCATTTACAATATTCTATTGCTTTCCCAAACCACTTATAAATATGGTCGCAAACAATAAGTGAGCGCAGCATACTCGCCGATTCCTTCGCGGTTTTCTCTGAGGTGGAATCAGCTTGGATCTTTGCTATGCAGATCTATCAGTGGGGTCGGCATGACGCTTAAATCAAGCTCATTGCATGATATATGCCGTTCGCAGCAATTGCCTAACCAGACTTTGGCCAGACTCAAAGCTGTATCTGATCCAGGATACTTCTGGACTTTCGCAATGCTGTCAGGCTGAAAATGCTTGTCATCTGATACGAGGAGATTGACAGACATCTGATGAGACCACTCAAAAAAGAAAAAAGAACAAAAAGAAGGAAAAAAGGCTATATTAGCCGAGAATGTGATTGCTCATATTCAAAAAGCCCAAATTTACCCATGAAGTAGCCCGACTTGCAACTTCTTTTCCATGTCGCTATTATGCTGGCGTGGCTGGCTCGTCAAGGTGTACAGCTAACCACGCACTTCAAATTCCTTTTCCTCCACCCTTGCATCTAGAAGGATCGCAATCTGCAACCAATTCGAGCATGGTGTCCTGATACGAAATTTAACGTCCTCGTATCCTTTGGGAGGGCCATTGGATGCCATCCTAGGGCAATGTAACAGGACCTTCCAAAAAGAAAACGCGTAAAAGCCACGGGCTCTGGCCGCTGCGACTCGGTTGAGAGTTACATCCAATGCAAAGCATTGTCTGTAAGGGGCTTGGAATCTGTTACTTGATGCTATTCGAACGGCGTTACACCCACATGGTGGGCAAGAGCTGCACCAGCCGATGGGTGGGATTATGCTGATGCCTTGGCCAGGTGATACGACGCAGTTTGTACAAAAGTTGACTTGATATGGGGCACAGTCTATCCAGTAGAATCGGTATCTTGATACGTTTCTGCCTTCAGCTTCAATGTAGGTGTTGGGACACTCAGAGTCATCGCAGTAAACGTCATCGTGCGCGGGAGGATCCAGAAAGATGCGCTATCGAAGGAAGTCCTCGATCTCGAAGACCGGGTTGGCAACATCTGCGGGGAAATTGTTGAGCTGTTGCAAAGGCCGCTTGTGAATGGGCAACGTGTGAGACTCAGGCTTCAACAATTGAATCGGCTGATAGCTGGGTATCTGCAAAACAATCAACATGGATCTCTCAGTAGCTGTCTCTGCGTAATCAGTGCTTAATTATTCCCCTCCGAAGATGTCGAGGGTCGTTACCCTATACATGATACCATGCAGTCTCCGGCGGTGGCACAGTGTCGTGATCTACAGTGTATCCATGCAGGCTGTGGCGCATACAACGCACCTGCGTTCCGATCTTTAATGATTACACAAAAGGCTGTCAAGAAGAGGTAAAGTCGGCGAGGGTCCTGAGTGAATTAGTGTGCCGCAGGGCATTCAGAAACACTTCTGCAGCAATCCATTACCATGAGGTATGAATCAGTTTTAAGACTTTTACCAGTTTCTGACTTCATCTAACGACAGTGCTATCTGTAAATCATAGTACATATGTAGCCGGCCAGCGTCTTCGAGTCTCACGTTGGCTTGCCCAGCAACAACTGGCATAATACGATCAACACGCGCAAGAGTATTCCACTGTCTCCGGGTCTGCAATGATTCGGTTGGCATTCTCTCATCATTAGAGATGTCTTGTCCGATGCCGGTGTTGTTTTGTGGATCCCGCTTATGGGTGACTGTGCCTTGTGCCTTTTGCCTGTACACCTGCCGCATTTGCCTCGATGTCAGGCAGAGAGACGCCGTATCTCTATCGCTTTTGGTGGGAAATCTATTCCTTTCTTTTTTGCAACCAATCGGGCTGAATTGGTCCAAGAATTATTTTAGTCGAGCCTTAACCGGTCCTGGGCAATGTAATTGAGTAGCGCGACATGGTGAGGTTTCCATGGCTCTCCCGCTCCGTGCAAAACTGCCAACATCATGAAGCTCCAATCTCCCTAACGATCCGTCAGGCTTCTCTGAGGCATCCCTCCCTCAGCGCATTGACACGACTGTTAATTCCATCGTCATGAAGGAGCCTGAAAAGCTCCTGGGCCGTCTTCAAATGGTGGTCCATTCCGCTCATGCTGCGAAAACCATCGCTGAAATGGCGCAGGAAATTTCGCATCAAAGCTTGGCTGTCTTATCGGAGAGTTGCCTCGACTGGGTATATCGGTAATCTAAAAGTCCGGGTGGCAGACCATCCAGCCACCGCCCTTGTACCTGACGGCCAAAATCTACATCGGACGGATAAAGGCAACGAAACCCATTTACGTTTAACCACCTTCTCGCACGTCGTCAATTTGGACGCCAACGAGGATACCTCAACTTTTCAATACGAATTACTCAGTCATAATTTAAACTGTCCGCAATCGGATACTGACGACACTATCTTCGTACTCTGCCCTTCAATACAAGCTCCGTGATGACGTGAGACGGCGCCCTACGCCGTTGCACAATAGCGGAAGAAACACCAACATGTCAGAACTGTCCAGAACGCTTTCTGGACAACCAGTGCACTATGTACCTGCGCCGTCACATGACAGATTGCCTAAGGGCATTCCACTTTCCCTCATTAGTAACTCAAGCCGCTGCAAATTAGCCATTGTTGGTTCTACCGGCTTACAGCTGAGAGGGAAGTTTAATCTAAGTTGAAGCAGTGTATTAGCTAGTTACTTATTTTCACGGCACACAGAGGTTCTCTCGCCTTGAAAGCTCGCCAGCGGAGTCTTTGTGCCTGGATGATATTGGGCACACATGTAACTTACCAACACTCAAGCCTTACCTCTCACACCTGAACTGCAGCACTGCCTTGTCTTTGGAACAGCAGTTGCGGACGCACCTTGTGGGAAAGAACACTAGCTATTGGCCCGACAATGTTCACAGCCAAGAGGTGAGTGACAGACCACTTTATCCAGCTCTAGATAAAGAAACAAGGGCGATACGAGTTCTGAAGGTTTCATGAATCGGTCCAATGAAGAAGGCGGACGTGGACATAAGGACGCTGGTGCATCAGACGGACCGGGCATTTTAGTAAATTTTCAAGGCCTGGGTCCGATCTAGAAGGTTTGAGGACTTGGCTTGCTTTATACTCATTCTTCCCACAAAGTTAGCTAATGCATCAGTATATCAATTGAATAGCAACATAATAGTGACATGTAATCAGGGTTCTAACAATATAATTTCATTTGATCTACTCTGAATATTATTTCCTTTTAGTTATTATTGCTTAGTGTTTTACTAATATTCAACATAATACCTAGATTTCGATTTAATGCCAGCATTATTGCAAAACTTGACTGCATTACGTGACGCAGTCAGAAACCCGCCTTCCCCCTGGTAGGCTGTTGACATAATTAGACGAGACGATAGCAATGAAAGGCAGATGGCGGAGGTATTAAAGGCTTCGAGGTGATTTGGTGACCGCCGCGTACTCTATCCACGATGCCGAGATCGTCACCGACTCGAGAGTTTGAAATGTGGAGTCCAGTCTCCGGGGCCGATGCGAACTGTGTCCTTTCTGACTCAAACAAGACTCGTATGCAGCTGAAAGACATAGTGATAAACTGGGTCAGTGCCCAGACCCACTTCCACCTCCCTGCCTTCATACACAGTAGTACTCACCCCCTTCTCTACCAATTTTTTCTCAGCGTCGCGGTGGGAAGTGAAATTTCTCAAGGACCGAAAAGCCATTGTGAAGACCCTTGCGAGGGTTTCGATGGCGAGAATGGGATCTTCCTCTAACCACATTCTAACGGCGGTGTGCCAGAGTTACAAAAAGTCCGGTTCAGCGCTGAAAGCGTGCTCGCAAGGAGCGGGTTCGATCCTAACACGCGTTTATGCTCCTATACTGTAGTAGAGCTGCAGGTGGTCCATTCACACATGACTGAAACTGCCGGTAATTTCACCATGTAGCAGCCTTATTGCTGTGGAAGAAATGAGGCTCCACATTCATGTACCTGTGTTTCTCGGGCCTGCGATGCCGTTTTCCCCTTCCCGCTGAGTAACGGAAGCACACCCACCGGGTCGATATAGCCCTTTTGCTCTGATGACAGAAATTCAGACCAGCTGTTGTGACGAAAACCAACGCCATAATCATATGCTTTTGGTCTGCGTCCAAGCACTGACTCATTGGCTTGCTTTATCTTTGACACTCCTTTCTTCCTTGATTCTCTCATAGGCTACGTTGTTCCCCTCCGAGCTGCCGTTGGCGCCCAAAGCAAGTCTTCGTCACCGCCTGTCCAATATGCCTCTAGGCGGGAAGGGTCCAGCGGTGCTCGCGTGTCTCTGGACTCAGACAGTGGTGACGCTGACTTGCATCGTTTTGAGATGGTATACCAGACGCTACATCAAAGGAAAAGTTGGGGCTGATGATTATTTGCTCTGGTTGACCTGGGTACGTATATATTGCCACGTCGCTCGCCGTCTGGACGCTGCGCAGACAGACTTCTCTCCATGAAATCCATCAAGACTGATCAAAGATTCAGATCTTTCAGGTTGTATTTGCCGCCACATTCACAGTTTCGTGTTCTTATGGATTTGGCCAGCATAACGCCAACCTAGGCGCCTATGAAAAGTCAATGGCGACATTTTGGGAACTTGTCGGACAGCTAGCCGTATCCCTAACCATGGGCACAAGCAAAGCAGCCGGAGCCTTGTTCTTATTGAGAATTCTCACGGCGTCTTGGTCAGTGCTTTTCGATAATGGCATCTTGGACAACTTATTCCGCCACGTGGTTTCGATGGTCCGCATGACTGACTCCGATGTTCTCAATAGGCAAAAATTGATTCTTTGGGCGTGGATGATAAGCAACGGCTTTCTTGCCCTCATGCTGGGTATTAGCGTATTCGCACAATGTACGCCAACGCAGGCACTATGGGACCACTCGATTGCGATGCAATCATGCCCCATCAGTCTCACCAATGTGGCCTACGTCACATGCAGCTGGAGCGCTGCCATGGACTTTTTCCTGGCCATCTTCCCTTGGTTCGTGTTGTGGGAGCTCAACATGAAGAGGCGGGAGAAGATCACTGTCTGTTTGTCGCTTAGTCTGGGTGTCTTTGCTGGTGTCTGCGGCGTTATCAGGACTACTGGCCTCGGAGTCCTGGCCAACTCTGCTGATTATTTATGTAAGACTCGAAAGATCCGATATCCTCTCCAATTTTTCACACGCTTTTGACTGTCCAACAAAACGACTCACACGATAATCTATTGATCTAGACGCCACGGCCGACTCAGTGATGTATACCTCCAGCGAGCTCATGGTCACCGTTATCTGTATTTCAGTCCCAACGCTCCGGCCTCTGTGGCAAAAGGCATTAAAGATGCAATCATCGGCCTACCAGTACGGAACAGGAGATCATTTTGACGGCAGCCGCTATGGTAGGGGAACATCCAAGAAGCAGACACTGCGATCATTTGATGACGGGCCTGAAGGGGCGAGCTTCGGCATGGAGAATTTGGGAACAACCAATGGGGTAAAGGGCAAGGGGACGATGAATGTGACTACAAACGTGACCGCCTTCTCGTCCGCTCCTTTGGGCGCCAAGAACACAGACCACAGCTCGGACAACGACAGCGACAAGGAGATTTTAGGAGATGATCAGCAATACCAAGCTTACGGAGATGGCATTCGTAGGACACGCCAAATTACAATCACGTACGGTTCAGCCTCTTAGGAGGGGCTTTCGAGACAGCTCAAGGATAGCTTTTATATAGACTACGTAATGAGCACTAATTAATACACGGGCGAGCCCTGGGCAGGCCCATATTCTGGGGGAAAGCGAAATGCCACGGTGTCAATTGCAACAACGCAGGTACCTGATAGATAGCAAAAGAAAGCAGCGGTACGATGACTGGCAGCAAGCGGGTGGCATGGACGGCTCGTATGGATAGCACGAACCAACGGCGAGACTGTTCATCAGTTCTGTCTCAATGCATTGCTGAAAGGGGGTGTTAAGCTCACTCCGTTTGCCGAAATGACGCATGGGACCTTATCCAGGATGTTCAATATAATCCGAATATATCAGGCGCAGGAACGTAGACCTAACATCCTTGGATGTCATGACTCTTGACACCCAGGCCTGAACTTTGGTACTCCGGTTGGATCGTCCAGACTTTTTACCCACCTGTGGGTCTCCTGCCGTGCTGCATGCTCAGGAGTCAGGAGACGTCGATCAATGACGGAACTCGCACGGAGTATCTATCGAAGGTTGTATGCACAAACTTTGTATAACATATATATGATCGCTACTCTGTTCAGGTTAGACCGAGAAGTCCAGTAGGGACTTAAACTCCCCCATCGCGACCCTTCTGTGTCCATATATTGTCCTATGGTTCTGTGATCAGCTCGAGGTACCTTCCACAACGTCGAAGTGTAGTTACATACTTTCCGAGAGTCTCTTCTATATCGACCGCGAGACTACTTGTGCAACATGGCGGCTGCTGGACAAGAGATCCGTGTACGACGCGGCAACTGGCGCGAGGTTCCGCGAGAGCAGAAGTTTGAGCTATCCGACATGGACCACACTATGCCAAAGATATTCATTCCAATAGTCGAAGTATTTGAGCTTCCAGATGGAGCCGACAAGGAAGAAATTGTTGCGACCTTCAGAAAAGGCCTCGAGTTTGCATTGACACAATACCCGGTCGTCAACGGCTCTCTTCACATGGACGAGGGCAGTGGCCGCTTGTGTATGTTTCACGATATTTTGGTCCTTAAGATGTGTCAGTCACTAACAAAGATTCTTATAGGGATTGTAACAAAGCGTACTGATACCGTGAGCCTTTTTGTAGAGCACCTCGACCGGGATGAAGGCGAAGCGCAGCACCCATCCTTCCAAGAACTCGCAGAGAGGCATTTCCCAGCCTCAGAGCTACTCCCGGAGAAACTCCTGCCCAATGTGGTCACAGAGAAGATGATATTCTCGCCTGTAGGCCAGGACGCCAAAGACGCATTACTGGTCGCTACTTTCCAAATCACATTCATTAGGGGGGGCTTCATTCTCGGCCTGGCGATGCACCACAGCATTACCGACGCTCCTGGCTGCGATGGATTCCTCACCACGTGGGCGGAGAACTCTACCGCAGTCAAGAATGGTTCCCATTTCAAGCCCATCCATGATTCCAACCGCGACCGCTCGCGCCTCAGTGCGCCCCAGCCGCCCAGCGCTGAGCGGTGGAAGCAACTGGACGGAAAGTTCACCACGCTGAAGGATGTGGGCGGGCCGACCCCTCCACCTCCTGCGGACTTTGTAGTGCCACCCATCACCAGTCGCACATGGCATCTGAGCTCAGCAAGCCTCGAGCAGCTCAAGGCGGATGCCTCACCAGTGCAGAGCCCGGGAAACGGCGGCGGCGAGGCTCAGTCGTGGATCTCGACCTACGACGCCGTCATGGCTCTTTTCTGGAAGACTATGACGCGCGCCAAGATTCCCTTGCTCAAGCCGTCCATGGACGAAAAAAGTAGCATTGTACACCCTGCCAACGCTCGCTCCAGACTTGACCCGCCACTGCCATCACGATACCTAGGCAACGGATGCGCCCTTCCCCGTGCGGGGCCCTTGCGCGTAGGTGACCTCATCGAGGCCGACTTGCGCCAGCTGGCTCCTTTGGTGCGTCAGGGCATCAAGGAAATAACGCCGCAGTATACCGCGGAGATGCCTGAGTGGGTCGCAGGCTTGCGCGACAGGCGGTGGATAACCGTCAACATGAACAATTTCCTGGGACTCGACCTGGCCGGCACAAGCTGGCAGGGGATGGAGGCGTACCAGAAGCATGACTTTGGGTTTGGCCTACCGGTGGCATTGAGATGGCCAAAACCCAGTTTCGAGGGCTACGTGTTCATATTCCCCCAGAGATCTGGCGTCAAAGGCGCTGCACCGGATGAGGGCCTGGAGGTTTGCGTGTGTCTGGAGGCGGGTAGTGCAGACCGTTTATTGAAGGACGAAGAGTTGTTGAAGTATGCTGAAGTAAGGTTTTGAAGTGTAAGGGAAATGGAATATAGAGTTTCCGTTTGGATCTATGGATATCAATCACCAGGGAAACAGACCAGAAACGCATCCAACATTCCTCGAGATCTGCAAACCGCTTGGCATAAAACACTGCCGTCTTAACATCATCTGCCATCGAAAGCAGAACAAGTCCATGGAGGCATGTTCTTGCACGGCCTGCGACTAAGGACTCAGCAGCCAGAGATTAGTTGAGGACATCTACAGTCCCGATGACTGAAGATTTGAAATAAAAGTGGCGCAAGATGAGAGCGAGCTATACCCAAGATGGAAGTGCAGGATGCAGTCATCAAGCCTTCGACGCAAGTCAGAGCTGAGCCCCGCTGCGGCTGTGTTCCACCCCGCAGCCTCACGAACGTGACATGTAGAACTTCTCTCTTACTTCGTTCCTTACTTTCTTGAGGCTACCTGACTTGCAATGCTCGCGCAGGAACAAGCTTTCCACTCGAGCTCATGAGCGCGAGGGAGGTCGTTCACCGGATTGCCGGCTTTCCGGCCGGCGCCTCCAAATCAGCCACAAAAGCGATACTCTGGGACATTTTCGGGCCAGACGTTGAGATCACCGTCCGGTCTGTAGGCATACACCCACTGGCTTCCTCGGCTGTGGTGGCCACCGCTATCTTCTCACCTGTGCCGAGCCAACTGAAAGGCAGCAGCAAGTCCACTATCTCGGAAGTTGTCAGGTTCGATGGTCAACCTTTGCAGCTTCATCTGGAGATCGACACAGATTTCCTCGGATTCACACCTCTGAACGTTGTGGATGACTCACAATCTGGTCAGATTGACTGCATTCTGGTCAGCGGGCTAAGCAGTCATGCCTATGGGTCGTGGAAGGAAAGGGGAGGCCGCTTCATGTGGCCGGTCGATACCGAGGACAGCCGACCATCCAACGTGCGATTTCTACTCTGGGGTTATGACACATCCCTCATCAACAGCGAGTCATTTCAGGACATTGAAGACATCGGGGGGAGTCTCGCTACAGCTCTTGAAGGCATCCACCCATCGTTTGGTCGATACGAGAATGGCGACCAAAATCCAGAGTTCGAGGCGCGGCCAATTGTCTTCATTGCGCACAGCCTGGGCGGCTTGGTGGTCAAAGAAGCCATCTGTCAGATGGCTCAGGATCCGGCCCATTTACGATGTGTATATGGTCTGGTCTTCTTTGGGGTTCCTCATAACGGTCTCCTTGTAGATCCTTGGCTCCGGATCATTGGCCAACGGGCCAACGCCGATCTGATCCGCAGTCTGAAGCCGGAGTCTCGCGACTTGCAGCGTCTGGATAAAGCCTTCAGAAAGACGTTTCGGTTGCAGGGATCACGAGTGATATCGGTCTACGAGACGATGAAGAGTTCGACCACCAAGGAAGACAGCCCTGGAGTTTTTAGCCGGTCTGGTGACAGTCAAGTCCTCGTCAGTCGCAGTTCAGCATGTGGTACTTGGCCAGAGAGTGCCATCCATAAACAAATTGCTATGAATCGGACTCATGAAGATTTGCCTAAGTTTAGCGGCCCTTTTGACGATTCTTTCCTGAGATTGCGGCCATTCCTTGATCACATATGGGCCAACGCTTTTGAAGCGGTGCAAAACAGATTCGGAACCAATGAGCGTGGCAGACTGGTCGGAAGAGCACAAGTTGTGAACGGGACAGAGCCTCAGCAGCGCAATGGCTTGATCCAGGTGTGGCCAGATGTCGAGTCCTATGGCGCGTCCCCGCCGGCCACCGAAGTGGACGTGATCGCCATCCATGGCCTTGGCGGGCATCCACACGGCACATGGACAAGCGGTGGAAAGAATTGGCTCCGAGACTTTCTTCCGTTCGAAATCCCAGGAGTACGGGTTTTGACTTTCGGCTACAATGGCGTACTTGCTTTTGGCGGCTCAAGATCGAGCTTTGGCGAAATTGCTCGGAATCTGCTTGACGAGCTCTTGAGGTTGCGACAAAGCGATCAGGACCAGAGTGATCGGAAGATTGTTTTCATCTGCCACAGCCTTGGTGGTTTGATTCTCAAGCAGGCGCTTGTTCTAGCAAACGAACTTGGAGCCCAGTTCGTCACGTTTATGAACAGCGTCACAGGAGTCTTGTTCATGGGCACGCCTAACAAAGGCAATCAAGTGGCCTACTGGAAACATTTGTTCTCGAACATTGTTGAGCTCGAGAGCCTTCCCGACTTCGAGGCCACGTCTTCGGAAACAATGCTATCCATATCAGCTGACCTTGGGAGGACGTGCTCCCAATTTAATGAGAAAATAGCTCTCAAGCTTCAGATCTTTAGTCTCTACGAGGAACTTGAGTCACAAGACACTGAGTCTTTAGTAAGTGCTATCTCCGAAATAATGTCCGCGAGTCTCTCCCTCCGATGGATACCCTGATTCTCTACCGAAGAAGACCCGCGTTTCCAGAAATATTCCTTTCTACGGTCAAACATCAAACTATCAATGATCCCATGGTCAATTATTCGATGAAGGAACGAGAGCTGACGATGTGCGCTTGCCAGGTGGTAGATCAAGCTTCCGCGATCCTCCGTCTTCCCACAGAGACAATTCTGCCATTGGAGACGGATCACAAAGGGCTCTCACGGTTTCTTACGAGCTCATCAGCAGTTTACCGAACCATCTGCAAGTGTCTCTCGGAGCTGATGGAGACTGCGGACTCTTCGACCGGCCAGAGTTGTGAGTCAGAATGGGCGATCTGTTTACTGCGAAGTACATTCGGAGCTAATCGAACTGTAGATACGGATTTTACAGTAAAAGAATTCATCAAGGATCTCGATGCTGTTGATAACACTAAAGTATCTCATGCATTAGATCCAGCATGGATGAGGTCGACACGATGGATCATAGACAATACCGAGTTCAAGACATGGAGTGGCATTAGAAGCCAACGCGTGCTTTGGCTACATGGTCCCCCGGGCTCTGGAAAAACTGTGCTCATGAAAAGCATGGTGGCATACCTTGCTGAGCGGCATCAAGCTTCCGAGATTCGCATTATCTACAAACCCGTCCGCTTCTTTTTCGACGTCAAGGATCCACATCGCAATTCTTCAATGGCTTTTGTTAAATCTATCTTGGCACAGATTATTCAAGACGAAACGACTCGTTTCGTCTTCAAGTATCTTGATAGGCTGAACTACAAAAAGACCATGGGATCGGAGACTGAGGACGAACTTTGGACATATTTGTTCACCATCGTCCAGAAGTCTAGAGGAATTATCTTCCAGGTTGCCATCGATGCTCTCGACGAAGCTTTGAGGGTCTCGTCGTCAGGGTCAACCACGATCGTTGACAGACTTGAAGAATTGATGGCCATTGACCTCAGCGGCCGTGTTAGGCTCCTCATTTCCCATCGCGAGAAACCTCTTGCCGGTGTGTCTTTAGCACAAGATGCCCTCAAAATCGGTACTCGGAATAGGTTTACCGAGTCAAGCGTCGTTGAGTTCATACGCATGAAGGTACGCCGCAGTCTTGAAGACTCGGGGGTGCCGACGCGAGCCGGCGAGAGCATCGAAAAGAAGATTATGGAGGTCTCGCAGGGCAACTACCTTCACGCAACATTGGCATGGCAGCAATTCACTCAAGGTGTCCAGACGTGGACCATCGCGGAGATCTCGCTAGGTTTACGAAGGCTCGACACTCTGTCTTACGACCTCATATCATCGTACTGTCAGCTCCTGAACGGCATTGGTCACTCGTACCGACCTAGAGCTAGGACTGCCTTTGCAATTCTTGGTGTGTGCAGGGAAAAGTTTGATCTACGGCAACTGGCTTTTCTCGCCAATCTTTACGAGAGGATCCATCTGACAGACGGGGCAGAGAAGCTACCAAAAGATACGATCTCAGATCTGATGTGCGACTGTGCTGATCTTGAGGCTTATTTGTCCGAATCATGTGGATACCTGATCAAGAGAGCAGAAGACGGCACGGTTGACTTTGCTCACACTTCTGTAAAAGATTTATTCACTGAGAACCAATTCGGTCTCTCGCCGGCAAACACAATGACACTTTCGGAATATACCATGTCAACAAACGATGCGCACGACATTATGAGACGTTTGTGCTGTACAATTCTTCAGCTGGAGATCGACAATCAAAGAGTTTGGATCCAAGTCGTGACAAGGGCCATGAGTACGATGGAGGAGGAGAAGGAGGCGAGGATCCAAGATTGGGCCCGCAGAAAAAACGACGCAGCCAAGAGGGACCTCGAACTTAAGCAAGCGAGTGTGATCGGGACGATTGAGAATGAGAAAAAGAGCCAAGAGGATGTGGTGATCCAGAGAACTTTGATCGAGAGTATGAGCAGTACGCCATGCTTTGTTTACTCCATTTTTCACTGGTTCGAACATTATGAGGCTGCGCCGCCTAGCCGAATCTCTGACCAGCAACATGTGGAAACGCTGGTCTCTCCTGTAGGCCAAGTAAGTCACATGCTCTGGGTATTGATGACCAGAAACACGGTACCACATTATGACTGGAACCACGCAAACTCTCTGAGACCAACACGGGAAGTATGTCTGTACCGAATCATTACCAGGGGCGACCATTCAGCCCTTGTCAGGGTCCTTATCGATCGAGGCGCCAATCTCAATTACATCACCTCCATCTACATGGAAGACGACCAGCCAGAGGAACATGGAATCAGTCCACTTTCCTGGGCAATCGTGTGTCAGCGCCGAAAGATCTTGGATGTGCTCTTGAGAAATGAAACCACACAAGTTAATCGCGGCCTGAGAGGGACTCCGAAACCTCTCCACTTTGCCGTCTCGACAGGAATACCCTACTTCGTTGAAAGGATCGTTCAGCATCCGGATTGCAATGTCAATGTCACTGATCATAAGGGGACGCCGTTGCACCTGGCCCTTCACCGGATGAACTATAAAGCAGTGGAGATCATCTTGGATCAGGCATACGTTGACGTCTGGGCCAAGGATCACCATGGCGAATCCGCATATACTCGAGCCTTCAGTCGTGGTTTTTGGGGATCAATCTTCGAGAAATTGCTTCAAGCCTCTAAAACAGAGACTCGAGAGGCTCTAGCCGAGCCCATTCAAGGCACCACTCAGCTTTTCATGGCAGGCACACACGGCTGGACGAATGTGGAGGAAATTATCCTACGAGAGGACCTTGAACAATTGTTTCTCATTGACTCATATACCGGCATGAGTCCCCTCATTGCCACTGCATATTATGGGCGAAAAGAGAAGCTTCTTTGGATGCTCGATCGTGTTCCACCCACGGGTGTGCCATTGAGGCGAGAGTCTGACCAATTTGACCTGTTACATCTTTGCGCTGACCAAGACTGGGAAGATGTGGTTAAACTTCTCCAACGAAAATACGGGCTGAAGTCACTTGCCTCGGACCACAAGGGGCGCACGCTTCTTCACTGGGCTGTCGAGTATGGGTGGGACATGGATCATTTCAGCGTGGTGGAGAACAAGGACATCCTCGACAGGCCGGACCGTGATGGCTTGGCGGCCATACATCTTGCGATCTTGAATCGAGACATGGAAGTTCTCAGGGCTCTGGTCGCCGCAGGAGCCGACTGTTTCCTCAGGGAGAAGAATGGCATGACACCTGCGCATCTTGCTGCGGATAGCGGCTTTCGCGAAGCTTTACATCTTTTCATTGACATGCCGACTCGAGAATTTGGGCGCACGCGAACCGGCGCCAGTCTTCTTCATCTCATCGCATCTTGGTCCGATGGGCCGTCAGTTCGCAAGTTTGTGTCTAGCAAACGAGCCTTGTTGGATGTTGTGGACAAGAAAAATTGTACACCGCTGCACTACGCTGCCATGGTCAACAATCTGTCTTCTGTTGATGTACTTGTCGCCATGGGCTGTGATATCAATGCCAAGAACAGCAGCAGGCGTACTCCACTCCATGAGGCCATACGAGGCGGGTCTGTTGGCACGACTTTACTTCTGCTAAAGCTGGGCGCCAATTACACTACTGTAGATGCATTTGGGCAGACTTGTCTGCTGATGGTCTATCGATATGGGCTCGAGAGTCTGGTCCCACGATTCTTAAGTCTCAAATGCAGCATACACGCTGAAGATGTCTTCATGATGACTCCACTGCATCGGGCCTGTGCGAATGGAAACACCTCCCTGGTCCTGGACTTGCTAAATTTGGGAGCGAACTGGAGGCTCAAGAACAAATATCGTCGGACGCCTTTGGACCTAGCTGTGGAAAACCGAAATCATCGGGTAGTGAAGCATATGGTATCCTATCTCTGGCAGAACTACCGCCGATCTAAGACACGCCAGCGTGTTTTCAACCGGGCGTTGAGAGTTGCAATCCAAGAAGAATGTGGAGTCGGTATAGAAAAGGTGCTTCAGAAATACAAGGCAAAGGTCGACCGTGACTCAATAGTGGCCCATCGGGTTTACCTCGCTGGACCGTCTCCAGAGCCTGGCGTCCTCCCACTCTGCAGGATTCCCTTCGAAGCTAGGTTTGAACGGTACCGGTATTGGAATTATCCCAGCTATCCCAGCACGGGATAGCACCTTTCTTACAAAACAACTGCACGTTCACTGGTACCGCTTGGAATAGCTCAAATCTACGAAGAGAAGGGAGCGGAAGATACGAAGCGCCACCAATTTAGCGAGCTAGCCAGCGAGCCAGTTGTTCCTTTCTTACCAGATGAGAGGGAAGGCACGCCAGGAGGGTCAAGATGGGCTTAGTCGGGGAGGGGGGGGGGGTTATTCAACAAGAAATTTCTCAAGAGACTCAATTTAATACTTAAATTTCCAAAGTCTCGGGAGAAAAATCTAAATCTTTCCCATAAGAATGCAGGGATAATGATTATAAGTGGGCAAGTTTGTATGCTGAAGAGCCCTGTTCCCTTCCCGTATTCAACACCTTCTCCATTTTGTACTGCCCCCATATTTGAGCCGCTCTTCTGTTTGGAACTGCTACAGATCTACTCCGGCAGATGCACTGTCCATCATATTTGTGCACACACCGGATTGTTCAACTTTCAGGAATGGTCAAACCCAGAGGAGCCTTTAAAGTTTTCGAGAAACCTGCCGACATGAGTGAGAAAACAGAGATATTAGGCGAACACTTGAGCTTTAGTATAATGTACATACTCACCCAACTTCGAGACTTTGTGTGTCAGAACTTGGGTGTTAGTTCGTATGTTATTGTGTGCATTGAATTGAGAGCTATTTTAATGGACTGCAAACTGGCTATCTGACCTGCGACGTCCCTATGGAGAAGCCCCATATATTAGGCTATCCAAAAGATATCCTTACTACATTGCCCCACTGTATTCTATGGGCTACCTTACGATTTCATCCACAAAGAAAGCACATGTGAGCTGCAATTCCTTTAAGCTGATTTTACTAAGAATTAGATTATTCTAGCTATATGTATTGTTCCGTTCTTGTCTCTAGCACATACGACCATAGGTATCAGAAAACTCGGGATCCCGTCCGCTCTCCCATAGATAAGCTGGTAACCGCTGGATTAGTAGTTGGGTCGGTGACGACCAGCGAATACCCGGTGTTGTATGTTTTTGCCTTTTGCCTCCCGTTTACTCACCGTTCTACCTGTTGTTACACACGGCTGTGGACGCGCGCTAGTCTCATGTCTTGATATCCTTATCCACTTACAAGTGTTGCGTACTTGCAGACCCTGGCACACTGGTGAGGCACAATTTGCTTTACTAGTAATGGGTGCTTGAGATGGGACGAAGAGTGTGCGCATTTGTGGGCAGAACACAACGACGTGCCCGGGGACAGAATGCAGGCCCATAGCCCTAGGGACCACTCGGATCGCATTGCTTCATGGCTGAGATGAAGGGGAAAAAAAATTATTATTAAAATTTGTTTCCTAACCTGTTCTCTTATTATTACCTAGTAGTTGCTTATCAGGGATTATTAGCTTTATATCTAAAGTATGTGTGTGTTTCTCAAGAGAGAGTAATGAGTGCAGAGGGGTCACGAGGACACCAGCTGCGTGCCAGCTGTCAGCTAGCTACATCCATTGCAACACTTCTTGTGCCCGGCTAAAATCATCTTCATGAGACGGTCCCTACGTCGTCACGGCACAAAGGCTCGATTTGGCTGTAGAAATATGTTGATTTCTGTTAAGGCTCGCCTAGCGAAAAGAAAGGCGAGGGCAGCATAGCTGTGCGCGCGCCCTAGAAGCTATTTACAGTATAGTGGTAAGCTAATAAGATAAGCCTATCGATAAGGGCCCTGTAGGTCCCAGCCCAGAGGGCCCCGCTGGCGTTCAGCCCCACGCCCTCACACTTCAGGAAGTTTACAATTAATATAATAGATTAAAGGGTTTTAAAGCTATTCCTCGGCTTATTAAGTACCTATTACTCTCTTTCTTTACTGACAATACTCTATGTTAGCTGCTATATTCAGATTAAATATGGAGATTCGCAGGCTCGGCATGTGCATGTGACTCTACAGATGCACTTCATGATGCTGCGGATTCGGTATCACCCACATGCCCTGCCTTATCTGTTCGATGCAGGGGTGCTGTGTTCGCAGTGTAAATACGATGAGCACCAAAGAGGTTAACAGGCCGGGTTTCCCGTTAGCGTCGTGGCAAACGCAGATCCTTGTGGTAAGCTTGTAAGCCTACACACAATAGTCTAATAGATCCAGGTGAAATGGGAAACTGTCCCCGCCTTTGACATTTTGAGCACCTATTTTGCAGGGCCGTGGTCATCCTGTGAGCCATCACTTGTGCGCCTCGAGACGGATCACAATGGTACCATCATCCAGCGACTGCGTACGTATGGCCTGTCCAGGAGGTCAGATGGACCCGTTCTGATGCGCAATCACAGTGTCAAGCACTTTCAGCAATCTCAGCACTTGCCAATGTCTTCTACCCCAACTCACCACAGTACAATTCGACACAGCAATCCTACTGGACGCTTCAAGAATCCTCCCTCCGTCCGTCCTGCATCATCCAACCATGCACGGCAGTGCAAGTCGGTGATGCTGTGTCCTCTTTGGTCAGCCGAAACTGCTCCTTCGCAATCAAAGGACGTGGTCATGCTCCCAGTGCAGGCTACGCTAACATTGACGATGGCGTCACGATCGACTTGACCAGCATGAAGAGCGTTGAGCTACGAGGCGATGCCAGCGTTGCACGAGTTGGCGCAGGGGCAAGCTGGCTAGATGTGTATACCTTCCTTGACCAGAGCAACAAGGTATGATTATAAGGAAGCATTTCAATTTTCCATCGTGTACATTCTGACCTCGATCAGACGGTGGCTGGCGGTCGCAACGGCGCAGTGGGTGTGGGCGGCCTGACAGTCGGTGGCGGCATCTCCTACTTCTCCCCGCAAGTCGGCTTCACCTGCGACACGCTCGTCAATGTCGAGGTGGTGCTGGGAAATGGACAAGTTGTCAATGCCAATGCCACCGACAATGCCGACCTCTTCCGCGCGCTCAAAGGCGGGCTGAACAATTTTGGCATCGTGACGCGTTACGACTTTTCCACGATCGAATACGACGGCATCTTCGGTGGCACCGTGGGTAACGACATATCCCAACGTGATGCCGTCTTCGATGCCTTCACCAACATCGCCGCAGCACCGGACTATGATGTCCACGCCTCCATCGTGGTAGGCTTGGTGTACGCGGCAGGCACATGGTCTCTCTCCTCAACGCCAATTTACACGCAGCCCGTCCTGCGCCCATCCGTCTATGACGAACTCTTCTCCGTGCCAAATATCTCCGACAGCACGGCCATCCGACGTCTGGGCACGTTCGCAAACGAGACGAGCCTGCCGCCACTGAACGGCCTGTTCTTGACGACCACGTTTGGTGCAACTCCAGGCTTGCTAAGTTCCATGTTTGACATTCTCAATCAGACGCTCTCTACATCCAGTACAGTTCCATCGTCGACGATATGGAGCTTCGCATTCGAGCCCCTGCCCACGGTATTCGTCGAACATGGTGCCGGCCGGAACACGCTTGGCACCAGCTCAGCAGATGGAAACAGCATCGTTCTCCTGCTGAGCGCGTTCTGGCCTGGTGCAGCAGACAGTGATGCGGTACAGGCGGTCGCAAATAGTGCATTCGCGGCATTGAACGAGGAGGCAGAAAAGCAGGGGCAGGCGAAGAGGTTTGTCTATGCAAATTATGCGGGTCAGAGCCAATCGCCGTTCCAGAGCTATGGTGAGGCGAACGTCGATTTCTTGCAGAAGACGGCCGGCAAGTACGATCCGCAGGGTGTGTTTCGGTATAATGTGCCTGGAGGATTTAAGCTGTGAATGTAGACTAGAAAAAAAAATGTACCGGTGAATGTCTCGAACCAGTCGGTGCTGGGTGTGCGCTATGCCGCGGAGCCGTTGCTGCAACACTGGCAGCCAGCAGCTGCGACGTATACAGGGTGATCTGAAAAAGATTATCTATGCTGATATAACCCCCACAGACGATGTAATGCTATTCCCATCAATCAAAAGCCCTTATTTCTCTTCTTCCAAACGCAATTATAATATTAATTGCTTTATTAAAGTGTTTTTTATGTCTTTTTAGGGACGGCTCTTGGCAACAGTATAGCAGTCTACGTCGCCGTCTCGATGAATTCAGGCCTGAACCCTAGGGCTCAGGGTTGACAAGTCATCCTATTCAATTCCAGCATGTTGTTTAAAGTCCTCAGCCTGCGGGCACTGGCTCGTTTTACCAGATGAAAAGGGAGTGATCCACATAGTTGTCTGAAAGCACTGCAAGTCATGTGCAGTCGTGTCTTGGCAACGGCGCTGCTTTTTGCACGGCAATTTTGATCGGATCGGCCCGGGAGTCTGATACCCAACACGATCATCCTAGACCGAGTCTGATCGCGAGGATTTCGACACTATGAGAAAGTGAATTTCAAAAAGTCGATGACGACACAGAGCTTGGCTGACTGATAATCCTGTTTATCACGACGAACAATTGTAAGATCATGCCGTTGCAATTCAGCAGTTGTCCCTGCCACTCACAAGTCTCAAATTACTACCAATTATGGCCTCTTCTTCCTCTCTGTCGGCATGGCATTTACAGAAACTTGCCTAGCTTTGACCGGTCCTTGAGTGGACTCTCCGCCATCATTACCGGGGCCAATGGTATCTCTGGCTTTAACACGATGCGTGCCCTGCTCGACAGTCCAGAGTGCTGGACGAGCATCTTTGCACTCTCCCGCAAGCCGCCCCCTGAGGAGATGATGAATTTGTTGACTGAAGAAGCCCGATCTCGAGTCAAATTCATCGCTTGTGACTTCGTCGATGAACCTGCCTGAATTGCCAAGAATCTCAAGGCGGCTGGTGTTCGCGCTAATCACGTCTTCTTCTACTCTTACATCCATAAGGAGTGGTCTCAAGCCGCGGCCTTGGACAAGGATAATACCGCCCTGCCAAGAAACTTCCTCGATTCCCTCGAACTGGCCGACATCAAGCCCAGTCGTTTCGTGCTCCAAACTGGAGGAAAGAATTACGGCATGCACATTGGTCGCGTGCGAACTCCCCTCGTCGAGTCGGAACCCCAGCCGCGACATCTCCAAACCAACTTCTACTACTCTCAAGAAGACCTCCTGAAATCATTCTGTGAGCGAAACGGACTGCATGGAATATCATTCGGGCTGCATTCATCATTAGGGCGTCGTCTCACGCGTCGATGAACACCTTCTATTTTCCGCCGTCTACGCCATCGTCCAAGCGCGGAAAGGAGAGCCGATCGCTGCCAAAGGCGATCGGGAGCAATCGCAATACGAGTACTACCACTGCACGGCTCGGATGACGGGATACCTGAGCGAATGGGCTGATCTGGACAGCACTTGCGCGAACGAGGCCTTCAACACCCAAGATGGCAGACCCTTGAGCTGGGAGCGCTTCTTTTCCGAGCTTGCCCGGTGGTTCGGCGTCAAAGAAGTTGTGCCGCCACCAGATGACGAGCCGGGGCTCAAAGCCAATGTGGGGAAGCTCGGAAAGGAGTCGCCTTTGGGATACGGTCCGCCGTTGTCATCGAAGTCGAGTCCGCCATCCCTCTCTGCTGAGAGATAAACCATTGGATATCATCGACGCGCAGGATGTAGTGGAGCGTAGAAGCGCCAACTGCCCCCAAAAAAGGCGGGAGGAACAGGCCCAACAGGCTGAAAATGCCCGGGGACTGCGGAATGCATACGTAAACGGGTAACGCGTAATATTGCACCAGATTGCTTTGCATCGCGCAACCTAACCCTGCATTTCCCGTGATTTAACTATAACCACCTTCCCCTCTCCAAATATGTAAGCCCAGATTTGTTTTGCTAAGGCTCCAAGGGGATAACCAAGTGGTTCTCCTAACTCCTGAGAGGTCAGAAATGCCGCCCGAGGCTCGGTTTGCCGTCGTTGCTGGCACGGGTGCTTTCGACTTCACGCCCGCCTTTGAGGATGCCATTCTCTGCATCGTCCCTTCGGCCCTCTTTCTGGTTGTAGCCCTACAGCGTCTCTTCTGGCTCGCGAGACAACCTCGCAAGGTCGCTAAAAGCCACCGGCCAATCGTGAAAGTGGCACGTGATAATCTCCGCCCCCGAAACCATAGATTTTGCTTGGGTCAATTGTGTGGGCAAGAAGAGAAAACAACTACTGACTGATATAGTAAGTGCAGGGACTGATCGGCGTGTACACAGCTCTACAACTCGCAGTCTTGCTGTGCTGGGCTCTGAATACAGAGAAGTGGCCTTTCTCTCGGTTACGGACGTCGGCCGCCGTGCTCGCCTTCGTCGATGGATTTTTACTCTTGTTCCTGTCCCATGCCGAGCACGCTCGCTCGGTACGACCATCGACCATCATCAACGTTTATTTACTCTTTACTTTGCTCTTTGACTGCGTCGTTGCCAGAACTCTGTGGCTTGCCGACCATGACTCCACGATCCCGGGCCTTTTCACCTCAATTATCGCTATCAAACTCTTTGTCTTGACTTCGGAAGCCTGGGAAAAGAGACCCATACTCCTGTCTCAGTACCAGTCTCTTTCCCCAGAGGTCACCAGTGGCATACTGGGCCGGAGTGTCTTCTGGTGGCTGAATTCACTGATGCGAACCGGGTTCACTCGCTCCCTCACTGATCATGATCTGCTCCCCATCCATGACAGCTTAGCGGCACGAACACTACTCCCCGAAGCACGGGACTCGTTTGGTTCATCGAACCACTCCAATCGCCATGCCTTGGCCTTCTCCATGTTGTGGGCCACCAAGTACATCTTTCTGGCTGGCGTGACACCCCGCCTTGCATTGGCTGCTTTCAAATACACGCTTCCTTTTCTCATCACCAGGACGACTTCCTGGACGACCGATTCGTCGCAGCCAGATGCAATGGGATGGGGACTGACGGGTGCATGGGTGCTGGTCTTCCTTGCGCAAGCTATTTCGAACGGCTTTTATTACCAGATGACATATCGATTTGTCACTTCGATTCGCGGCAGTCTCTGCAGTTTGATCTACACCAAGACGTTAGATCTCAGCAGCAGCACGGCTCTTGACGAGTCCGTGGCGGTATCGCTCATGTCTACGGACACCGAAAGTATTTGTCAAAGCGCCGCAACCTTGCACGAGCTTTGGGCCTCGCCAATCGAGTCTTCTGTCGCCATCTTTCTCCTGTACAAGCAGCTTGGCCTTGCGGCTCTGGCCCCGGTCGTTGTAGCAATCATTTCCACTACTGGCATGTTGTGGCTTGCCCAATTCATTGGAATGGCCAAAACAAGTTGGATGGAGGGCATCCAAACGCGGGTCGATGTAACGGCTTCGGTCCTCGCATCCATGAAGGTTAGGATCCAGCAGGAAGACCTGACAATACTTGTTCTTGATGGCAGGCTCGAGCACTAATCCGTTCGCTGCAGGAAGTTAAAATGCTTGGTTTGTCAGATATTGTCGCGAACATGATCCAGAGCCTCCGCATAACAGAGCTGGACTTGTCCAAGCAGTACCGCAAACTGTTGACCATACAGACTTTCATTGGTAGGTACCTGGGTTATGGAACCTTGCTATATCGCGTTATCAACGTCTCGTCATGGCGCTGCTGCTGACTCCTTTGGCCGAGCAGCAATGAACACGGCGACCATCACCCCTTTGGCGACCTTTGCAACCTTTGTGATTGTTTCCAAGACCACTGGTCAGCCCTTGAACATGGAGTCTGCGTACACCTCGCTCTCGCTGATATACCTCTTGTCGAACCCCATGGTTGTCGTATTTCGTACCATCCCATTCGTCAGTGCCGCCCTCGCGTGCTTTTCTCGCGTCCAAAACTACTTGTTGTTAGAGAGCTGTACCGATTACAGACTGCCCTTGAGCGAACGAGATCATAATTCAAGCCAAAACGATGGTAAAGGAGACACGCTTGTAGCGATATCAGGAGCCAGTTTTGGCTGTGTTCCCGGAAAGCCGGACATCCTCAAAGACATCACCGTCAACATTCGCAGGTCTTGCTTCACCTTCGTCATCGGACCTGTGGGCTCGGGCAAGAGCACTCTCATGCGAGCCATTTTGGGAGAAGTCCCGCTCCGAGCTGGTTTCATACATGCCGATCCCGGCAACATTGCGTTTGTTGGTCAGCAGCCTTGGATCCAGAACCTGACGATACGCCAGAATATCCTAGGCAGTGCTAGCTACGACGCAGAATGGTACGACAAAGTTGTCTACGCGTGCGGACTGGAGCAGGATATTGGCGAGCTCCCTGACGGAGATGCGACAAAGGCAGGCAGCGCGGGATTTTCGTTGAGCGGCGGCCAAAAGCAGCGACTCGCCTTGGCCCGAGCCGTCTACTCCAGGGAAAAGACAGTCTTGTTGGACGATGTGTTTGCAGGGCAGGACGCGGCGACCGAGGAGCACGTCTTTCAAAATCTTTTTGCGGAGACGGGTCTCTTCCGGCAGAAGAGCATGACTGTGATCTGTGTCACAAATGCCATCCACAGACTCGCCTATGCCGATCATGTGGTCGCTCTGGATGTGAGCGGCCATATCGTGCACCAAGGCTCATTCGCCCAACTTCAATCCGATACAGATTATCTGCATGGGCTGGCAGTCGAACAGAACGGCGCGAATGAAGAGCGGGACTCCGCTAAAGCATCGGTGCAGCGTCGCCACGAGACTGTCCCCCGGCACCGATCCGAAAAAGATGCTGACCAGAACAGCGACGACTCTGAATCTCCCGGTCGAGTTCTCGGCGAGTTTGCCACATATACATATTACTTTGGCTCTGTCCCTGTATGGCACACCATACTGCTCGCTGCCCTCATCATTCTGTTCGCGGGAGGTCATCAGATGACAGCACTCGTACTCAGCTTCTGGACGGACACTGAGGAAGAATCCGGCCAAGCCGCCAATGACTACTACCTTGGGCTCTTCGGGATGCTCACCGGTCTCGCCGTCTTGGGCATCACAGGGGCAGCCTATTTCTATCTGGTCGTCATGGTGCCTTTGAGCTCCGAGGTTCTCCATGCTCGGCTTCTACATTCCGTCATGAATGCCCCTGTGGCCTTCTTCTCACGCACCGACGTCGGGGTCACCACAAATCGCTTCAGCCAGGACATGTCGGTCGTCGACACCGAGCTGCCCTTCGCCCTTGTGGATTTCTGCGTCAACTTTGCCCTCATCATCATGTCGGTCATCCTGATGTGCGTCTTTTCAGGGTATTTTGCAGCCGCACTTGTGCCCTTTGTCGCTTTCTGCTGTTGTGAGTTTACATGTTTATTTATATCAGCCCGGCCCCAAGCCTCTTAATGTGACACAAAAGATCATAGCACTGACCCCAAGCTACTATGGCTATGTGCCAACAGTGCTGCAAAAGTTCTACGTGCGGACGTCTCGCCAGATCCGACTGTTTGATCTTGAAGCAAAATCTCCCCTTTTCACGCAGTTCCTCGACCTCCTTCAGGGCCTGTCCACGGTGCGGGCGTTCGCATGGGGCCCACGCTTCATCGAGCGGTACCTGGACCTCCTCGACGCCTCGCAACGACCGTTTTACCAGCTCTTCTGCATCCAGCGCTGGCTGGGCCTCGTGCTCGACTTGATGACCGCCGTCCTCGTGACGGTCATGATGGTCCTGGTCGTCAAGCTGCGGGCACAGCTGTCGGCGCAGTACGTGGCTCTGGCCTTCGTGCAGGTCATGTCGTTCGGCCAGTCGCTGGCCCACGTCATCCAGGACTGGACGCAGCTCGAGACGTCGTTCGGCGCCGTCGCACGCGTCAAGACGTTCTGCACCGTCACCGAGTCGGAGAACCGGCCCGCTGAGACGGGTGTCGTGCCCGAGGACTGGCCGGCGCACGGCCGCGTCACCATCGAGAATCTGGTGGCCTCGTACGATGCGCGCGGCGACGAGCCCGTCCTGCGCGGCGTGAGCCTTGACATCCCCGCCGGCGCCAAGGTTGGCATCTGTGGCCGCAGCGGGAGCGGCAAGAGCTCCCTCCTGGGCTGCGTCCTGCGCCTCCTTGAAGTCGGCCCCGGCTCGCGCATCACCATCGACGGCGTCGACATCACGACGCTGCCACGGCAGGCTGTGCGCGCTGCAGTAGCCGTTGTGCCGCAGCACCCTTTCTTCCTAAAGCATACGAGCCTCCGCGACAACCTTGTCGTCCTTCGCCGACAGCAGCGCCAGCAGGAGCACGAACAGCAGGAGCAGCAGCAGCTAGCTGTAGACGACAAGATCCTCCAAGTCCTGCGCCGGCTCAAGATGGACGATGTTGTAGATCGACTGGGCGGCCTAGACAGCCCGCTGGACGCCGACCGGCTCTCGCAGGGCCAGCGCCAGCTTCTCTGCATCGCCCGGGCCATGCTGGCAGGCAAGCGCATCATCCTGATCGATGAGGCGAGCAGCAATGTCGACGAGCGGTCCGAACGGCTCATCAGGGACGTCATGCGCGAGCAATTTGCCAGCTGCACCGTCATTGCCGTTGCGCATCGCCTCGGTGCCGTCGTCGACTTCGATCGTGTTGCTGTCATGGGCGGTGGTCGGCTCCTAGAATGGGATAGTCCTCGCGCTCTCCTGGAGCGAGATAGCGAATTCAAGAAACTTTGGGATCTTGGGGCGAATTAGAGGAGCGGTTAGGTCCATGAAGCTTGTGTGTCTGGCCTTGTCCAAGCTCAGGGATTGGATCCACATCGCATGGGCGGCAAGTTCATAGATAGCTGCAACAACTACCAACGTCGCGCCAGGTGTATATAGGGACCGGAGTTTATGACCGTGCAAGAAAGACTCCATCACTCTGCCCCTAGATCATAAGACGATCCTGGACGGTGCCAGGGGAAGAAAGCGTTTTAACCTGGCAGAAGAGAGACTTGCGTAGGTGAGATCATGGAGCGCAAGGCTACAGTTACATACATCATGGAAACCCGCGACTGAAGGCCGTCTTCTGGGGTTTTCGCTGTTCGATGATGGTACTGCTGTGAATACCAACTGCTACCCTGCTACTTAACTCCTGCATACTAGAGAGACTAGTCCATTAGTTATGCTGCATCATATGTACATGTTAGAGGGAATGGTACCGTTGTGCCCATAGGTAAGAGAGGAAAGGGTCCGGAGTTTACTACGGCTATACGCTGACAGCCTGTAGAAATCATGTGGGGGGGTGGGATGGTTACTGAGCATCTATGGGCTGAAACTGTCCGCATATTAGCCTCAATAAAACAGAAGATAAGAGGCCACTACTTTGAGAAAGAAATCACTGATATAAATCTAGTAAGCGATATGTTTACCGAGCATTGCGCAGACTGCGTTCTTCGCCCTAGCCGTAGACAATGTCACGAAAGTACCAAATGTATTCCTCATCAAAGATTGCCTGATCCTAGAACTTCTTAAGGGGTTGACCTGGTTTCATTTCGCAGGCTCATGAGCCGCGCGAGCTTCCAAGGTTGGCGAGAGCATACGCACCCGTGGATGTCTGGCTAAATAACATCATCGTCTCACAAAGGCGGTCAATCTAGAAAGCATAGCCATGAAGGGCGAAGTAAACACGCTGATATGTTTGAATTACGCTCTTCTTTCAGAGTTTCAAAGCTTGGCATGAGCTTGGTGTTTACTATATGAATCTGTTCTATAACCCTATTCCTGTTGTGCTGTCTAGATCTCCTTTGGTCTACATAAAAGTTTCCTGGGTCGCCGTCCACAATTCCGTTGCCGGAATGTTGAAATAAGCTAATACAAGGGTACACAAAATTAATGTACTTAGATTTATTCAGTCTCGCCTTATACTTGATCCCCCCTGCATTATCATCGCTCATCACTCTGATTGGCATCGTGACAGTGTAGGTATGCTCAATGAGTCTCTACTAGGCCCCTGGAGAACTTGAATAACATCATGCATCAGTATCACCTGCACACCTGTCCGTTCGAAGAGGATGTCGTCAAGTACCTGGGTATGAGTGTCGTAGAAATATGGACGACAGTGATCGTGAGCGCGTGGTGCATCCTTCATTGAACAGTTCTTTGGACAATCTCTCAGCTGACACAAACAGAATTAGTGCCTTTTAAGCCTAGGTCCCCGAGGCAGAATCTTCCAGGCATCTGCGCGATCAGTCGTTCCAGATAATTCAGGTCTCCTGCGCCTCGCAGAGAAGGACAGTGGCGCACCTCGCACCACGCGCCAAGCTAGTAATAAGATGCAATTCGTCCCCGTGAGTACTCTATCATGCATGTGAGCTAAAAGGTCGTACCTATGCCGGCTCGACACGCTGGCAAATAGCCCAGAGGGTCTTTGCTAGGTTGAGCCCGGTAGGTCGCCACCAGATAGCCCTTGCTACTCGAGTCAAGGTCGATGGGACCTGTAGTGTAGTATTGCACCCATTTCTGAACGCGCTGCTCATCCGTTTCTGGAGTTAGAAAAACGGTCACGTGCTTGTGAACCACTTAATCCGACAATAATTCGCGTCTATTGGCATTTTGCAAGGCGTTGGCTCCTATGCCAGTGCAGGCTTCTTGGTTGTCTATTCCGATACTGTTTTGTAATACGACAGCCACTTAAACCCTCTCTCAATCCACGGGGTAGACGTATTATCTGCAAGATCTGGAATCACGACCAAGTGTTAGGGCCTGCTAGCGATCTTCTGTTGCGGGGAAGGCGGGGTCTGCTGCGCAGCACGTATGAACTAGATAAGAACCTCCTTTTCCGCCGAATCTGTCGTGTCGCATCACCACTGGTTTCTTGTCCTTATCGATATGTCCGAAACCAGAGTGCCCAAAAAATTTACATTCGTTGGTGGCCCGAGCCGCAAGCGACGACGATGCCCGCCTCGTTCTGACAAGGCCAATTCCCTGCCACCTCATGCCCGTTCGAGAACATCGCCCGCGGGCGCGATCACCGGCACAGGAACATGGAGGCGAACATCCACAGACTTGCATGCAGCATTGAATAAACAACCAACGAATGCGGGACCCGCTGCGGAGGACTCAGCTGCACCTGCGTCTGGTCAAAGTGCTTCCCCAGGAACAGTGGCACCGGTGACAGCGTCTTTGGTCGAAGGAACAGATTGCATGGCAGTGAACGCTCCACCCGCAGCTCCCGCATCCGACTTGTTCAGTTCTCTATTGGGCTGGCTACAACCTTCCGAAATATATCCCAACTCCTTTGTAACGCAATCTGGTCCCGACTTTGACGATTCTCCCACTCAACTAGGTCTTCCCTTTGGTTCGCCAGTTCCCTCTGGCCCACATCTAGCCAATAGGCCTTCATCATCAGACCTCGCTGAGGTGCCTGAGAATATACCAACAGGACACCCATCTAACGCAACTGGAGATATCGCCAAGAATACAAATCTAGATATAGAAGAATACAGACCGATACCCAACACCATAAACGACAGTCTAAGACAATTGCTTACTCAGTGTAAGGCTATACACCCACATCTGAACTTAGGATTGATTATAATATGGGTCTAATTTTTGCAGATGACCAAGAGTTTTGTATATGGCCTTTGACACATGACTTCGACGCCAATCCCTTCCGCTACCGAACAGAGGCTGAGCAAGGCCCGCCACTTCTGTGGCATTCAATCTTGGCGTTGTCATACAAGCACATCCATCATGAGACTGGTAGCTGCTTTGATAGAGCTGCAAGTCATAAGGAAAAGGCTCTGCAGCTGTTCGATAAGTTGGAGGGCGATGTTGGCTCGGAGAAGACCAGGGCGAACTTGCTTGACGGACTCCTAATCTTGATGACCTTAGATGTAAGTCCAGCTTAGCAACAGAACGACAATTGCTAACGGTTTACGCAGTGTGCAACGTCTGCTCAGGGTCCATGGGTTACCCATTTACGACGCGCCGGGAAGATAATTCAAGCCCTCAAGGAAGCTGGGCTTCGGAAGACGCCGCGGGTGCAGGCACAGCTCGACATGCTTATCTGGTAAGTTTGCCGTGACTTTTGAACTGCGTTCCATTGTCAATTTGCTCATGAAAAGTGTCAGGTGGGATGTGACCCTTGGCCTGACCACCCGGCAAGGCTTTGTGCTATCGGATACGATTGGCGGTGTTCAACAGCCCACCAGCGGTTCTTCTTTCTTCAACATCTCTGGCTGCCCTGCGGAACTGTTCAGATATATGTTCCTACTTGGAATATACGCCCACGAACTCGAACTTACCTCGCAGATGACCTGCGTCACCTTTGATATAGGCCCTGTGCTAGCTGTAGAGAAGGCCATAAAAGACTGACAAGCACCACAGTATGACGACTTGGACGCTGACTTGCCTCAACCGCCGAGCGCCGTCGACCTGCCCGAGGACTGGGGTCGCAACCCCGTGGAAACAGCTCACTACGTACAAGATTTGTACCACTCAGCTCAGGCATGGCGATTTGCTTTACTCGTCTACATTGAGCGCGTGTTCAAGTGGCGTCATGGCAGGGCATCAAAACTGCGCATCACTTTGTTTGCGCGCAAGGCGCTTGATCATACATTTTCGTGCCGGCGGAGTGCCATGATGCAGAAGCAACTTCTACTTCCTGTGTTTCTTGCAGCGTGCGAAATAGAGGACGAGGCGCTGAGAGATGCAGCTAGAGACTACTGTAGTTGGTGGAGTGGCAAAACTAGGTACGATATGTTCGTGACGACTCTTGGGTTGCTCGAGGAGGTTTGGACCGCGGCAGAGGGAGACATGGATAGCTGGTGGGGTTCGCTAATCGACCGGAAATCAGGAAGTGATACTGTAAATTCTGCGAAGAAACAATTTTTGTTCGGCTGATTGGTTTATAAGAACTCCCTTAGATTTACTAGCTAAGATACATACAAAGATACTAAATGGCTAGCATCTGGGAAGCTGTATATGTACTTATCGCTTAGAAATGGCCTTCTATCTCGAGCGGGGTGTAGACTTCTTCCAGATAATTTTCTTCGTCTACGGTCAAGCTCTTGCCAATAGCCGAAAGTGATTCATCGATTCGATCGATGCTGCTGAAGCCGATGATTGGACTCGTCGTTCGCTTCAATATCCAGGCCAGAGCTACTTGACTCATAGTCCATCCCTTCTGCGAGGCTAGGCTCTTCACTCGGTTGATAATCTCGACGGCTTCGGATCGTGTCGTTGAAGGGTCTCCCAAACCACCGGTTGAGCGCGTGGTGGTGCCGCGTACACTGAGCGGTCTAGCGAGTTGACCCTGGGCAAGAGGTCCCCACTGACATTGATTAGAAACGTTGGCGGCTAGCAATTGCTTCTGGACACTAAGACATACCGGTACTATAGCAACACCGGTAGCATTACAAAATTTGTTCATTTCTCGCTCTTCTTCACGGTAGAGCAGGCTGTAGTGGTTCTGGTGAGAGAGGAAGGTTCAGATAGGTATTTATACAGCACTTCGCATAAAGTCCACTTACCTGCATTGCAATGAATTTTGTCCAGCCGTTCTTCTCGGCACAGAACTGCATCATGGCAAACTGAAAGGCCCACATAGAACTAGCCCCTATGTATCTAATTTTGCCGGATTTGATGAGATCGTCCAATGCTTGCATAGTTTCCTCGATTGGAGTAGACGGATCGAAGCGATGGATCCAGAACAGATCGATATACTCAGTTTCTAGTCGTTTGAGCGAATCATTTACCGCAGTGAAGAGCGCGCTTCTCGAAAGCCCTGCCTAGCTTAATACATTGCCCCGAGGAGGGGAAGGTCACATTCAACTAACCAAACTGATTGACATAGTCTTTGCTTTTACGGAGCTCCTCGAGGATGGGATAGGCGTGGAACTGCTCTTCACCGACACAGCTCCACGCCTTTGTCATCAAGACAAGTTTTTGGCGAGGAATATGGTATGTCCTGATCGCTTCAGCGATCACCCGTTCGGAATCTCCGTTTGAGTAGATGTTGGCCGTGTCCCACTACACAGCTCATAGGACAAAGACATGAGCCACGCTGCAAATTTGAAAATGGCAATGAAGCAACGACTACTCACGGTGTTTACACCTCGGTCGTAGGCAGCCTTCAACAGTGGAAGCGCTTTCTCCGGTCCGATGACCCAATCAGCCCACTCCGGGCTGCCGATACTCATACAGCCAACGATGGGGACAGAAACTCGAAGTCCACTTCTGCCGAGAGTTCTGTACTCAGCCTTAGTCTCGTCAAGTGACCTGACCACACTCTCCGGAAGCCACGCCATTGCCTTGAGGTATTCTGAGGAAAGTAAGGGTTGAACAGGCAGGACCAATGCGTAGGCGCCTCAACAGTGCAGGGTTTGGACGAAGACTGACTTGATGCTTATACACACGGCCAAGAGGTTTGGTCGGAGGCAAATGCACATGCCGATCTACCAGAATTGCCTGAACGGGAAGTGCAATAATCGAGTGTATTGGTACGAAAAGAAAGAGCTGCCTAAAGAGACTTATCTTCCTCTGTAGAAGTTCCTGGAGATTCCTTCTTCAGGAAGCATTTTTTGGTATCTTGCCCGTAAACCGGTAGTGTTACTAATGCATGTTCCTATATTTTCTTGCAATGAAAAGGTGTTCAATTTATGTAAAATCATTCATGACAAATTCACATTCACTTCTGCCGAATTGGGAATTACCTATCTTGGTGCTACACTGAATGATAGTGAAACTCTAATCTCCGTCAAGTTTGATTTGTTGAAAGAGAGCCCAGCCGTGATAACAGATGCGAAGAGTCTGGGGTTTCGGGACGCGGGGTTAGCGGGTTGCACGTAAGATACGCGGCGCCAGCGGAATCTTATCATAATAATTCAACTATATATTGATGATTACGCATGACTCTGTTTATCGCTCTTCAACTACAGCCATAACACGAGTTGATTCAATTCCATTTGATCACATGGGGCGTCCTCAAACCTTGAAGCCGCGTTCAGTGGCGTACGCGAAGGAAACCGCCCGTCAAGAACATGACCTTACGATCCGTGAAGCAGTCACAAAACACCGTATGGCAGTTTTCTGGGCGTCTTTCTTTTGCCTGCCCAATCTTATTATTGGCTATGATCCGACCATCGTCGGCACATTAGTCGGCATTCCTCAATTTCGGAAGGACTTTGGCTATGAGTACCCACCTGGCTCTCAGTCTTATGTGCTTGCCGCTTCTTGGACATCCGCATTTACCTATGCCCCGGTCCTCGGCTATATGATTTCGGCTATCTGGGGAGGATGGTGTGTCGATCGTTATGGGCCTCGCAAGACACTGCTTGGTGCTACTTTGCTGTCGCTTGGGACTCTGCTAATGCAAGTTCTGGGCGAAAGCGCGGCTGTCATTTTCGTTGGAGATCTCCTGACCGGGCTCCTAACTGGCAGTTTCCCAGTCCTCGGGCCGGCATATATATCCGAAATCCTCCCTGTCTGTCTCCGGGGAATGGGACTAGCAAGCAACAATCTCGCTCAAGTCCTCGGTTCGCTCATGGGAATTCTCATCTTGCGAGGGACAGAAGGCCGGACGGATAAATGGTCCTATAAAGTCCCTTTCATAACGGAATACGCATTCCCGCTCATTTTCCTTGCTGGTGGATTCCTAGCCCCTGAGACGCCTTGGTTCTTGATGAAAAAAGACCGCGAAGCCGAAGCTAGGAAGTCCCTCGAATGCACTGGCTACGGAGAAGATGTCGAAATCACTCTGGCACACATGAGAGAAACTATTGCCCTTGAGGAAGACCTCTCGTCCACTGCCACGTATCGGGACTGTTTCAAAGGGACCAATCTTCGACGGACTCTTATATGTGTCATGGCGTACAGTGGGCAGTTCCTGTGCGGAATCAATCTCGCAGCTTCTTACTGTACTTACTTTTTCCAACTGGCTGGCCTATCCACAGACCAGTCTTTCGACCTTTCATGCGGATTATTCGGCCTTGGAGTCCTTGGAAATCTTATCTCCTGGCCTTTGATGACAATTTGGGGTCGAAGAGCCGGATATATCTGGACATGTAGCTTCACCACTGTGCTGATGTATGTGCTGGGATTCTTGGGACTTGCCGCCGCCTCTGATACTGCAGCTATGTACGCCAAGGCTGTTGTGCTCCTCATTTTCTACTTTGTCTACAATATAGGACTGGGGCCAATCGTCTATGTGCTCATCGCCGAAATTCCCAACACCAAAGTCCGCGGCAAGACTTTGGGAATCGCCTGCTTTGGTCCACACGTCCTTTCCATCGCCATCACCGCGGGACTTCCTTATGCTATGAGCACAACAGAAGCTAACTGGGGAGCTAAGACTGGGTTTCTATTTGCTGGACTCAGCACATGCGTAGTCATTTGGGCAATTTTGCACCTGCCAGAGACAAAGGGGCGTACTTTTCGGGAGATCGACATTCTTTTCGATCGAAGAATATCCGCTCGCAACTTCGGTGATGCAGACCTGACTGCCTTTGATCCGACACAAGTCATTTGTGGCCTCGATGCGACGGAGAAGGAAGTTGTCGCCGGAAAAAGGCAGTAGTGACAAGTAACGCAGGGTTGATGAAATTTCCCACATGCACCGTGTGCCCTTAGGTCTTTGAATTGGATACTGCTTCATGGATACTCAGCATATCGAGGATGAGCAGGATAAGGGGTGGCCACTATGGCCGCTTTTTTGTAGCTAGATCTTTGTAGACTACGGAGAAAATGGATGCATCCACACCTCTGCAGCATTGGTATGGCCCTCAAATAGTGTCTTCCTGGATCTAACAATGTGTCCCTGTCGACCCTGATCGGGGATCACATGGAGCGCCATCGCAGTTGCCTGGGGCTCTGCCATGTACTGGTTCTGCTCAGGGACCATGACTATGCTATCGGGGCCAGATATTTAAAATCACAAAATCCACGCTTCCTTGACGTGGGTCTACGCGGGTCTCTGCAAAGGCGCTATCGCCGGCGTTACTACGCCGTTCACAGGCGGCAGTCCAAGGGCAAGGGGCACAACTGCCAATTGTCGATATGGCGTTCAGACTTTTTTTTGGTTTGCTTTATTGAATATAAACGAAACAGTAAGGTAATTATCGTGCGCCCTTTGTTCGGTCTCCAAGGCTTATAAATCAGCCTTTGGCGCCATTAAGAGTCATCATCGTCCCGGTCTGATAATTGATCTCAAAGCTGTAGCGAGGATCATAATGGATCGCCCAGTATCCATCCCAGATCTTCTTTGTAATGGGCCCAACTTTGCCATCATTCACAGGGTTGCCATCAAGTTCTGTGATGGGCATGATACCACCGGCCGTAGTGCACATAAGAATCTCGTCGCAGCTGTACACCAAATCGACAGGCACGTATTCAACGCGCACTTCCAAACCGTGGGAGTGAGCAACTTCAATAACGCTTCTGCGCGTCACACCTTGTAGAACGCCACGTTCGGGCGTGTAGAGTGCACCGTCTTTGATCAAAACGATATTGAAGCCCGAGCCCTCAGTTATGTTGGCAACTCCGTCTGTTAGGAAGGGATACACAGCTCCGCGATCAGCAGCCTCAAATAGACCACGAGTAAGATCACCCCATTGCAGGTTCTTAACGGTCGGATCAATAGAACCCGGAGAAATTCGTCGGACTGTACGCGCCACAATGGCTTTACCACCCGTGGGCTGCAGCTCGGGCTCCATGACCCACACGAATGGTTGGACGAACATGTACAAGTTGTTCTTGAAGGTCTCGCCGGGAGTGTGGCCACGGACACCCTTGAGGCCGCGAGTCACAATGAGCTCGACGAAGGCATCTCGAATGCCGCTTTTGGCCACCATCTCGACGAGAGTACGCTTGATCTCGTCGCGGGGCAGGGGCAGTCGAAGTCGCATTTTGCCGCAGCTAGCCTCTAGCCGTGTCATATGGTCGTCCAAACGGAAAAAGCGCCCATCCCACACCGATGGCACGTCGTATGTTAGGTCGCTGTGCATGAACCCCTGATCCAGCAGCGGGATTCGAGCTTGGTGCAAAGGCACGAAATCGCCTTCTATCCAAGCAATACCCCTCGCGAATGCATTCTTGTCGTAAGATGCCTCCAAAACGGCTTGTCGGGCATGATAGCCGGTGAAAATTTCGTTCATGGAAGCCATTATCACGGGGGTAGGCAGAATTTCTCTTGGAAAAACAAAATAAACGTTTCACATGGAGTATTTGGTATTCGAAATCATCTCTTACCGCTTCAGACTTGCCGCGTTTAAGAGGGTGTTGTGGTCTACCTAGCCACCCTCTAGTGGGAGAAGCCGATTCGTCTCCGCTTGTGAAGAAGTCCATATAACTGAAAGCGGTAATTCCTATCGCGGATATCCGCGCCTTTCCTATATTGGATCTTGTTTATACTGCACGCTGTTTGAGCCATGACTCAGGAATTCACGCAAGTCTGTGACGAGAGTGAGTTCGCAATATTTCCGCCCCATTTCATTCCATTCGCACACCAACAAGCCTACATCACGGGCTCGCCAGGGAGTTTCCATCTCGAGGTCTCACATTAAGGATTCATGGTGATTTCGCTGTTCTACTTCGCCACATACATGAGATGTGAATAGCAGTGGCAGGACAAACTTTGGTTGGGTTCAGTAGCACGGTGACATGTACGCTCCTAGTTTATAACATGGAAGTGCATTTTGGTATCCTGTCCTGCGGCGAACACGTTTCCGCTCGAGCTGCAAATTGAATCATATATCGAGGGACTGTATTCCTCCTTCGAGTTGTTTCTTTTGAGTACATAGCCCTTCTAGCACCTGTGTCCCAAGAAACTGGGCCCATTTCTCCGCGCTGTCGATTCTAAAGACGTGGGTGCAGACTTTTGTCCCCAATACCACCAAGTACATCCTCTACGGCAGCTACAGATTCAAGAGCCATGCCATAGCCAGCCTGGAATCCAGTGCCGCCCGCACCATAGTTATGTACCAGCACGCGGCTTTGTCCATTGACCATGACTTCTTCTCTCTCCACACGAGCCCCGCCTTCACGAGAAGGGCGAAGTCCTGAAAAGACGGCCAAGACCTCAGGCTCTTGAAGACGAACCTCTGGGCTTAGGTCTCGCGCGCGCGCCAAGATGGATTGTGTCTCCAAGGCGTACGTCGAGCCATCACTAGATGATGCATATCAGCGCTGGTTTCAGTGTATTCCTCTTTGCAGTGGCTTATACTCTTACCTGACGCCTTTCTGCATGTACCCGCCTAGAATAGCATTTCCATTTGACCCTGGGCGGGGAATCACATAGGTCTCATAATGTAGACCGTGTCGCATCATGTTTGTGTGAATATGCGGGCCTCTAACCAGCACCACCTGACCGCTTGTAGGGTAGCATTTTGGATCGGCGACACCCAACAGCGTGGCAGAAGCGAGCCCGGTGCAGTTGAAAACGACTTTGGTAGATGGACCGTAGGCGGCTTCAATGCTTAGAAGCTTGTGGCGCACAAATCGAACACCATACTCGTTTTGTAGCCTCTGCTGAAGATACTTGATGTGCTGGGGGGCATTCACCGTGAGTGTGGTAAAAGACGCGGCAAATTGAACGCCTTCTGGAAGCTCACTTTCATCTAAGACCCGGAACTGCATTGCGATTAGCGGCAGTTTTCACAGATACGGCTATCGCTATGTGCTCACGTCTTTCAGATACTCTGACATGTGCTGAATCTTGTCACGGGGGACTTGCTGGTCCCATAACTCTGTGGACGGAGTCCAGTGCACATAGGCTTCCTGAGGTGACTTGTCGGCAAGCTCTGAGAGATGCTCATACCCGAGACGATCCCATCGAAGCGCGTTGGCATCTGTACCGGAAATGGCGGAGAAGTTACAGCCAGCCCTGATTCTAGTTAGCAGAACCGCCTTGAGGCAGTATCGAGTTTGGGGATTTGCCCACCATGGGGATGTATAGCTGCTACTCGTATCTCCGGGAAAATACTCTGCAACAACGGTGATCGATTGGCCATAGCCTTTTTTCGCGAGAACCAAGGCGGCATTGAGGCCAATGATGCCGGCACTGACCAACGGTGTTTTAGCAGTTATTCAAAGTTGCTAGGGCACGTAGGCAATTTACCCTACAATGACGACACCGTCGCTTGAGTTCAACGAAGTCAACATGTGTGAAAGCAATTGGATAATCTACCTTGTGGAGCGGTAAATGGTAATTGTTTGCAAAGGTTGTCAGAACAGCTTGAATTGTACGTCGGGACAATACACATATCAATCACTCAGAAACAGATGGACCTCTGTAATGTGCTGCATGCGCTGCAGAATTCATGAAATGCTCATTTTTATTATGAAGAGAATCTCGATTTCTCGATCTCTCAAAGATTACAATGGGGCATTATTTATCACCAAATTAGGATAATCAACCTACCTAATCAGGATAATCTACCAAAATGGACAAACCTCGACGGGTAGTGTTTGGGAGAGACTAGCTTACTTTCTGGCGCGATCTGGCAGAAGCTGAGCAGCCTTACCAGAGCAAGTAAAGCACAAAATTCCAAAACCACAATTGGCAAGGGCTGCAATTGTTTGACAACACGTTCCGCGAGGCAGGGTATGGATACTATTGGCGCACTTAAGAGACAAAGGCAACATGAGATGAAGACCTTGTTTACGAAGTACGGCTCAAAATATGGTGACGCTACGTTGTGGATGAAAATCTAAATCTGCCTATAGCTACACCTTTCAAGGGGAAATCGAAATTGCAGACAAATGTCAGAAAGCGTTGCTGTGCTGAATGGTGTGATTCGTATCGCGGGTCGCGGTTATTGATGCTTTTCTTTCCCGACGAGAAACCCTTTGATGACGTTAGCGGTGAGCCTTGCAACGTTGTTGCGGTAATCATCCCAAGCCAGCGAGCAGTACCAGTTGATGCTGCCTACACTAAAGACGGCACCACCGCCAGAACCGATATAGTAAACAATGTCGCTGCGAATGAGGTCCGTCTGGGTCCCAAGGGTGCTCAGAGCAGGATAGCTGAGGTCCTCGATCGCAATTCCAAAGTCGTCACTGTGGCCAATGCTCGTCGCTAATACCACAGCGGCCCCGGGGCTTCCGTTGGCCACATCATAGCGATCAATCTCGTCCCCTGAAGCGCCCCCTCCAAAACCATGTTCCCCAATCAGCTCACCGGATACACCCATGAACATCCAAGAAAACCTGGGATCATGGGATACCTTGGTTCGTCGATATGGAATTCCAAGACCTGTGCCTTGGGCACAAAACCCTACTCCGAATAATGTGTTGCAACTCAGCCCACGGGACCTCCAAAGTCCACCTCGTTGGCCGTCAAGACTATTGACGTGCTCGCCGCCAGGAAGGCTGTAGGGACGTACGCCGGTATCACCCCTTCGTATCTCCAACCTATGCGGCGACGCATGACTGACGGCGCTCACCCAATAAAAGCCGTTACCACCCATGTACATAAGATTTCCACCCCCCCTGGAAAAGGCATTGTAGGCACCATAAGACTGCAGTGAAGGATACTCAGGATGGCTGCCTGTGATGACGGTGTTGAATCCTTGCAGAGCGCTGCTCCCACGGGTATGCAGGTCGTGGTCGGTGAGGATCTCATACGGGATGGCCTCACGCTCCAGGAAACCAATCATCATGAGGTCAGCCGAGAACTCGCGCGGGCGAGAAAACGCCCACATAATGTACCCCGGGCGTACATTGAGGATCGGACGTTTTGCCGATGAGTAGCACACTCCGGACCCATCAGAATGGCGATCGTAGCATGATAAGCCGAGGTCAGTGCGCCTGCGCATCTTCTCAAATTCGCCGCTCTTTAATGTCTTCTCAATGTCGAACCCGGGGCCGAGGTCGGCGGTGTTCTGACGGGTGGTGTCATATAGACGTTCATTGGCGTAGGCGAGGTACGTAAATGTAGAGAAGACAAGACAAACCTTGCCACGATTATCTCCTGTCCATTGTTCCGGCCGTACGAAGAAGGTTATGCTATCACGATCTCGTCCGTTGGTGGTGTCCACCTCGATCGCATAAGCGCCAGAACGTGCATTTGACGGGATTGTGACGGTGAAGTCGGTTTCCCATCCCGCGTCATCCAAGTCATCATCATGGAAATGTATTGCACCATAGCCGAGCTTGGCTCGCGTCCAGTCACCCTCGGACCCATCCCAATTGTAGCCGCATACAGCACGAGTTGGCCCATTGACCAGGATCCCATGGCGGCCTTGGCCCGATATATCGACGATGCGATCGGTCGACATGTTCAATGAAAAATCGTATTTGGCCAGTACCAATGGCTTAGAACCACATGCCTTCAATTTCAAACAGTCGATTCGGCCATTGAAGAAGTCAACTGCCTGCGATTCCAGAGCCAAGTGGCGTTTCTCAACTCCATCGCCTAGTGCTGCGGCGATGAGAAGAGGTCCAGGCTTGAATAACAGAGCTTCCGTTTTCAATGTGTGTTGGAAAGAGGTCGGGGCAGGAACAGGCTCAGCTCGGAAGGAGACAGGAGTCAAGCTCAGCTGCACCAGCTTAGAATGAATGACGAGCTTGACCTTTGTCCAAGTCTTTTGCTTGGGTCGCAGCGCGGTGCCAATCTCTTCGACACGAAGACCATTCCCCACACTGATATCAAGCGACCCTTGATTGTTCAGAGAAATGCAGAACCCAGTCTGGGACGTTGGACTGAGGGTCGAGATCAGGTTCTGGGTGTGAGGGCAACCCAGAAGCCATGGTTGCATGTAGAAAGAGACTTGGAGCCCGCCATCCACGTTGAGTGGGCACCAAGCAGGAATATATCCATACGATCCAGGTTTGGCGGATTGAAACCTTCCTGGTCTCTGACCCCGTGGGATCTCTTCGATCTCTTGTTCGCACTTCTGCGGAGAATTGTCAAGTTCAATGCCCTGAATCAGTCGAATAATGCGATAACTGTACTCGGGCTCCGTGCATGATATCTGCCTGGTTGTGTCAATGTTGATATTACAAGCAAATGCTTGATGAATGTTCAAGCCAACCCGGAAGGGACCCGGAAGGGGGAGTGCTGACCTTCACTGCGACATTATCTCCAGGGGCCACTATCCAGGGCTCGGCATAGCCGATGATTTCCGGCGGGTTACCATAATTTTGGTGGTGAAGGACCGACATTGTCGTGACGACTCGACAGACGGCTATCTATGCAGGAGATAACTCTCAATGGCAAGCGAGGCTGTAGCAAATTACATAGAGCGATGCCTAAGATATGATGCACAATACTTTGCACTCAACCGTCCGACGACAAGGACTTATCTGGGTTGGTCGTTGTCTCGCCTGCTGGGGTTTGCGGAAGTCAGTGTGCTTGGCGACTTTTACGTAAGCCGTCAGCTTAGTCTACCTCTCCAACGTGTGTTCCCTTCTGGAACCTAATCGGGGACGCTAAGCTTGAAAAGGAGATCTTTTAGTTACCGAAGTAGGTGATACAGCAAATGACCAGACTAGGCGGTTGTCGCCCGAGAAGCTCCGTCCTCTGCTTCTGAGTCATGGACGATAGCCCAAGGATTGTAGTAACGTGCTGCATTTTTCCTGATCGAGTTCTCTTTCAAGTCAAAGGCTGGTTCTCTCTTATCGCACGTAGGATGAACGTACTAGGTCTAGACTAGCTGCGCCCAGAGGGTGCAGCCAGAGTGACCAAAACTAAAGTGCCAATTTGCGGAAAGGCCCGTCTGTATATTACGATGTTGCCCATAATTCCCATTATTGAGCAGCAATCATCGAACCATTCATCCTCTTTGCGAAACGTTTGTGATAGATTCGACCATGGCGCACGTCACCCACAATTCTAATAAGGATGATTCTGAGAAGAGCCATGAAATCAGTGTCGATGTCCCTCAGCTGTACGAGGTTAGTGCTCCCAAGCAGTGTCAAGGAAGACTGGTATGAGTGGAAAACTTATACCAAATGTGTCAGTGTCCAAAACCATATTATGTCTGGGGTATCAAGCTCTGGGCATACAGTCACCCTCGAATCCAGGCGGTGATGCTCGGATCTGTTCTTTTCATGACCGTGGGCATGTTCAATGTCATCACATTCATTGGTGGCGCCGGACAGCAGACCGCGTGGCTATCCGACATCGCCAATATTGCACTCTATACTGTCTTCTCAGCTTTCTGCTTTGTTGCGCCTGCGTGTCTCAATTCCTTTGGGCTACGCACTACTCTTTGTGCCGGCGGATTTGGATACGCTGCCTACGCAGCCAGCCTTTGGTGCTTCAATCACACCGGTAATGTGCCTTTCGTCATCTTTGGGGGCTGTTTGTGCGGATTGTCTGCTGCATTATTGTGGTGCGCCGAAGGTACCGCAATCACATCATTTGCCACCGAGGATAAGAAGGGCTTATACGTCTCCATCTTCTGGTCCATATTCCAGTTCGGTGTTGTCATCGGCGCTGCAATTCCTGTGGGGCAGAATTGGAATGCAGGTACCTCGAATGATAGCCGCGTTGGCGATGGTACCTATATTGGGCTATTCATTCTGATGCTCATTGGTTCAGTATTGGGCCTCGCCATGTACCCCTGGCAGAAGATCATCCGTGAGGATGGGTCTCGGGTGATGCTTGAGATCAATCGGAAAACTTTTCGACAGGAGCTTGCGTCATCCTGGCAAGTCTGCAAACGAAATTGGTGGATCGTCTTTTTCTGGCCAATGTGCTGGGCAGTAAACTATTACAACATCTATCAAAGCAACGATTTCAACGGCATTTTCTTCACGGTCCGTGGTCGCGCACTCAACACTTTCATCTCCGGGGCTGTTCAGATTCCCTCGGCTTGGATTCTCAATATCTTTACTGACAGGCTACCTTTCGGACGTCGCAAAAGGGCATTGATCGCCATTGTTTACGTTTTTATCACTATCAATGCAGTCTGGATTGCCGGCTACTTCATGATGAAGAGAACAGTCTATGGTCTGCAGGAGGCTGACCGTGTAGATGTCTTCGATCCTGGATATGCAAGTGCATGCGCTGTCTACGTGTTGTACGGCTTTACGGATGCCACGTACAATTGCTATGCCTACTGGTTCATTGGAGCCCTCAGCAATCGCCCTGATGAGGTATGAAGTCTATCATTCGGCAAGATTCACCCTGCTAACAGCCAACACAGCTATCCGTCTACGCATCCATGTATCGCCTCTTAAATGCTCTGTGCCAAATTTGCGCTTTTGCATTAGACCTCAATGGCTATTCAAAAGAGTTCATGTTCGGCTCTTCGTGGGCAGTCAGTATTATCGTCTTCCCACAAACCTTTCTACCTCTACTAATACAATGAAGTTTGTTGCTGCTGGCCCAGTCTTCATCCTGCCTATCATCAAGTACTGGCTGAAGGATACCAACATGGCGAGTATCGAAGGAGTTCCAGCTACAAGCTCTCCAATGGACCAGGCGGACGTGACTTCTGAGGCTGAAGGCATACCAATTCGAGGTGGAAAGGATTCAGGGGATACTTGATATCAGAAACTATCGACTGCTTTAAGTGGCCCTTGGGTTGAACTGGGACAGTAAGGAAGTTCAGGGCTGAGAAGTGACTTTCTCTGGGAAATTTCTGTCATTGATTTCCAGCTTATGAAGTAGCACCGTGAATTGACGTTTAGACACTGGATCTATGAAACTGATCATGTCACTGGGCAAGGAAATTGCCAGTCTGCTCTATGCGGTAGATGCAATGCGAAAGGCAGTGCCGACAGTTGTTATATGCACCTGACACCCTATTTTACTCGTCACATTAGCTTTCAAAGGTGACCTTTATCTTATTGAGGATCTATTATGACTAGAAAGTTCAACTATACCGATTATGATGCCCGGTAAGGCAAGACACTTATGTTATACTTCAGAAAACATGAGTGCCAGCTAGCCAATTAGATCCTAAAACTCTCGGCAACAGTTATCATTCGCTGCTATGGTAGTCCCGGTGCTCAAGCACAGAAATTTCTACGAAACTGTGGCAGAACTTATGGGCTGGTTTGTTTGTATCGTGGGTCTTGCATTTCCAGAACTACGAATTGGCTACGGTGTGGCCATTAAGTAGTCACTGGCCCTCTCGATAAGGCTCATCGATAGACCCCCTACTTCACTGCCACAGAAACGATCTGGGTAGGTTCTTGTTTCACTCATAAGCCCCAAAGACCACCTGGGAAGACTTGTTCTCCAGCATAATCTTTCCCTCTTCTGTGACGACCATGCGAACGTTGCTGACGAATTTGGTGCTGTCCAGCACCCTCAAACTCTCGTCAGATGCTTTCAGAATCGCATTGCCCGCTGTAAGAAAGACAAGTTACCAATTGTTAGTACGTTTAATTGACGGGTCTATGTCACGTTCGTTCAAGGAAATCATTGTCAAACGCACTGGCATATCCGAATGGCGTCGTTGCCATATCGGGTTGGAAGGTGAACACTTTGAGCATGGGGCCGACCAGCTTGATGATGCCCTCGACGCGATAGTCAATAATCTTGTCATCATCAGTCCTGTTTATTCCACTCGCAGTTAGAAATCAGTCATGGTGTCTTCCTACGTTCTGCAGCCTTGAAAAGTAGAAGCAGGCAAGATTCAGTGCGGAAGGGCCGAAGGTGGGAGCAGGGCACGAGGCGGACGTCAGACCTACTTTGCAATAGCACGGACGTCAACTCTGGCGTGTTGACCATCAGCATCCACTGTCAACCAGTCGGCACCAGCAGTGAGCTTGGCCTTGAATGCTGGCTCGAAGCCCGGGACCGTCTCGATCTCGCCGTCCTCGAATGTCTGCAATTACGGAGCTGTTAACGTTTGGACTACACAGAAACAGACTTTTGTACATATAATATTGGTAATTATGCCAGATTAGGGAGAAGCGCAGAAACGTACAACGTAAGAGGCTGTGGAGCCGGTGTGCAATGGGCCTGACTTTGTTAGTGCCTCGCCCTATTACTGATCTTGGGCTACACGGGGAGCTCCTTCGGAGGTCTTACCTATGGGCAGGAATTTTCCAAGGGTACCCCTCATGATGAAAGCAGGCTTCAACTTAGGGAAATCTGCGTTCTCGGAAGCCATGGTTAAAGACGTCGATAGTTCTTGGGGGCTGCGATACTTTGGTGGTGTCGACCTCGGGAGTTGGCGAATCACGTGTCGAGATGAATAATGCGCTTAGAATCCTCTGCGAATATTGAATTTTGATGGATAATTTTATCAAGATATGAGTGACCTGAACAGAATGCTCTATGGCTTTGTTATGTCACTCGGTTGTGTGACCTGTCTTTGCCGGTGAGTTACTAGTGCTCACATACAAGACGGGTTCGGCCCGGCTTGTCCGCAGCAACACCAAGTCCACAAGTGGATCAACAGTCCTCTATACACTCATACAGATTGAAAAGTTACGTGCAGTTGCTGTCACAATCAGCCTACATGTGGAACCGTACAAAAGGACCGACCGTTTCATGGATTCTGCTCCTTCGGACATTGGGCAGCATTCGTTATGGCCGAGATCCATACTTCTGATTCGGCCCTGGCTGCAGCCAGCTCGGCCAACTCGGTCCGATGCTTACACAGCTAGGAATGTATAGTTGAAGATGTGCTTGCGAAAATCAACATGGCCGTGACCTATTGCACATGCATAATGTAGTTATCGGTGCTACCTCGCGCAACGAGCGCTGGTGGCAGACCCGATGATCTCTTCCCAACCTTCAACCTCGCCAATGCCAAGATGGCCTCATTGAAAGGGAAAGTTGTTGTTATCACGGGAGCTGCCTCAGGGATCGGTCGCGCGACGGCTAAAGCTCTTGCGGCCCACGGTGTCCTCCTCTCACTTGCAGACATCAACCAAGACAATTTGTCCCAGGTGGAGGCGGAGCTGCAGGGCGAGGCGGGCGAGGGTGCCATCTTCACACGCGTGCTCGACATCCGGTCGCCCGAGGCATGCCGGGCATGGATAAGCGACACGGTGGCGCGTTTCGGACAGCCGATCGCGGGGGCGGCAAACCTGGCGGGCGTGATCGGGCGCAGCCTCGGCGAGGAGGCGGGCTCGATCCGCAACATTGGCGACGATGAGTTTGACTGGGTGGTCGGGGTCAACCTCAAGGGCACGCTGAATTGCCTGCGCGCCGAGCTGCCGCACATGCTCGAGGGTGCTGGTGGCCGTAACGGTGGCAGCATCGTCAACGCCGCCAGTATCGCCGGGCTGCAGGGCGTCCTCAACAACTCTCCCTACGTCGCGGCCAAGCATGCTGTCGTGGGCCTGACCCGTACCGCCGCCAAGGAGGAAGGCAAGCGCGCCATTCGTGTCAACGCCATTGCACCGTGAGTCTACTCATTTGTGCCCTAGTGAGCTTGTCTTATAGCAAATTGACAACTGGTGAAGGGGAATTGTCCAAACGCCTATGCTGGACGAGATCAACGCAATCCATGGCGGTTCGACCCCAGGAGATATCTTCGGTGCTGATATCCCGGGAGCCCTGGCGCGTATTGGAGATGCCATGGAGGCTGCCGACGTGGTTGTGTTTCTTCTTGGGTCGCGGAGCAGTTTTGTCAACGGCGTTGTTGTGCCGGTGGAAGGCGGCTGGGTTTGCTGATTCTCGAACTTCCGAGCGGAATTGAAAAGACTGAATGGCATTTGCGATATAAGTAGCAGTTACTCATGTATAAGAGACAAGACTTATCGCCTTCGCGTTAGGGTTACTTTGAATGATTTGTCGCTTGGTCAAAGTTAGATAATAAACAACCAATATTCTCAACTATTCAACAGCTGACACAATATCAGCTTCAATCTGAGAAGAAGAAAAAAATGAACCGTGAACTATCTTGACAGATGTCAAAGTACCGCCCGCTTTACTGCTAACTGTACATTGATACGTTGCATGGTGAAACCTTCACGCTAGCATCTAGTAGTAGAGGCCAACGCTTCAATAATCAAGGGATCCAGTCATTATGGATGGGAGCCAATACTTAATAACGATGAGGACTCTGGCGTTGAAGTGCACCAAATTCCGGGCTTGTAATTTCACTGTGGCCAATATCATTCGGATCGGCCTCAGGGTCCACACTTTGCCCGGCCTCCCTAGGTATATTTCTACATAACTGCTTCTTCAGGAGCACAGGAATTCCTTTAGTCAAGGTCAACAAAGCATGAAAGCTGCTGTCGCCGCCACTAACCCCATAGCAGATACCCAGAGTAGTGGACTCTGATCACTGTTTTTGGCTTCCCCCTTCAGGTGAGCATCCTCTTCATCCTTCCAAGGCCTAGCCCCGCGCGGAAAACCCGACGAATCCAAGAACTCAAACTTTGGAGCCTGGTGGAGGAACTTGCCAAATTGACCCGCGATGGTCTGGTCGGGTATCATAGGGAGGACCAAGTTGCCCATGGCCTTGTACCAGGGGGCTGCGCCGGACTGCATCCGGAGGACCAAGCCCGAGAGCGCCAAGACCTGGCGGGCTCGTGCAAGTCGTTCGGCCTGGTACCCGGAGAAGGCCTGAGTAAGCGCCTCAATCCCGGGTTTTGTCCCCGCTGGTGTCTGTTTAAGCACCCGGTGCAGGTGGTTGCATAGGACGGCGATAGATTCCATGCCGGAGTTGCCGCCGAGTCCCATGTTTGGGGTAATCTATCAGGATTGAGGGCAAAGGTTAGATTGACCACAAGCGATGTAATGCTTACTTTACAGAAGAAACAAAGTGCTGCGTACCTTCATAGATGCGTCTCCAGCAAGGACAATGCGTCCATGATACCAGTGGTCCAGAACACCCTCCTCCAGAGGGACAAGGAAACCCCGGACCCTATCCTTCCAGAGCTCGCCAAACAGCAGAGTGTCGGATACAGGATAGTCGGCCACGCTCTCCGCCAGAACCTCGGCATCTTGGTCTGTGAACTGTGCCCTCCTGGGCCAGACCATGGGCTCGTCAAGGCGGAAAAAGAAAGCGTAAAACATGTGTTTTGGCGTCAAAAGACCGAGGAACGATCGTTTATTCCCGTGATTTGTGAGCAAGTCATTCTCTGCCGTGTCTGGTGGGCGGGGAGTCATGCCGATTAAACCCTTGTAATGTGTCTTTATGGCTTGACGTTGCGGGCAACACGGTCAGGAAATATGTCCTACTTTACTCGCTTTTCAGGGCTGTGGGACTCTACTTACTTCTTTTCTCTTCAGCAGTAATTAGGCCCGGCTCTGTCAAAGCGGCATGCTGCCACATGAAGTTCCTTACGCTGCTATAAGCTCCGTCGCAACCAATGACTACATCACCGACTTCGATTTCTCCATTGCTCAGAGTCACCTCCACGCCGGTGGCAGTGTGCTGGATATTCGTGACTGCACATCCTGTTCGAATGGGGCTTTTGTCCGGGAGACAGTCGAAAAGTATCTGCAAATATTTACGCCTTTCCAATAAGAACATGCCTGTGCCGTGACTAGAGGAGAGAAAAGAAATTAGTAAGAATACGAAGCCGTAGGATGCAACGATTTCGCTGCAGCTACAGCTGGTTGCTCCGTGGTGATCAAGGTCTCACTTCTTTTCGAGATTCTGAAAGAATGCGCTGTCGATGATAACCTTGCCGTCCGGACGTCTGATGATCCATTTCCCAGGAGGCGCACATGCCTCAGCAAGTGCCTCAAGACAGCCAAGCTGATGCAGGAGGCGAGCGCCGTGGGGATAGATACCAATGCTGGCCCCCTCAGGGGGTGCGACCGACTGGCGCTTCTCGAGCACGACATGATCAATCCCCAGCTTCTGGAAGACGTGAGACGCAAGCAAGCCAGTAATCCCGGCCCCCACGACAATTACCCGGAATGGAGAATCCTGAGCTGCCCCCGTCATTTTGAGCGTTTCGAGGCTGACGTCAATTTTAAACAGGCCTTAAGTGCACTTGGGAGTATCTTGGTACCCGTTTCTGGCTGGTTACACATCCATGCGATTTGGCTGTATCATATACCGACTCCAGTCTAGGTGTTGTAGTCCAATCGTACACGACAAGTAGACTAACTAGGCACTGCTGCCTCCAGGCGCGTCTCGGCCGCCCGGACCGGGAGGGACATCGTACAAGGAAATTCCAACGGACGGGCAGAACAGCGCTTAATCACTGCAATTCTATATGGATTCGTTCACGAATGGACCTGAAGCACAAGATACGTTGTGGACTGATGCCTCTATAATTTATGTGACCCTACTACGCATACTGTATCCCAAGGCATGCGAAATGCCGGGGTGTACACAGAAATACATCAAGGAGGTAGTCTTGCTTACGCGAGTACCTGCGGGTGTGCCAAGTTATGCACGTCTGACAGATTCGCCCCGCTGCTAATTTGCTGACCGGCCCGAGCCACACAGCAACTACTGTGGTAAGAGCCCACGCAGCCTCGCAAAACCCCCACGAGATTTGTCGTACATGATAGATCAGGTTACACAAAGAAAGATTTCGGACTTGCCAGTTCAGGCAAACCATGATCGGACATAGGAGATATGCTCAGTCAGGGCTTTGAAATCAAAAGTGAAATTAGTAATGCTATTGTTGTCTTTCATGCTCGAGCAGGGGTTGTGGTGGAGTGTAGTAAACACACATTCTGGTTCGTTTATTCATTGTCTGCGCGCATTCGTGCTGGACAACATTGGACAGCCAGTGAGCTCACGCTAGAGAACTTTCACACCCTCTCTTAGAACCGCAGCTCTGCACATTGTTTCACTCTACCCTATTTGTCGCTAGTAGTCATCATCAGATTCACTCAATTGATATGGCAACGACAAGCGATTCCGAAGGGGTCTTGCGAGAGCTCGGAGAAAAGGATGCAGCTCAAGATGCAGGCCAACCGGCAACAAGCAGCGCAAGCCCACCGGAGTCCAGCGTTCCCAAGGCAGAGACGGGGGAGCTGGAGACTGAAAGCCCAAGGACGGTGACCGGGCTCAAGGTTTGTGCCCAATTGATGCATGAGGGTATTTTCAGCACGCAGGCGAGGGGGAAAATAGTTCAAGATGCTAATAAGATTGTGATACAGTGGTTTTTTGCCTACAGTTCCATTTTATCGACAGTGCTGCTGTTTGCCCTTGACGGCACGATCGTAAGTTCTGGCGCCTAGAATTAAGCACGATAAAATAGGAGGGGACCCAAAAGAAAAAGAGAAATAGTACGGTCAGGACATGATTTCGCTGATATCACAAGCACAGGTCGCCGACATCCAGCCCTCTATAGTCGAGGCCTTCAACAACGTCGATCTCCTCCCTTGGATCGGAGTGGCATTCACCCTAGGGAGCGTGTCTATCTTGCCGCTGTAAGTCAATCACTAAAACCGGCCGTGGGTGGCGTCTCAGCAGTCCCTCCCCCTCCCCGGAGAACGTTATTTTTTTTTCCCACGGAAGCTCATCATTCCTAAAGTGGCAAGGCATTCGGTGTGTTCAACGTCAAATGGCTCTTTATCGGCTGCGTGGTCGGCTTCGAGGTGGGCAGCGCCATCTGCGGCGCGGCGCCCAACATGCAGGCCATGATCATTGGGCGCGTGGTCCAGGGCGTGACGGGGTCCGGCGTCTACTCAGGCGGCCTGACGTATATTGCTCTGACGACGACGACGCGTGAGCGCCCTCTGTACTTCTCGGGCGTCGTGGCCATGTGGGGAGCCGGCTCCGTCCTGGGTCCCGTCATCGGTGGCGCCTTCGCCGAGAGCAGCGCCACCTGGCGCTGGGCCTTCTACATCAACCTCGTCGTCGCCGCAGTCTTCGCCCCGGCCTTCTTCTTCTGCCTGCCCAACATCCAGCCGCTCGACCTGCCGCTCCTAGAAAGGGCCCGCTCCCTCGACTGGCTCGGAATCCTCATCTTCGAGGGCGGTGTCGCCTGCTACGCCATGGCCCTCACCTTTGGCGGGGTTGTGTATGGCTTTGCCAGCGGCCAAGAGATTGCCCTCTGGACAATGACAGGCGTGCTCCTGATCGCCTTTTCGTCCGTCACCTACTTCCATCCCGGCGTCCCGGCCGACAAAACGCTGTACCCTGCCCATTTCCTCAGCAGCCTCAAGCTGAACATCTTGCAGTTCAACCTTTTTGTTGCGTCTGGATCGATGATGATGACTGTGTACTACGTTCCATTGTTCTTCCAGTTTACGAGAGGAGACAACGCTCTGGACGCCGGCGTGCGGCTTCTTCCACCCATTGCCATGATTATCTTCTTTTCTGTCCTGAATGGTACCTTTATGCCTAAATATGGCTATTACAGTAAGATGCACCCCGCCGATCTCGTCCATTCATACGGCCTAAGACACTAATCCCGACTTCTCCAGCGCCGTGGTATATTTTCGGCAACGCCGCTCTTCTGGCGGGTTCGGCCCTGATGTGTAAGTCACGATCTTTACCGATCGTCTTTGAGTTCTACTGATATAAATCCTCAGTCACCATCGACTCGTCCACATCGGAGTCAAGGATCTACGGGTACACAATTCTCTTAGGGGTCGGGATCGGCTCGACACTGACGGCTGGCATCGCCGTGGCACAAGCCCTAGTGCCCAAGTCGGACGTAAACAATGCCGTCGGTTTCATGACCTGTGGTAAGGGCTCAATCCACTCTGGGAACAGGAACAAATATGTGCACAGGAAATAGACAGACACGGGAAATGAGACCTGATGATTCATTACTAACTCATGCTGGCAGCGCAAAACCTGGGCAACATCACCTTCCTCGGCGTGGCCGGGTCCCTATACCAGAACTTCAGCCTGCGGGAGCTCGGCAGCCTGTTCAAAACCATGCCCCGGACCGACATCCTGGGGCTGACCACGGGCATCAGCAGCTCTGTTTACCAGGCCCTGGACGAGCATGATCGGGGGCTAGTCATCGACCAGGTCACCGTGTCCATCCGAAACGTGTTTGCCATCGCCATGGTCGGTTCTGCAATGGGCTTTCTTGCTTCCATTATGCTCGGGGTGAGTCGCAATTCTCCTAAGGGCCTGCTTGGTGCAGGTTCCCCGGACTTTGAACTCTTACTGACTCCTCAGCAGCGCCACAAGCTTTACTGATGGGCTATATGCCTTACATCGTCCGTGTGTCCTCACTCTTGTTTGGGTCTTAAAATCTGGGCATACACCGGCGCTCTGAAACATGTAGAACTATGGACTTCGCAGACCAGGGGTAAAGATATAGCTAGACCATTTTGTCAACCACCGGCGTATGAGGAAGAGATCAGGCCATACTTTTAAATAAATGATCGGGTGTTTTCTTCGCTCTTGTATCCCCCATACGACTTGTGAGTTCGTAAAGTCCATTCCTTGTTTTCATACTCTACATTAGTTTGAACCCGAAGACTGTGTGTTTCTTGAGCAACCGGTAATACCAGTGTCGCATGAATCAAGGAATATTGGACTTCAATACATAAATATCCGAAGGCTTGTTTGGAAGGACAAATTTCGACGGCTATCACAGCGATCCTACAACAAGGTTCTTTGCATCAACTTGATATCAATACGGCTGCAGTGTCCCACTTCAATTTGACATGTAATATCTGTCCTGACTCGAACAGTCGTCCTCGAAATGATGCGAAACTCGGACTGCCAGGGTCTTGCATATACCAGGGCTTTAGGTGTGGCACCCACTCAGCATCGCCCCTCGAACACGAGACCTATGGTGCCACGACAAACCGTACCCACGCCCGTACAGAAGGATTCACGCACAATCGCGGTCCCACCCATACTTCACACTTTCCGGCCGTCATCGGAGAAGCACCCTTGAAGACCAAGTTAAACAGAAGTAAGCAAGCCAGGCTATTAGCGCGATACCCAGCAGACTGGTGGCCTTAGCAACCACAACGTCAGCAGTCCGGTGCTGCCCTCCTCCGCCTCCGGGTCCACCACCGTGCAGCAGCTTGATTTTGAACCCATTCTTACCAAGTCGTCCCGCCTGCATTCGCCGGAACTCTTCGAGCAGGCCGCGGAAGTCGCGTGGCCTCGCGGGCACGAACAGGTGGGCGAGCGGGTTGAGCCTGCGCCGGGTGTTGATGCCTAGATCCTTGAGCAGGACGTCGATGTACTGCGCGAGAAGAAGGAATTAGTCGGATTCTTGACTTGGATTAGGTTTTTGTCACCACTCTATTGAAAGTTGAATGTGACTTATTGAGTATCAGGAATAAGGCGCTGGCTTCGGCCTGCATTTTCTTTTTTCCTGGGTGGGGTGGGGTGGGAGGGGGCCTCAAGTTTTGAAGAAGATTGAATTTCCTCTTCAACCAAGATGATTGGTATGTATTTTGTTTTCCAAAAAAGAAGAATAAATATGTATATATATATACATATATAAAAGAAAAAACAACTTACAGATAGGAAGTCATAAATCGAATAGGCATGTTTTCTGCCCTGGGTGGGATATCGCTTGCGCGACCAGGCGTTCCACAGCGCGACCTCGTCCTCCATGGCGCCGCGGGTCGGAAGCTCGAGCATGTCGAGCAGGAAGGCGACACCCCACAGTGCCTGTACCTCTGAGACCAAGGGCGTGTATATGGAGTGGATGAAGCCGGGGAAGATGACGGACCGGTCGCCCTGGCTCGCGAGGCTGGGCGAGATGAGCCGCCGGTAGTGCCGGTTTGGCCCATGGTGCAGCAGCGTCCTGCTGTCGTCCTTGCCCTTCGTCTGTCCTCCCCGTCCGTATCTGATGCTGCTGTCAGAGGCAGTGGGAAGCAGGGATTGAGGGGGCCTGCGCAGCACCGGGAACACCTCGTCGACCGTCTTCTCGGCGGCCACGTCCAGCTTTGCCCACCTGGCGGCCTCAAGCGGGTCCGGGTCGGGCGCGAGGCCGCACTGGCGTTGCAGCTCGGGCCTGAAGGGCTGGTATGACTTGTCGAAGCCGGTGCAGAGAAGCAAGCAGTCGGTTGTGACTTCGTCGCCGCTCCGCAGGCGGATCGTGTTGCCGCCCCCCAGATGCTCGATCTCGGTACGGTGGACGGTGCAGCTGCCCGAGTGGAACGTCTTCCAGTAGTTGGGCACGCTGGCGGCACCGAGGCCTGAGCTGGCCCAGAAAATGCTGGCGAGATGCAGTCAGAAGTCAAAGGCCAGTCATGAATATCGAAGACAATGACGAGCGTTGGCCACAGCTACGTAGGCCGCGATGCTGACACCAACTGTTTGGCATCCTGGGGGAAAGGAGTAACTCTCAGATGATGGTTTCACTTACCCATTCCCATGCGGAAGCGGCCGCAGCTTCTTGGCGTTTGCATTCCAGGAGTAACCCGCATGGTGCTCTGCAATGATGTTGACGGTTTTCCAAAACGCCCTCCGCAAGGCGTCACCCAGAAGAGTCTTGTGGAAGAACTGGTAGCCCACACCATCGGCTGCCATGATACTTGCGCCCAGGACACTGACCATCCGGGTCGCCACGAAGTCCATCGTGTTAACTAGGCCAAGTATGGTGGGCGGCATGATGGCCAGAGGCCCTGAGCCGCGGTCGTCCTCGCGGATAATCCAGTCGACTTTGACACCGGCATCGAGAAGCAGGAAGACAGTGTCGTACGCTGATTTAGCCGCGCCCACTACAGTGGCGTGCTTGATAGAGCGGATCAAGTCGAGGTGCTTCCCCGTGTCAGCCGAGTGGATGATTGGCGCATTGAAGCCGGCCGAGCTGGGCCAGGAGGGGACCACGGGGTGCGATGTTGCCCCCGAGGCGTAGATGAGCTTCTTGCACTCGATGGCGTGGCCGCCCTCAATACTGAGTCTCCAAACGTATTTTGCCTCCTCCGCTGCGCCTGAGCCCGGACTCGCAATACGGCCGACTTGGTCTACCTTTGTGCGCAGGCGAGTCCTCCGCGCCAGGCCATAAGTCTCGGCAAAGTCGTTGAGGTACTTGTTAATTGTGCCGCCGGATATGTATCCGTCTGCTGTGATCCCCTCGCGGCGCATTGGATAGAAGGAGTATTCGAACTGGCCATAGCGAATTTGTGCATACAAGGTCGGGTAGATGTTCTCTTCACTCCACACCCCACCGATTGAGTCGCCTTGGTCTAAGAATATCAGGTTGGCCTCTGGTTCGAAGTCCAAATACGTCTTTCCACAAATCAGGCCGTTCCACCCTGCGTGCAGCTTCTGTCAGAGCTGAGGCCAGAAGTTTGGGTGATAATATTCACCTACCAGTGCCAACTACCACGACATCTACCTGCTCTGTTTCATTTTTCGCCATGACTTCTTTTTGCTCCTCGTCTATCTTTGCTGTTTTGGGCGTGACCATTGGCCACCTACTGCCTACTTCTACTACTACATTTTCGCCATATCTAGTAGAAGCCGCACAGTCCCTAGGATAGCACGGACAAAATTGACCGAGAGCAGTCCTGCTACCAAAGTGTTGAAGCCAGCAGGGGAAGTATAGTCCCGGGCCGAGAGACCGGGGACAACCAAATGGGTGAAACTTGTATGGCAGTCTCGGCTCATACGCAGCTTACTGCATCGAGGCGGTCCGGGGCAAGGAGCGTTGACCTTGTCTCGAGTGCAGTCAAATTTTGCGATAACGGCAAGCAAGGCTATCAGTTCTGCCGAAAGGCACTATCACAAAGACTAACAGTCCACTCACCCATCGGCTATGTGACCAGTCTCATTGCTGGTGTCAGCATATGGACGGGCCGAAACGCATCTCATGCGTAAGATTACTGAGGTCTATGCTTTAGTCAACGAGCGGCGATATCTTCCGGCCGAAATCATTCGTCAAATCGTGGCATATCGGAGCATCGAGGTTCGGTCCCCACGACCGAGTCTGCCATCTGAGTTGTATCCATACCTCCGTTCTCCACTACACGGACGTCCTTCAAGACAACATGGACCCGCATCCGTGGTTACAGGCACCATGTGAAGAAACTATACAACAAGGCCGATTTGTGAAACTTGGCGAAAAAAACAAGTTCAAATTATAGTCTAAAAAAGAAAACTAGTTATCATGATAATTGACTGATCTCGCGGCGGCACTTGATTCTCTCGTTACCTTTGCAAGCCCTGAAACCCCAAGCCAGATATCGCCGCAATCTGGTTGTCTTACCACCACACGGCCAACACGCAGTTCTTCCACGATGCCTGGACTGCTCTCTGGCGCCCGGTCGCCCTCGACGAGTTCGTCAGAGGATGGTCGGGTTCAGCTCGATACCCCAAGCTCAGGGTTTGAGTATCCGGCCGTTTCCTTCCCTGGCTACGCAGAAAAGCCGCTGGATGAACAACTTGAACCTATTGCCGTCGTCGGAATGGGTACGTGGCAACGAATCCCTTCCTGAATTTTAACACTCCTAAACAATAACACGTGAGAATTGACCCCCGTTTTAGGCTGCCGCCTGCCCGGCGATGTCAGCTCGCCAGCCGGGTTCTGGGACTTGATGATGTCAAAGCGCAGCGGACAGACACCCAAGGTGCCGGCATCGCGGTTCAACATCGACGCCCACTATCACAAGAATAATGACCGTCCAGGCAGCTTCGGCGTGCTTGGGGGCTACTTTCTTTCGGAAGCTGAGGACCTGGCCAGCTTCGATCCAGGTCTATTCGGCATCACGCCGATCGAGGCCATGTGGATGGACCCGCAGCAACGGAAGCTGCTCGAGGTGGTATACGAGGCGCTCGAATCGGGTGGCATTACGCTCGACGCCATCTCGGGAACGCGGACAGCCGTCTTCGCGGCGAGCTTCACCGCCGACTGGCAGCAAATGTCCTTCAAGGAGGCCTCGTTCCGCCACAGTCTCACGGCGACAGGTGTCGACCCGGGCATTATCAGCAACCGCATCAGTCACGTCTTTAATCTCAACGGACCGAGCATTATGGTAAATACGGCATGCTCGTCCTCAGTTTATGCGCTGCACAACGCCTGCAACGCCCTCCGCAACAGCGAATGCGAGGGCGCCATCGTCGGCGGCGTCAACCTCATCATCACTGTCGACCAGCACATGAATACGGCCAAGTTGGGTGTGCTTTCCCCGACCTCGACTTGCCATACCTTCGATGAGGAGGCTGATGGTTACGGCCGCGCCGATGCCGTCGGCGCAGTCTACCTTAAGCGCCTGTCCGATGCTGTGCGTGATGGCGACCCCATCCGGGGCGTTATTCGTTCCAGCGCTGTCAACTCCAACGGCAAGGTGCCAGCAGTTGGCATTACACATCCGAACCGAGAGGGTCAAGCCGACGTCATTGCTCACGCGTACAGGCGCGGAGGAGACCTGGATCCGCGACTTACGGGTTACTTTGAGTGCCACGGCACGGGCACGGCCATTGGCGACCCTCTGGAGGTCCATGCAGTCTCCATGGCCATGAACAAGTCGCGCCAGCCGGGCGAGGATCCTCTGATGATTGGGGCAGTCAAGGTAATTTTCTGTCTGGCCCTGTTCCTCCTTTCGCTAAACCAACACTGCCTCACTTCTTTGCGCACGTTCTTAGGGCCTCCACTGTCCACAATTCAAAGGCGCTAACCTTGGCCATCTCTAGACAAATATCGGGCACAGCGAGGCGGCAAGTGGACTCTCAGCCCTGATCAAGGCCATCCTGGTCGTGGAGCGCGGCATGATACCCCCGATCAAGGGCCTGCAGAAGCTGAATCCCAAGATCAAGTGGGACGAGTGGCAGGTCAAGGTGCCCACGGAGCCAACCCCGTTCCCCAGCCACCTCCCCGTGCGCCGCGTCTCCATCAACAGCTTCGGCTACGGCGGCACCAATGCCCACGTGGTGGTGGAGGCGACAGCAGGCCTTGTTCAGGGGCGTCAGGCCGCTTACGCCTTCAGCGACCCCCACGACCGGTACGCGGAGGGGAGGAAGGCCCTGGTGCCGCGGCGTGCCGCACAGAGGAAGAGGCCGTTCCTGCTGCCCTTTTCGGCCCACGATAAACCAACGCTGCTGCGCAACATCGAAGCCCATGGCAAGGTCGCCGCCGACTATAGGCTGCTGGACCTGTCGTGGACGCTGGCCACGCGCCGCAGCAAGCTCTCGAGCCGGGCGTACACAGTCGCGAGCTACGAGTCGCTCGAGTCGGCGTTTGGCGACGAGACGCGGGCTCCGTTCGCCTTCGCGGACACCAAGAAGACATCATCCTCGTCGGCGCCGCGCACCATCGGGTTCGTCTTCACTGGCCAGGGAAGCCAGTGGGCGCGCATGGGCGCCGAGCTGATCGAGTACAGCGCGGTGTTCCTCAGGGCGATCCGGGGGCTGGACCAGGCGCTGGAGGAGCTGTCCGACGGCCCCGCCTGGTCCCTGGAGGACATGCTGCTGGCGCCCGGCGAGACGTCGCGGGTGCAGGAGGCCGAGTTTGCGCAGCCGCTGTGCACCGCCGTCCAGGTGGCGCTGGTCCAGCTGCTGCAGCACTGGGGGGTCCGCCCTGCCGCGACGGTCGGGCACTCGTCGGGCGAGATCGGCGCCGCGTACGCGGCTGGGCTCTTGTCGGCACGCGATGCCATCACCCTGGCGTACTACCGTGGCCTCGTCACGCGCGACGCCGTCTCCAAGGGCGCCATGCTCGCCGTTGGCCTGGGCGCCGAGGCCGTGATGCCCTACGTCGAGGCCCAGAACGCTGCCAGCGCGAAGCTCACTGGCGAGGAGCAGGCAGGGCAGGGGAAGGTTGTAGTCGCCTGCCACAACTCGCCAATGGGAGTGACGCTTAGTGGAGATGCAGACGCGGTGTACAATGTGCAGCAGAAACTCGTGGCTGACGGCGTGTTGGCACGAGCTGTCAAGACTGGCGGCAAGGCCTACCACTCGCATCATATGGCCCCCCTATCCGCCACCTACGAGGCGCATGTCAGGGCCGCCAAGGCTGCAAGGAAATCAGCGACGATGACGAAGCTAACCAAGGCTTCCCTCGACCTACCTCTGGCCACGTCGGCCAAGATGGTATCCACCGTCACCAACAGCGTCGTCCCGCCAGACAGCGTCCTGGACGAGACCTACTGGAGTGCTAATCTCCGGAGTCCCGTCCTGTTCAACCAGGCCGTCCAGACTATGCTGAAGACAACTTCAACCGCCGGCAATGGGTCCGGGACCGAGTCTGGACCGTTGGGCAACACAAAAGTCGACCTCCTGATAGAGATTGGCCCGCACTCGGCCATGTCCGGCCCCATCAAACAGATCCGCACGGAGCTTCAGCGCGGGGACGTCGACTACGTGCCGACTCTTATTAGGGGCGCTGACAGCGCTGCGCAGATGCTCAGGCTGGCAGGCGACCTCTTCCTGCGCAACTACCCAGTGGACATGGAGCAAGTAGCAACGGCGTACGCGGAGGGGCCGGGCGCCGTCATCGTGGACCTCCCGCCGTATCAGTGGAACTACGCCCGCCCCATGTGGGCGGAGAGCCGGGCGAGCCGCGAGCAGCGTCTCCCGCAGTTCCCCCGCCACGACGTGCTGGGCCAGCTGGTCATCGGCTCCTCGCTGGCCGAGCCGACGTGGCGCAACGTGCTGCGGAGCCGCGACCTGCCTTGGACAAAGGACCACTTCCTGGGCGGCGAGAACGTCTTCCCTGCCGCAGGGTACTTTGCCATGGCCATGGAGGCCATCACGCAGCTTCGCGAGATGGGCCGTCTCTCCGGCACTGACGCTTCTTCTTCTTCTTCTCCAGATGGTAGTGGTGGCATAGAGAACTATGTCCTCCGCGACGTATCCATCGACAAGGCCCTCATCGTCCCAGACGATGACGACGGCATCGAGGTCCTGTTCAACGCCCGCCCATCGGTAGCCGCAGGATCGGGGTGGTGGGAGTTCAGCGTTTCCTCGATCGACACCGGCGGCGTTGTCAAGGAGCACATGACAGGGAGCGTGGGTATCAACAGGCGGCCCAGCAAGGGCAAGGACAGCCTCATCAGGGAGGTGCCCGAGTTCACACAGAGGGCCAGCGGCAGGGCGTGGAACCAGGCGCTGCGCGACGTCGGCTTCGACTACGGCCCCACGTTCCAGGACATGGACGACATCCGGTTCGACGGGCGGCGCCACGAGGCCAGCTGCGCGACGGCGCTCAAGCAGACGGTGGACGCGGCCCTGGGCGAGTCACGCTACGTGCTGCACCCGGCCTCGGTCGACTCGGTGCTGCAGCTCAGCATCGCCGCCATCTACGCTGGTCGCACAGGGGCCATGGACTGCGGCGTGATCCCCGTCCGGTTCGCTGAGGTGGCCGTGTGGCCGCCCAGCAGCACCCAGCTCCAGGGAGGAGGGGCGGCGACAGCGTACGCGTGGAGTGACCGCCACGGAATCAGGTCATTTGAAACGGGAGCCCAGATGGTGGCGGCTGATGGGGGCCTCGTGCTCGAGATCAAGGGCCTGCGCACTGTCAAGTACGAGGCTGCCGTGCCCCAGCGGCCTGCGTCTGCGTTGGAAGAGGCACCGTTTGGGGAGATGACCTGGGAACTGGACATTGACAGCCTGAGCGAGCCGGCGCAACTTGAGGGGATGGATTCTCTCGACCTGCTGCGCCTCGCGCTTTTCAAGAGTCCCAGCGCTAAGGTGCTCCTTCTCACGACGGCCGGTGAAGTTGACCTAGCAGAGTTGAAGGATAAGGTCCTGCGCGAGAACCGACGCGCCTTCTGTACCGTCGCCGTTGGCTCAGATCAGGAGGTAGAAGCCGCCAAGGAATCTTTGGCCGAGTTCCAGAACATAAAAGTCGTCAAGATGGATGAAGGCGCACTGGCGGAGGATCCGTCTGGCGAGGAAAACCTCCCCTTTGCCGCGGCGTCATTCGACCTGGTGGTTACTGGAGACAAGACCCAGTCTCCGTATGGTCTGCACCGCTTCCTCAAGCCTCTCGGTCGAGTCATAGGGAGCTCATCCCCAGCGACCAATGGGCATCATCCCAATGGAGAGGCCAAGATCTCTGCTACGATCAGTAACAGCGCAGGCGTCTACACAACCAAATATAACACCGAAGAGGACCAAGAAAGAAAAGCAACACCACCGGACCATGCGACCCAGATCGTCTACGGCAGCCACCAGAGCGACATCGTACCGCTACTCAGCAGCGCCTTGGAGAGCATGGGGTGGCGCGTCTCCGTGTGCAGCCTGGATGAGTGCACACAGGCCGGGGTCGCCAAGCAAGTCATCATGCTGGCCGACCTGGAGGCGCCGCTGCTGCACACCATGACGGAGAAGGAGTTCGCCCAGGTCCAGCACATCACAAGCACCGCCTCGTACCTCGTGTGGGTTAGCACGGGTGGCCTCCTCGAGGGCAAGAGGCCCGAGCACGCGCTCGTTTCCGGGCTCGCGAGGGCCCTGGCCGCCGAGCGGGCGTCGCTGCTCTTCAGCACGCTCGACGTGGACCCCGACAGCACCACGCCGCAGCAGGTGGTCGAATCCATCGTGGCCATTGCTCGGGGCCAGGTCCACGCACAGGAGGAGCAGGCGCAGGGCTTGTCACCGTCCCCCGACCGTGAGTTCTGCCTCTCGGGCGGCAGGACGTATATCAGCCGGCTCGTACCCCGGCGCGACCTCAACAGCGTCTTCACCACCACGTCGTCTGAGGCACAGGACTCCAAGGGAATACCGTCCGGTTCAGGGGAGCATTTTGTGGCGAAGGTAGTCAAGGGCAAGGTACAGTTCTGCCAGGACGAGCAGAGGGCCGCTGTTGCTCCGGGATTCGTCGAGGTGCGCGTACAGGCCACAGGGCTGACCGACGAGGGCGTCATGGTCATCAGCGGGCAGGACTACCCCAAGACCTTCAGCCATGAGATCGGTGGCCTCGTGACCAGGGTTGGCCCCGGTGTTGCAGGATTCCGCGAGGGCGATGTCGTCGTGGGGCTCCATGCCGACTGCTTTGCCAGCCACCAGCACGTCCACGAGGACATGCTCCAGAAACTCCAGGGCGGGAGAGTCAGCATTTCCGAGACAACCAGCGCGCTCATGGCCTTCGCATCTGCTCTTTACGGCCTCGATACGCTGGCACGCGTTACTAAGGGCGACGACGTTCTCGTCCTCCATGGCACGGGATTTAGTGGCGCTGCGGCGATCCAAATCGCGCGACAGAGGGGTGCCGTGCCGTACGCCTCCGTCAGGACCGATGCCGAGGCTTCTTTCCTCGGGGACAAGCTAGGCCTCCCTCCGGCTCAGATCCTCCGCACGCCTGAGGGCGTCACCGTGTCGGAGCAGATTAAGCGCCTTACCAACGGGAAGGGCGCCGACGTGGTCTTTAGCGCAGGCGGGCGTGTGAGTGCCGACGACGCCCGCGAGGCATGGTGAGTGATTCCCTGAAATCGTCTTCGCAATATAAAGGAGGACAACACACCCTATAACTACTCCGGGACCTCCCTCTGCTTATTGGTACCAGCCGTGGACACGCTTTGCTGACAAAACCCTAGGCGTTCCATCGCGCGCTTCGGCCGCTTCCTCGACGGCGGGCGCAAAGGCGGCTCCAGCCTGCAGCACCAGAACGGGCCCCTCGACGCCTCCCCCGTCCAGCGCGGCGCCTGCTATCTGGCCTACGACGTACTGGACCTGCTTGAGGCCCGTCCAGTCGTGGTGGCCGGCCTGTTGGCCACCACGGTGTCGCTGCTCGCCGATGGGTCTATCGTGCCACCCTCTGGGGAGCTGCAGGCCGTTAGCCTGGGCGAGGTGGACCGGGCGGTGGCGCGCGCTTCCTCCCCCGAGACACTCGACTTCGGCGCCCCCAAGTTCGTCCTTGACTACGGGAAGGGGGCCCCCACCAGCGTGCTGCCGGCCCGACCGAGGCTCGGGTTCAGCCCCGACGCTACCTACCTGCTTGTGGGTTGCCTGGGCGGCCTGGGCCGTAGCCTCACGTCGTGGATGATGGAATCTGGTGCCCGCAGGTTCACCTTCCTGTCGCGGTCTGGTGCCGATGCTCCGTCTGCAGCGCGTCTGGTCGCCAAGTTGGAGGAGGCAGGTGCTGCTGTCCAGGTTGTGCGTGGCGATGCTGGCTCTCTTGACGATGTAAAGCGTGCCGTGAATGGAATTCCGGCCGAGCATCCCGTCAAAGGTGTCATTCACGCGGCCATGGTACTCCGGGTAAGTTCTTCTTTGTGTAATCTCACGTAGACCGTGAGCAACTACTTCAAGTTGATCACTGGTTGCTGCTCTGAAAGTTCTGTTATCAAACAGAGGAAGGGCGAAGGCGGAAGGGGACTAGAAGCAAGAAGGACGGTGAAGAAGAGAAGCTAACGTCTCCCTGTGCAGGACGGTCTCTTCGAGTCCATGACATTCGAGAACTGGAAAGCCTCAGTCAACCCAAAGGTAACGGGTGCTGCCAATCTAGACGCCGCACTAGCAGACACGCCGCTCGACTTCTTCCTCATGACGAGCTCCGTGTCAGGAATCCTCGGCACGCCTGCGCAGGGCAACTACGCCGCGGCCAACAGCTATCTGGACTCGCTGGCCCGTCACCGTCGGGCCCAAGGGAGGGCCGCCGTCTCGGCCGTGCTGCCCATGGTCCTGGGCGTTGGCGTCGTCGCCGAGAACTCGGAGCTGGAGCAGTCGCTGAGGCGCAAGGGCATGTACGGCATCGACGAGGTCCATCTCCTCGAGGGCTTCGAGGCCGCCATCGCCTCGTCCTCGGCCTCGCCTTCATCGCCCCACAGGTTCGTGGAGAGCCCCCCAGATCACGTCGTGGTGGGCCTGGACGCGTCCAAGCTCCAGGGCGCCGTCAACGACCCCGTGGCCACCGACAGCTTCTGGCTGCAGGACGCGCGGTTCAGCCACGCCGCGCACGACATCAACGCCTCGTCGGGCGAGGGCGGCGGCGACGGGTCCGGCGGCGGCGGCGGCAGCGCGCAGAGCATCCTGGCCACCATGAAGGCGGCGGCGTCGCCGGCCGAGGCTGTGGCGTGCGCGTCGTCGCACCTGGCCGACAAGCTGGCGCGGATGCTGATGCTCGACGCGGGCGAGTTCGACGAGCCGGACGCCAGGTCCATCGCGGCGTACGGCATCGACAGCATGATCGGCGCCGAGCTGCGCGGCTGGATCTTCAGGGAGTTCCGCCTCGACATACCCTTCCAGCAGCTGCTGGCCCCGACGCTCACCCTTACCAAGTTCGCGCGTCAGGTTTGCGAGTCGCAGGGCATCGAGGGTGCTTGAGATAGGGAGCGAGTGATTGTATTCACGGATAAGGAAATTTTGAGTGTGCAGATTGGATAGAAAGTAATAAGATAGAGACAGATGGCACTTGAACTTCACATACTCTCTCTGGGTTCTTCAAACCGACGTGCATGTAGAATCACGTACTCTACTCGGGCATCTTGACGGCTGGAAACTGGTCGTCAGGTCTTCTTCCCATCAGCTCGTGTGCAGTCGGGCGACCCTAACCCTCCTCCTCTCAATCTGAGCCTGAGCTCACCCTCGCCGTCTCCGTCGCCGTCGTAGAAGTGTTATTATTCCTTGTGGTATTCAGAGCGCGTAATAAAGAGTGAGGTTTGCATTTAACATAACTCGTGAGTGAATTTGTGTCCTCGTTCATGTTTCAAACCCTTCGATGCTCGCTCGAGACGCTCAATAATGGCTGGAAGATCTCAAGGAAATGAGATAGCCCGCATTACCACTACTAAATCCATCCCAGGTGATGAGGTATTCTCAGGACTTCCGGTTCATAACTTGATAGAGTTGTCCATAATAGCCTAGATATGGGGCCGCAGACTACTGAGGATACTACGGCGCAAGTCACACAGGTAAAACATTATATGGGAATCCAAAATTTATTTGATTCAGTTTGCAAATTCTCTAAACTTGACATGCTTCACTCGGCGAAGCTGTTTTCACTTCTCAGTCGAGAGTCTGTTAAAGTGTTTCTATCACTGGGTGACACTAACGTCAGGCAATGTCTATGTACGGGGCTGTTAACTTTTGTTCCAGCACGCAGTGGCTCGTTTCTGCATAAATCCATACCTCATCGACTTGAGAAGCTTGAAATCCAATATCAAACTCTAGCAAGCACGGAATTTCAACGAGGGGGTTCGGGAAAGATGGCAAGGTTATGAGGCCTTCTTCACCTTGTCATCAAGTTCACTACTGAACAAGAGCTCGTCGCGCAGCCAGCTAAGCAACGTGCAAGTTGTGCCCGGTCCAAGCAGCACACACGACAATGCGCACATAGCTGTGGCCCTAAATGCTCCGACCCGGTATGGCGAGAACCGTAACGCGGCACGGAGCTGTGCAGACACGGCGGCCAGCGAGAACGTATACCCAAACACCTGGTCCCACAGCATGAAGGAGCGGATCCCATCCCCGACCGTAGATGTCTGCGTGACAGATAGCGGCGGCGTGACAAGGAGGACGGGATCGAACTCGGCCCTGTATCGCTCCTTGAACATGGCTGGAAAGAGGACTGTGGAGACCGCTACGGCCACCACTGCAACGTGCAAGGCGAAGCCCGCCACGGCCGTGACGCCACTGACCAAGCGCACGGAGCGCAGGTGATCCTCCCGTCGATGACCCATTGCCTTTGACGGCGCGCGGCTTTGCGAAGAGGATGAAAGGGTGGCGACGAAGCTTCCCATCTTGACCAGGAGGTAGACCCAGATGGGGTACACGTTCCACGCGACAATGGCCCATTGCTGGAAGTCGTACGACACGACTGTGGGAGAGTGCAGGCCCATAGCGGCGCCCGTGACAGCATAGCCGAGGACCATGGCCACCAGGACGACGAGACCCATGTGCCTGGACACCAGGGACCCTTCGCGTAGGTGCGTCAGAGAGGATGTAGTGGACGCAGTCGGCGACGTGTTGGTAAACGACAGCACCCACAGGCCCCCAGTGCTCGCGATCCCCGTCATCTGGAACAGGAAGAGCCACATCATGGCCCTCAGGAGCGCGCCCTTAGGTCCCTTGCCACCTCCTGCGTCACCGCGCACGCCGTCCAAGCAGACGACCGTCATGATGGGAAACACTTGACCAAGGAAGTAGGCTCCCGTGAGCGAGGTGGCGGGGAGACGGCCGTACGCGGGCTCCCAGAAGAAGACGACCAGCATCCGTAGCAGCAGGTCGGCGCCCGGGACGCCCGTGAAGCTGGACCGCAGCACCGCACCGCCCGACGTTCCCGGCAGCGCGTAGCTCGACGACGACGATGTCGTCGACGATGACAGCCACCCGTCGAGGCCCAGCGCCTTTACCATGTGTCGCAGGGTGCCGTCAGCCAGGCAGCGGCCCCACGTCTGCGCCGCGCCCAGCAAGCCCAGGGTGTGAAAGACAGCGGCTCCCGGGCGTGCTGGCCGGTTTTGGTCCATGTCGCCGTGTTGTTTTGTTTGGATTCCTGTGTATCCCCGGGTTACCCCTTCTGTCGTGCCGAAAAGTGGTTGTCAATTGTTGTTGTTGACTGGACTGTGGTTATACGATTCAAAGGTAAGTCACGTGTAAAGGATGGGCTGATTGATTGAAGGCAGTCGTCTCGGGTGAGCAATTTCCTGGCTACGCGAGTTGATCCACCAGAGCAGCCTTGGAGCAGCCTTGGAGCACAGATAAAGGCTTAGACCCGTAAGCATCGCCTAGCTGCGGGTGGGGAACAGTCGGCCGAGCAGTTCGTTTTCGGTCGATCCGGCCCGACTCTCACGTCAGAAAAGTGAGATGCGAGATGTGAGACATGGACAACTGATTATAAATCTGCCCGGAACAACAGATCCACCCGAGGCATGGGGTGAGATTCCCAAGACAAGGCTGTGGGTGGAGATCATGTGGGTGTTTGCGCGTTTGTGCGCCCGCGCGTGTGTGGCAATGCCGCAGGTCCTTGTCGCATAGTGGTACAGAATATTACATGTAATTCCATTCACGCAGAGTGGAATTAGACATCCCTACCTCATAAGTACATCATTGTACCTCTAGGTACCGTATGTAAGGTCTTATAGCGTCATTAGAGGCCTGGTTTAGCACGTTGAATATTGGCAAATAGATTCCGTACAGTGACCCACATGTTAGGCTGATAGATGGGGACCGGTGGTATTATAGTGTAACCTATGGACCTGACTTTTATCATGACTTACATACTAACAAACCTAGAGAATGGACTGAGAAAAGGTAATCCAGGTTTCTCTAGAGAAGGGAGAGGATGAATCGTAGATATAACTCAGGTATTACTGAGTTGCAAGTATTGTGTATCGACCCCATTGAGGCATATTGTGCTGACATGTAACCGGCCTCATATATTGAGAGCTTATAAATCGTTCGCAAACCCTATTGACTGTGAAACAGGAAATATGGAAACCGCCGTGCCCCGAAAATATCCACGTAACCAAGTATGTGATTGTTCAGACAGCCAATGGACAGGTAAATATTCCTGCTAAAGTGACATTGGCGGTAGCTGAGTCTCTCCCGCTTCAACTGTCTGAGGGTCATATTTCAGACAAACATCGCTCTGTGTGTAAGGTCGGCCTTGGATTCTTTCATGCGACAACTTGATAGTCCTCTCAAATCCTGCCTTGATTTCTATGAACGAGACGTGGTATTTACACTATCACTATTTTCATTGTGTTATGACTTACCAAGACTGTAGACATGGATTATAGTGTAATAGTTTGTCTATGATTTCTTTAGCAAGGCAAAAATGTTTAATACATTTACTGCCTGATAATCTGCTCACACGAATCGCATTCGTAGTCTAATTGAATCTAACCTATATCTCGAAGCCCTGTATATCTACGAATCTCTAATATGCTTCTCTAGTGTATAAAGCACCTCTAGTATCTCGTATCTTGCGCACAGGCTCGAAGGCCGACTGTTCTCGGCTGCCTCATTTATCAAACGGAGCAATTTGCGGGCTTCCTTCTATCCCCGGCCTGCTCCAGTTCGCGGCCTAGGGCTTGTACTGGTTGGTCAGCGCCTGGCCGGCGCTGTAGCCGACCTCGAAGAAGTTGTCAACCTCAGCCTCGCGCCGTAAGAGGTCTTCCTCCAGGCCCCGCAGGGAGGGACCCAGGCTCTCGTGCGGCTCCAGCGCCGCCGCCATGGCCCGCCACGCCGTCCAGTGCCTCGTGCGCGCCATTTCGTGGACCTCGCGCGCCCGTGCCTCGAGCGTCTGCAGCATCCGGGTCAGGTTGGCCGGCGGCTGCGGCTCCTTGCGCATCCACGCCAGGTACTCAGCCACGGCGAGTGAGACGCCCGCGACCTCGGCCTGCGTGGTGAAGATGGCGGTGGAGAAGGCCGAAAGCTCTGCTAGGCATGCCGTCGCAGCGATGCCGCTGCTGTTTTTGTTGTCCGCCTCGGTCGTGCCCTGGCTCAGCGAGGCGGCGGTCACCCCCCTGAGCTCCCGCAGGCTTGGCATCCATAGTCCGTGGTGATCCTCCTGTGTCCGCCCGCCCGCGCTGCCCAGAGTCTCAAGGGCCTGAACTGATGAAATATCTGTCCCGCTTCGCGTCCGGCCCGCACGAGAGCTGTTGAAGAAGTCATTTGACAGGTCTGCAGAGAAGTCGCCCCCCTGCGGCTGAAAGGGTAGGGATCCATGGTCAATGGGACTGCAGGCCGTCTGGGGGGTCCTGAAGAAGTCTTCCCCTTGTGTGTGGACCGCCATGGCCCCGTTTCCAATCGAGCTACGTGCCGAGTAGGAATTGCTGAAGAAGTCGCTCGGGAGGTCAGCAGAGAAATCACTCCCGTGGTGTTGTCGAAAGAGTCCATTCGGAATGCTCTCGACTTTTGGAGGCACAGCCGAGTCGGCGGAAGATCCAAGAGAAGATGTTTGAACCGGTGGAGTTAATATCGAAAGCGGCTGCGTTTCCCATTGCCGCAGAAGGCTCTCTGCTTTTTCTTTCGCGTTATTCAGTGTGTGTGCGTACAAGAAGCAATGATATGTCCAGTTTCAAGCGACAAAGCCTCGAGGTTGAAACTTAATTCTGTCTTTGCTGTGGCCGAAGAGCCCACTAGCCATTGGCGAGAAACTAGAAAAACGTACCTAGCCGCTTTTGCATAAGCTCAACGGTGTCCGCCAGCTCGACCTTGGACGGGCGATATGTCGGCATATAGACACAGCGCTCACCTGTCCGGCGGCACTGGTCACAAGCTTCCGACTCTCCGCTGCATTTGACCTTGCGCTCCCGACATAAGCGGCACGCCACATGCCTCTGACCACTCATCGCATCTATTAACAGATGGCCTCTTATGTGTATACAAGTGATTCGAGAAGGGATCCCAGGCGGCCGCAATATTAGAATACTAGTAGTCAGGAGCACTGGCGTTGTTTGCCTTTCGATGTGTTCATGTGCGAGTTTCTGCTTGTAAGTGTATTGTCATTCACTCCAAATAGTAGCCAAGTGGGTATAACTACGGCCAAACTTACTTGTACGTCTGTCTAGTCAATAAGAGGTTATAAGGTTATCAAGCTTCCGATAAGAGGAGGCTACCTAGACGTACAACAATGCACAAGAATCTACCGAAACTTCCGGTGAGGTCGTTCCGTTCCAGACAAGTCAGAAATTGTCGACTCTCCTGCAGATTAGTGGATAACGCCCAGCTCGCAGAGGGCGAAGAGGATGAATACCGCGCACGAATCCAGGCATCAGTTCCGAAGGGATTACGGCTTGTGCACAGGAGAGAACCCAGCGACAGAGTTCGTAAAGAGTCCATCCAGGGACGCGGGGGTGACGAGGCAGTTGAGGTGATACATGCTGCTGAGTGGATCAAATCCTAGAGGATCGCGGTGCAGAGTGGAGCAGCGAGGCACCCAATAAATGCGTACCGGCGGCTGGTTTTGCATCGGACCGGTCAGGGTGAATAACGTGAGAGTTTGGGGCCTTTTTGACTGTTGCCATGATGCGATGGAGTAGTGGCCTTCTTGTTGGTGATGTCTCAGAGTCCTTTAAAAGTGGTACCGAACCGCTCGCCTCGAGACGACCTGCATCAAGCCTTTATCTTGCATATGCATGAAAGTCTTAGCACTGTGACGTGAACGCGGCGTACATGAGCTTGTGTATCCCTTCCCCATTCGACAATGCAGTTACATTATCTAATTCTTTTCCCACTTCTGGCCCAGGCTACCGGCTCCTGGATCGGCGGCGACCAACTGTTCGGAAAGCGAGCGGCCAAGCTCATTGGGAACTCGTTTGGCCGCCCAGGGTATAATGAGACATATGACTACATCGTGAGTTTATTCTCCCAATCCCCACTGAATCAGGCGACGATCTTGGCCTGCCAGCCTGCTTGAAAGTGGACATTTCTGACCCTCGTAAACCAGATCGTGGGTGGAGGAAACGCTGGCAATGTCGTAGCTGCTCGTCTTGCGCAAGACCCTGCCAACTTCAGTGTCGCCGTGATTGAGGCTGGGGGCTTCTACGAGACGCTGGATGGCAACCGGACCCAGATCCCTGGCATGGTCTATGTGAACAATGTAGATTTCCCCCTCGAGTCGGCAACAACTGGTACTTCCATCGGCTTGAAAACTGTTCCACAAAGGGTGCGTTAATCACCGTGCATGAAGCGGAGAAAATTTGGTCTGCAACAAACCCGGGATCCACTCATTAATCGTTCTCGTTTGCAGGGTTACAACAACAGACAAATCCGGACAGTATCTGCACAGACTCTAGGAGGAAAGTACGTATCAGGATGCTCGAACGGTTGCGTCAACTAAGCTTCGCACAATCTGCTGACATCGTGACTTAGCACTGCCGCCAACAATATGGCGTACCACCGGTGCGTAGATCCACACGCTACTCCCATTTCGGCTTCTCAGTGTGCATTCATATGACTGACATGAGAGATTCCCCAGTGCTACTATCGGCACGTTTGACATCTGGGCGAAGGACGTTGCTGACGACTTCTGGTCATGGGAGAATGTGTACCCTGCATATCAGAAGAGCTGTAATTTCACGCCGCCCGACTACAGCAAGATCGACCCTTCCGTTGATATCACGTGGGACGATTCGGCATTCGCCAAAGATGGCGGTCCTCTCCACGTGTCGTATGGCAACTACTGGGGCCCAGACGGGGTGGGCCTCAACGCTGGCATGGAACAAGCCGGTCTGAAGCAGATCGATGGGCTCAACAGCGGCAGGCTGATTGGTTACTCGGCCTTGACAGCCAACTTAAACCCGTACACCGCAATCCGTGACACGTCTGAGACCTCCTTCCTCCGGATGGCCATGAGGGAAACAGACATCAAGGTTTACCCGAACGCACTAGCTAAGCGTGTCACGTTCGACGACTCGAAGCGCGCTACCGGTGTTGAAGTCCAGGCGAATATCGCTAACATAGATCTGAAGTGGCATCTCTCGGCTCGAAAAGAGGTGATACTATCAGCGGGCGCCGTAAGAGATTCCTGTGCAATGCCATTGAGGCAACTAGAGCGGCTGACGAATTGTACGAGTAGTGGCATTCCCCTCAGCTTCTCATGGTATCTGGCATCGGTCCTAAGGAGACTCTGGAGCTGCATGATATTCCGTTGATTGCTGATGTGCCTGGGGTGGGACAGAATGAGTGGGTACGTAATATATCGGTAGATCTCTTGTCCCCAATGCTCCCCACAAACTCACGGACCATCCTAGGACCAACCAGTCGTATCGACCATCTACAAAGTAAATGCGACCACTGGCACACAATTCCAAGCAGGTAATCTTGAAGTCGTCGCAAGGGAGACTGAAGATTATATCAACCACCAATCTGGACTCCTGTCTGGCTTTGGAGCAGGCCTGGCAACCGGTAAGTAGCGGTGACCCTAACATACGCAAGACTGTCACCAGCTGACGCGTCTCGGCGACACCCGAAAAGGATGGGAGAAGTTCCCAGCCTCGCTTCGCAGTCAATTCAGCAACACGACCATCGCCCACCTGTCGGAGTTCCCCGAAGACTGGCCCGAGGCCGAGTACCTAGTGCTCGAGTACGCCAACCAGGATGTAGTAGAGGCCTCGCTCGAGCGGACCATCGAGTCAGATGAGAACTTCATCACCTTCGCAGCCGTGCTCTTGTCCACGGCGTCACGGGGCAACATGACCATCTCCAGTGCCGACACTATGGACCAGCCCGTTATCGACCCGGCCTGGCTGACAGACAGCGGCGATGGCGACCTAGAGCAATCTTATGCCGCCTTCATGCGACTCCGCGAGATAATGGCCAACAGCAGCGTCGCCGAGGCTGAGGTTTTCCCTGGGCCTGACGTCCAAGCCCACGATGACGTCGTCGCCTGGCTGAGGGACAACATGGGCCACATCTACCACGCCGTGTCCACCTGTAAGTCATATCTTGTATTTTGCCACATGCTCTCACTACTTAATTCCCTCCTGAGTCCTGGGTATTCTACCAGAACGCGGGGGGGGGGGGGGATGAAGATGGTAGCACAGATGATGAAAAGCTTCACCAGACTGACCGTTTCTGATCAGGCAAAATGGGTGCTGCGAACGACTCATCTGCCGTATTGGACTCGAGGGCCCGGGTCCGTGGCGTCACTGGCCTCCGCGTTGTGGACGCCAGTTCCCTGCCCCTTTCTCCGCCTGGCCACCCGGTGGCATCCATCTGTACGTTGACCTCAGGGGCGCTATGCCTGATGCTTCATTGACGATCCATGTGATCCAATGGAATGTAGCTGACCTCTCTTCCTAGACATGCTCGCCGAGAAAATTGCTGAGTCGATTCTCAGCGGTAACTAGTTCGGTATCCGTGTTGGATCCAACTGAGACAATCCCAGGCCGATCAAACGGTCGGCCGCGGCAGCTCTTTTCTACTTGAGCTCTATCCCGTTCTCTTCTTTCTTTGTTTTTTATTTCATGAATAGAGTGTTGGGACTAGATAGTTTAAAACCTAGACGGTGGTGGGCAAGAAGATTGAGAGGAGCAATCCTGGTACTTGAAGGAACTTTGTTTTCTTCAATATCTCATATTCACAACCCCTTTCCTTTCTATAGTGGTACTTGGAAAGGTTTTTTGTATTCTTCATTTCACCAGTCGTAGCTTATACTAGCACCTCAAATATATATCTCCTTTCAAACCCCGCGAATTGTATCGCCGAAATATGCCTTAGCTCGAATTGACACAATCTGTTGCGTCTATCTTCGGACCCCCCCCCCCAACCGGTTCATTTGATTGCGTTGTAGTACCTCTATGACAGTACCAGACGTAATTGACGTGCACATTTTTCATACACGCTTCGGGGACGTGCTCTGTTCCCAAAGGAAGCCGCTCTCCCTTAAAAGCAGGGCTCCCGAGACGGCAGTCCCTGGTCCGAGGACCACAGCCGCTCCCAGCAAGCCAAGCAAAAGCAACGCTCTGCTGATCTCGGTCCTTCCAGACACAGAGTGGCTATTCAACAGGAGGATGTAAACCCAAGACAGACTGGAGAGGCTGATAATGATGTGGTCCCACTGGAGAAAGAGCCAGGGGCCTCCGACAAGGATAGCCGCCCCGTACTCATCGCCGCTGCGGCTCCCTGGAGACGTTGGCACGTACATCTGTTCCACCAAATCCATGGCCCCTCGTGGCCCAGGCTGTGACAAAACTCTCGACATGACATATAGGTGACCCAGAGCAGAGATAACGGCCGCCTGGAGGTACGCAGCGCATATCCACCAGCTGGCTGCCCCCCTCGTACGCGCGGCTGCGGCCGTACCGCCACCCGCGGTACCCGGCTGGGAAGAGGGTTCATCATGACCAAGCTTGTAATAAATCCAGGCCGCGGCGGCGCTGATTGCCGAGAAGACCAGCGGCGAGGGTTGGAAGGCGGCGAGTATAGCCTGGTGGGCCATTGGGTCCCGTGATTGCGGCCCCGTCCATGCGGGCGCCATCAGCACGGCCGTGGGCACGACGGCTCCCAGGAGGAACGCCGGTGTCAAGGCTCTGGTTTGGTTCAGATCCGCTGCCCCGACGGTTGGCGAAGCGGTGGTCGCCTTCCTGGCCCTTCGGAGATGTAGGCTGTAGTAGACTGGCAGCAGGATCGCGGCGCCGAAACACTGCCACAGCAGTGCGAAGATGACCGGCCTAGAAAAGCGGTAGGAAGACACGGGCGGGTTAGCAAGGTATTCAATCGAAGGAATAGCTGCGCCAAGTGTGGAAAAATGAGCAAGATTGACAGCGACTAGGAAGTGATCCCGTATCGGACGTCCATGCACACTCACCGGTCGATCCATTCCACCTTCCTACCAGTGCGCGGAGGATGGCGCAGCGCCTCAGCATAAAGCCAGACGTAGGCAGCCTGGAGTGTCGAATACGCGTCCAAGAGGAAGAGCTGGTACGGCGAATGATCCCCGCTCGTCCCACTATAGAAGAAAGCGACCAGAACGGCGAGCGGATAGTCCAGCACAGCTATGCCGGTGTAGTCAGTCCTCAGGTGGACGCCGTCTGCCAGCTGACCCGTGACGAAGACAGCCCTTAGGAGGGCGTTGACTGTTCCATTAAAGACGCTCGTGCCCCACAGTAAAACGAAACCAAGGATCGCTGCTGTCTCGAAATAGAGGCTGACCTGTCTCGTCGTACAAGGCATGGTTCGGGTTGTTGTGTGTCACGAGGGCACTAAAATCAACGACTACCTGCTGGAGAGCTATCCGAATGGATTCGAACCCCTGAGTACATGCCATTCATGGGGCACTGGAGGTTTAATTGTAAATTAAAACCGACCTCGCACTCCTAGAAGACGCAAAACCCGGCGGTCAGCAGGGCGACGAATGCCGTTTGAGCTCGGCCCGGACGCCCCGGGGCTCGGACATTGCTGCCCGAGAATCGTCAGCTGTTGGGTTCGAACAGATGAAAGGACTGGACTGCAGTCCGAGATGAGATGATTCACTCATATTCTAATGTTTCAAAATTGAATGAGGTTTGAAGGGCGCTGCCGATTCTATGTGAATGTGTAACATACGTATCCCCACGAATAACCGTGTAGCATGCCATCTTGGCCTATCTCCAATTGATACTCTAGTGTATCACGCAAATCGAATTTCGGGAAGTTTCGAGGAGTTCACTCGAATTAGAAAGTTTTGTCGATACCTAGGTACATTTTTACTCTAAATTACTTTAGGTCTTTTCTAAGTGTGTAAAAGTGACTGAGTGATCTCTATCTGGCCTCCAGGTGCTGCACCCACCTCATCATGCTAGGTTGGCTTGTGTTTCAGTAGTCAAATGACTGCCCGACCAGCTGTTCACTCAACTTCCACAGCCTCTCCGCCTCGATGGGGCTGGTGCCCCAAGGCCTCACCGTCTGCGTCCACGGGTCCGCCACGTGGCAGTCGTCCAAGTATGCACCGTTGTTTTCTGCACCGTGTTAAGAAAGCTCGTCTCTTGCACATTTGAAATGGGAGAGTCAAATGCGGGATTGCAGGTCAATCCTGGGGAAAACAACGTACCTGATATGCTGGTGTCAAATGACGCGAACACGTGTGTCGCGGCGCCCTGCTGCTCCGTCTTCCAGCTATAGTCTTTCCAGCCATCAGAATTGCCGAGTACTTTGTCGGATGCGCCTAGCTCAGTGCAAGAGACAACCATGGTCAGCGGATTTGCTCAGAAGTGACTTGCCAGACAAGATTGCGCGGGTGAATCGGCAGGGTTAAAGGTACTCACGAACGACTTCTAGCCAGCCGTCCTCCGAGACTAGATGGGTTGTCAGGTTGGTCATGATTGTGCCGGGGTGCAGGCTAAAGGCCAGCAGCTTGGGCCCCAGCTTTTGAGCCAGGGAAATAGCCATCAGCATGTTGGCAGTCTTAGACTGCCCATAGGCAAACCATTTATTGTAGGTCTCTCCGTTCTGCAAAGGAGATGTTATTCATTAGTGAGTTGGCAGAAGATGGACGCATGCACGACTTCAGTCAGGGGGTTGGTATTCTAGCAACGCACATGAAAGTTGTAGTCGCCCCAGCGGATGGGATTCAGGCGGTGACCATCGCTGCTAATATTGATGACTCTGGGTTTCTCAGCTGCAAGCAGCTTGCCCATTATGAGATTGGTGAACAGGAACGGGCCCAGGTGGTTCGTTGCAAAAGTCGACTCATGCCCATCCGGGGTGAGGGTGAAGTCGACCCCCATGATTCCGGCATTGTTGACGAGAACGTCGATTTTGGGAACATCGTCCCAGCCGTTGACTACAGCAGCAGACTCGCGGACGGCGGCGAAAGAGCCAAGGTCCAGCTGGAGGGGGCGTGTCTGGACGCTGGGGTGAGTAGAGGCCAGCGCATCGGCCGTCTTTTGCACCTTGCTGAGGTTGCGGCTAGCCAGAATCAAAAGCCCAGGTTTTGCGCTAGCGATGCTGTCGAGGAAGACCGCACCCAGACTGCCGGGGGACACACCGGTCGTCAAAATTACCTTGCCCTTGATTTGGTCGCCAAGGCGGCTGACCAGTTCCTCCGCCGTCGTTTCGGCTCCGTAAGTGTAAGACATCACGCGGGAAGGATCAATTAGCTCAAAACCGGATGTGACAGTTTGGTCAATAGAGACTACGCCTTCCGTCAAGTGTTATCATGGCATGAACATGACCACATTTAAGCACATATTCCAACGCTGGGTCAAGAGTTATCCCAACATTCCGATTTGTAAGCCAATGTTACACGGTTGATGCAACATGACGAAAAAGGTCTCAATATGACTAAACCTCAAAGAAAGAATTACAGAGCAGCGGGCCGAGGCAATCGTTGCCAAGTGAAGCAAATAATGGGTCCTATCGTATCTGCCAATGCTGACAGGCGTCCTATTGGGAAGATGGAGGTATGTTGGCAGTCCGTTATGCAGGATGGCGTTGGGTGCAACATAACAATGCCAGCCGGATTTTGAAAAAATGGGACCATGATCAAACCTCAATATCTTGGGTTGAACGACCGTTCGACGCAGAAATACGCTTGCCTGGGATATCACCAGGGACCAAATACAGGCAAAATCTCTTTGACGTCGGCGAATATGGCTTTCAGCCGAGAGCAAGTACCTGACAACTGCATTTACCGTTTCGTATGAGATGCTTGAACGACGAGCTGGAGAGTGGATCTAAGATATCTATGGATCGATTCTTATTGTATCGTACAAGACAATGAGCGGGATTGGCACTGTGAAGCCGCTTCCATGGGTGATATCCATCAGAATGAATCCAAGAGTTTGTTCGCAATGACCGCGGGTGATGCAAGTACGCCCTTTCTTGAGTTTGATCCATTTATGCTGGGGTATCCGGTAGCAGAGATCGGATAAAAGCCGGTATTCATCCAAAATCAGATATGTCACCCGAGATTCCTCACATACAAAGGAAAGACTCGGAACGCCTGGTAATCCATACCACCAGTTGACAAGAAGCAGGGAATGCAATTGCAGGAACGTATCGTTTTACGGCGATTAGCTCAGCCTGTTGGGGCTGTTCCCGACTTTTTGGACAGTTCTATCGTTTTTCCAGATGGCGTGCTAGCAACATGCATTGAACAACGAAGTATATATACTATCTGAGGGCTGGATCTAGTACATACGACCATAGGTATCAGAAAACTCGGGATCCCGTCCGCTCTCCCATAGATAAGCTGGTAACCGCTGGATTAGTAGTTGGGTCGGTGACGACCAGCGAATACCCGGTGTTGTATGTTTTTTTTCTTGTCCCCACCGATCGTTATCGATTATAGCCTCCTGTGCCTTCCTAGCCACTGTAAGGCCGCCAGGTTCGTACGAGTGACAAGATTGCCACAGGTTGTGCTTCGCTTTAGAACCTGGCAGCATGTAGGCACTGCGTATGAGTTTGAAGAAGCTTTTTCGAAATCTACTCACTATCGCAAGGTCCATCCAGCACTGGGCCCATAGATCTAAGCACTCAGTTGCCAAACGCCCAGCTGGATGGTCTGTAGATTACGTTGAACGCAACGACACCATCTAGCTAGCTACCTGCAAACGTCTATCTGCGAGAATATGACAGCAGGGATCCTATTCCTAAGGACCTTGTCGAGACTTATGACATTGTCCATGTTCGATATCTCTGTTTAGTCCCGAGTAACCAAGAAATCTCGAATGTCTTGAAGAACGTTACAAAGTTATTAATAAGTATAGCAACTTCATTCACATATTCTCAACATTTCGAGCGTGCATTGCAAGGCCAACACATCCTCCCCTTACCAATGTTCACCTCTTTCCACTTCCTTACCCTGTTAGCCATGGAGGCACCCGTCCGCTCTCCCATAGATAAGCCAATAATTTCTGGATTAGTAGTTGTCGCCGTATTGGGGGGGGGGGGGGGGGGGGGGGGGGGGGGGGGGGGGGGGGGGGGGGGGGGGGGGGGGGGGGGGGGGGGGGGGGG